ATTTCAATTGAAAAAATTGAATCCAAAGAAATGTACAGTAAGGCATGGCAATGCACCAAGTTCAATAAAAACATGATAAATACAGACAGACACTTTCCGTAGATATTACTCGTTGACGAAATGATCAACTGAAATTTGGAAGGAATCGAGTCGATAGATACCTTTGGATAATGTTTCAACTGTTCATTTCGCACAAAACACTGCTGCATGTTGATGGAAGGCATTTTCATGAAAAACGAGTGAAACTCACAAGATGAAAATATAAAAGTTAAATGAGACAAAAAAATCATTCAAATGTTATTGATACAGGAATCAATCTCAGTGTCATGTTAGTAATGTTTAAATAGTTACATTAACATTAAAGAAATATGAACATTTTATATTTCAACGAATATTTCATGATTAAAAAACGATTAACTCGAAAAGTAAACTTGTTCAATGAATAATTCAAACTGAAGTTGTTTCTTTTACAAAATGATAACTCGATAAGCTGCCTTACAACAAGTAATCGATGTCAGAGTAAAACGCAAATCCAACAATGAATCAATCGTGAATTCCTCAGTAATCTGGATTTCGAAAAAAGTTTCAACTCTTTCAAGTGTTTAAAACAGTGCCAGTCTTCATGAGGTCTCAGTATTTGTTTAATTGTTCAAAAGGTTGTCTAAAAATTTAAATCTAAAATCAACAATATGAACCTGAGCGTAGAGAAGTATGGATTTAAAATTGTATTGTTATCAAAGTTTAACAATAAAGACCTTCAATCGACCATTTTTTGCTTTAATCATACTGTTATTACAATAAAGACGTTGATTGAAAGGGAAAATATAATAGAGTTAACCAGCAATCAGTTGTTGTCAATTGCTGAAAATACAATTTCAATAAATGTTATTATCTAAATTTATTTATGAATGTTATTTACATTTTTAAATAACTCCAACTTTAACCAGCTAAAATACTGGTTCATCAATCAGTAATTTTAAAATGGATTCAAGATTCACTAAATGTTTATCATTGTGAACAAGGAAACACAGGAATATTAAAAACTACGAAAAAAATCATTGAATCAAAATAAAAGCAAATAACCCAAATTTTGAGTGTTTTAAGCAACAAAATTAAGTTTGCATAACGTAAATGAAACATAAAATATTTAATTGCCTTATGATTGAGTAAATGTTTACAAGTGATTGAATTTAGAGGTTGTTTAAAAGTAATTGAAGAGATTGAGATAAATGAGTCGAATGAGAGGATCACAGGAATCATTGGATCTTTTATCGTATTTTCCTGAACTGTGATCACCTATTTGGCTTCATGAAACCCTTAGAAGGTAATCAGATATCATTCAATAATGGTTCATATATTTTGTAAATCTCTTTGAGACGTTTCATTGGCATTCCCGATTCCCTGATCCCGTATTCAAACACATCTGGACAGCCTTTGGGACACACTTGATAACCTTTGTATGGACGAGTACAAGTGCCACCGAGAAAGTCGGGCAAACGATCAGATGAAATGTAGTTTAGGATTGATTTAGAGTCGACAAATTGAATTAAGTCAACTCGATCAGAAGGAATCCAAGTCTTGACCAGACTCCAAAACATTCTCAGTATAAAGGGTAAATTGATGACCAGAATATTGTCAATGCCTCTAGGAAAATGGTTCATCAACAGGTTGAGGAAAAACTTAAGCAAATCAAAGTCTGCATTTCGAATGCCCGTCTCGGCAAAGTCAAGAATCAAAGTCCAACCATTTCCATTGGCAGCCTCATCAACTCTCCAAGTTTGATAAGCAGTAAACAATTGTTCCCATTTGGAAATGTCTTTAACTCCCATTACAAACTTACATCGACTGTACAGTGTTGGTCTGCCCTGGTTATCGGGCTCATAAATGAACAAAGGTCCAACTCGCCAGATGAGATCAGGAAAATGGTTCTCGTCCAAAGACCACAAATTCATTTTCTTGCGCCATTGTAGAGTCTCGGTCAAGGCTTGAAGTGATTTCTCCTCGTTGTTACAATGGATTGATACGAATCGGTAAATTGGCCAGTCATCGGTTTTGACCTTTTCAATGTCTTCGTTGGCAAACGCGTCTGGCTCATGGATTGTGTGGTCGATGAATCGTTTACGTACATTTTCAATCGTCTCCTGGCAAACTGGAGCAAATGATCTTTCTCGTGATTTTCTTGGAGCTTTGGCAATTGTTTGATAATCAGTTGAAATTGATTCCATATTGGTTAACAATTAAAAACTAGGAATTAACAGTAACAATATTAGATTGAATTAACACTTGTATAAATATAAAGCTAATCAAGGGTTCAATAAGGAAAGCAAATCATTATTGAAGGTTTAACCGTAACTCGGTGTAACTTGGTGTTGAAGTGACAGTAAAAGTTGACGCTCGTTTACGCTATTGATTTGTGATTGTTGTTTAAAAAGATTGTTATTAACTATTGAAAGAGTTTAATTTGGGTTCTCACTCACTTTCGTGTTTCCAATTTACTTTCAATTTTTACTTTCATCTGAATCCGGTTCTGGGTTAAGGTACGCCTCAATTCAGGGTCTTAACAGCCAGCTTTCATGGAAACCCTTTGACAACAGATTTGTATGAAGTCACCAGCTTTGATTATTCAACAATTGAAATTAAATAACTTTACTTGTCCATTTTCAGTTTCATGTTCATCAATCAAACTAACCAACTATTCAATAACTCACTTAACACCATTAACTGCCACTTTAAAGGCCAATTTAATGGTAATAACCAGATTTACCCAATAACGTTAACCAATAAGTGAAGTATCGCTTTTTCAAACGCAATTCATAAGCTTGACCAAATCTCTAATTTTTAATCTCAATTTGTATTGAATTTAAATTTTCAACTTTAGTCAATTGTAATTAACATGTAATTGTCATTAAAGTTTAATGAACCAAATTAAGATTGAAAGTAATCAATTGAAGTTTCACAATCAATGGATTGTTTGAAGTAACCAGTTTTGATTGTAAGCTCAACCTTAAACTGTTATTTGGATCCGGAAAATAGTCAAATGTTTAAAATGTTATTGACTAATTGTGTCAATGCGTTTATACAAAAAATCATCATTTTCCGTGAATCCTTCATGATATTTCCCTTGATTGTTAATTTACCAAGTTCATAATTTGGTTAAATTGTCTCCGGGCTAAGAGTTTAAATAACCTTCACTGTTAATGACCTGATTTGATTTTTAAGACCTTAAATTAGATTCACAAATATTCAACTTTTCAGGTTCCTTGAAGATGATTTGAAAAGAAACAAATTCATTAACAAATCTCATTTCCTTCCTTAGCTGCAGGAACAATTATAATCACATTCAGATTCTTGATTATTTACTTCACTCTAACCAGTTAATCAGTACAATAAGTACAATGATATTCAAAGTGTTTCGTTTTGTATGGAAAAAGGCTGTTGACTTGAATCTTTATTTGCACTCAGTTTATTATGGAATACAATTTTCCTGATAATGTCCATCAAATGTAACAATTTAATCTCTATTTCTTGATTTAACCTTGATTAACTATTTCTATTGTTAACAGTCTATTAATTATTGTCGATTCAAATGGTGCGGTTCAATTAAAAGTGTAAATTGTTGTTTGTCTAAAATGTCAAGCAACGATGTCAGGTGAAATTATTTTACAAATCAGTTAACAAATTTGATTCCTAATTCTGATTGATTTGACAAACTAACGCAAATTTACAATCAATTTGTATATTGGCTTTTGGTTAATCTTTTAATAACTTGTCAACTTGTCCAGATTGTTGGCAATGATTATCATTAATCTGGTTACAATTGAAAGTTTCAACTTTTATGAACAGTCAAAATGAACTCAACTTTGAATAATTGTTTAGTTGGCAAAATTATTACAATCTAAACCATTTTGACATTCAACAGTTTATCAGATTCAAGCATTCAACTAAATTGAATCATTTTAAACACTTGAATGTTTGTTAGACGATTTACTGATTTCAACTAATTTAATTGACCAGTAATTAGTTTTAAATTTAGTTTCAATTATTTGATTTTCAACTTTGTTTCCACTCTAATTTATTGGTTGAAATATTTGTTAATTGAACAATTGAACAGTCATTAGATTTTAATTTTGACTTGGAAACACCATTTTAATAGTGTTTTGTTTAAAATGATCAAAGATTCAGTCATTTGTGTATCTTGATGATTTGATCAGATTATGATTTATTGATAATTAACAGTTGAACTCTATTTAAAGCTTCTAGCAATTGGAGCCGAAAAATTGAGGTGAAAATTATTTGTTTCAAGACAAATCATTGATTTGTCCAATTAATTTTTCATGCTATTAGTGATTGGTCATTTCATATTTAATTTATAATCTTAATTTATTGGCTTATATTTTGTCTGATCAGTGTAATGATCATTTAAGTAGCAATTAATTTGACAATTTGAGTGGTCTTCCTGTAAATTGAACATTTAACAGTAAAATGGCAATAATAACGCTTTTGAGTTCTTCTGTTTAAATCTATTGTTAAATTTAAATTGCAAGAAATTAACATAATCTGTTGGCTAAATTAGCACCGTTCAATGAACTGTAGGGTAATGGGTTTCGTCTATCACTTAAACATCACTGTTAACCCTTGAAAGAGGACAATCAAGGTAATTTTGATTATTTAGAGTACAATTGCCATTAAGATTGCATCTACAATTGATTGAACTTGTATCTTTGACCAATATTCATGTTAGACAATGAAAAAATAGCAACTTTATGGTTTTAAATAGCAATTGAGCTTCCTATTTTAATTTGAAGGTAATAAGCTGAACCATCTTAGATTGAAGAGTGACAATTAGACGTGAATTTCACAATTTACAGATACAGAAGGCAATATTTAATTGTCGTTTTACACCATCTTATAAACTAAATGTTTGGGTATAATTATTATTGGTTAAAACTGACGGAATAACTAATTGACGTCTTTTTATGTTTTGTTTTCAATTGTAATAGGTCCAAATAACGCAGCTGTTCTGAAGAATGCCAAAGAAGCCAACGAATGGTCCAATTTGAGGTTACATTTGAAGCAGAAAATTGGTTCACCCGGTAAATTATTAAAAACTGGTAAAGGCGATTTACCACCATCAGATCCACTTGACCTTTCATCTCTATGGTTTGTCTTTGATGACCATAAAGGCTATCTCAACGCATCTCTTCACAATGTCAAAGTCCATGGACTATCTGGATTATCTTTGAAGGATACAGCATTCAATGATAACACCAAGGAACTTTCCGTACTCTTTGCAGTTCCAAGTTTATCAGTAACCAGTGAATACAGCATCAAGCACCGCCTGGGTGATAATTTAGTCGATGATTATGGTAAACTTCATCTACATCTGAATCATTGGTACACAACTTGGTTCTCTAGAGTCTTATCTTTCAACATTACCAGGGATGAATTGACTGTTGGCCGAATCTCTGTTAAATCCTATTTCGACAATGTAACCAAAGAGTTTACCAGTTCCTCCTATTATATCGGAGCCAACCCGATAGCTTATGCCAATACAATTGAAACCATAACAGTCATGTTGTCCAATAAAATTCAGAGTGAGGTAGATGAAAGGTTAAATCTACTTTTATCACAATTTATAGACGAAGAGCCAGCTACGTTAAGTGATATGTTGAGGATAGCAGCTCACTGGAAAGACGCTGTAACTAAACCTTCCGAGGGTAGCTTAAGTCGAGGTAAAAGACAAGTTCCTTGTGAACCAGGTGATGAACTGGATGAATATGTAGACAGTTTATTTAGATTTGCATCCCGAATTGTTCGTGCCATGGAACCCATTGGTTTGCCCAATGCAACGGTTGAACTTCCAGAATACAATTTAAAATTGTTTTTATACAAAGGAGGTGCTTCCAGAGCCTATTCATTAACAAGAAAAAAGTCAGCATGGGTTTTCTGTACCAATGAGTCAATTTCATTAGGACTTACCGTTGGTTTCAATGATTTACGTGTTAAATATAAATATAGGGCTATATTTGATTGGAATTTGTTGTTTGATGGTGAACTGGAGGCCAATTTACAAGGAACCAAAGCACAAGTACAATTTACACAGACCACACCTGATGATGATTCAGAGGAAGAAGTACAGCAGAGAGTTGACAGAGTTAGGATTTGGAGACTTGGCCGGATCCGGGTAATCTTGAAAGGATTGGGTAACTTAACGCAAGCTGTATCCATGTTACTTACCCGCGCATTGAACTCTAATCAGGAACAACTTGATCCAACTCTTAGACGGCTGGAAAACGAAGCACTTGTTGTAGTAAATGAAATGCTTAAAAACATTAGCGTTCCATTTTTTTCCATTGTATAAAAGTCACCATTTTGACCATTCCATCGTTTTCACCTTTAGAATCATCATTACCAGTTATTTTGTTGGTTCCATCTTTTTTACTCATCTTTACATAATGTTGAAGTTACCTTCAGTGTTAACACCATTGTCATCGTTCTCATTACCACCTTATTCTCATCATTATTCTAGATTGTCATCAGATCAATCAACTATTACTAAAAATTTGTTCATCGCAAACAAAGAGTCCATCAAAATTGTTTTAAACATTTACTTTTGAACATTTCCATTTTTGTCAAACATATTTTTTTTTCTCATGGAAAACCAAGTTTCCTAAACTGTATTTTAAAAACTATATTTTTTAATGTTAAGTCTGATTGTTTTATTTTATTTGATAGTTTTTAAGTAAATTTTTTAAATTTATTTTTATAATAAATAATTTAATACCTGAAATGCACTTAAAATACTTTTCTTTTGCTTTGCTTTAAATTCCTATTTGGCGCCTTTTACCTTCTTTCAATAAGCAATGCCTCAAAACACGTGAACCATAATATGAGTTGATGCAAGTTTTGTATGGTTTCTTTTTTTGTCTATTTGTAATAATTGTTGATTTTGTTTGATAATTAGTTCAATTATTTCGTTAATTACAAAAAAAGTCTTATATTCTGTATATTTTGTATATTCCTGTTGTTAGATTTCATCACAACTGTTGATAGGTAAGTCGTTATTTCTGCTCTAATACCATTTAAACAACATCTATGTACTTGATTGAAAAGAAAAGTGATTATAACTATTATTCAGTTAATCAGATTACAAGGAAATGAAATTGACCTGAGGGAACTCAAAAATATCATTGTTTAAGTCGAAAGGTTGTTATGTAGTTCAAAACAAGTTGAGATCTTGATTATTTTATAACAATTACATGTATACTGATATACACAGAGTTTTGATGACAAACTTCCATTCATTGTTGGTATATCATCGTTTGCTCAAATATTTGTTCTAGTCATTACAGATCTGATTCAACTTTCTCAGCAATTTTTTTGTTTAATATCTGTGAAGTTGATTAATCTCGATTACTACCATTTTACTCATTCTACTTTCATTTGTTTACAGTGGGGATGGAGTTTGATAAATCAGCATATGTTTTATACCATAGTGCCCAGACTGGCTTTCCTTGTTTAAGTTTTGATATTATTCCTGACGGTGATGGCTCAGGAAACGATAGATTGGCTCAAGATAATTTGTCAGTTTATATGGTTACTGGAACCCAGGCTCCAAAAGCCCACCTAAACACCATTCATGTACTGCATTTAAGCCGAATGACTAAATTTAAGCAGAAAAATAATGACGAAGAAAGTGATGAAGAATCTGAAAGTAGTGATGAAGAGGATGATGGTTCACCAGATTCTCAACCATTATTAAGATCCGCTGAAATACCTCATCCATGGGGAGCTATCAATCGCATAAGGTTCGCTGAAGTTGGTTCCAGTATGCTGGCTGCTTCTTGGTGTGATTCTGGTAAATTAGCTTTAATTTAAAACCGTTTTTAATCTAAAGGCATGTCAATTTCATTAAATTTTTAAACTTTCATACTTTTAGGTGCTGTTCGTATTTGGAATTTAAATAAACAGTTACAAGAGCTTAAAAATTCTTTTTTCAATAAAAGCGAAGCTGGACCTCCTTTATTTACATTTAGTGGACACCAAGTAGAAGGTTTTTCAATTGCTTGGTCAGACGTGGCTAAAGGATACTTGGCTACTGGTGACTGTGCCAAAAATATTCATATTTGGGTTCCTAACGAAGCAGGTACTTGGCATGTTGACCAAACACCTTTAATTGGACACACGAAATCAGTTGAAGATATTCAATGGTCACCTACAGAGCCTAATGTAATAGCTTCATGTTCAGTTGACAAATCAATCCGAATTTGGGATACAAGAGCTAGAAATCTTTCTTCCTGTATGATAGCAATCGAAGATGCTCATGAATCAGATGTTAATGTAATATCGTGGAATAAATTGGATACTTTCTTCCTTCTTTCTGGAGGCGATGATGGAGCCATTAAAGTTTGGGATTTCCGCAAGTTTGCTAACTCAGTCAAAACTAACAAACCAGTTGCCGTTTTCAAATATCATCTTGAACCAATTACCTCCGTTGAGTGGCATCCATCGGATAACACGGTTTTTGCTGCTTCCGGAGAAGATCATCAGATAACTCTGTGGGACTTAGCTGTGGAAAAAGACGATGAAGAAATAGAATCAGAAGATCAAGAATTGAAAGAAGAAGGAGCCGATGAAGACGAAGAAAATGAAGAGTTGAAAGCCGAGAAAAACGCTCCACCGCAACTATTATTTGTTCATCGTGGTCAAAGAGACATAAAAGAGCTACACTTTCATCCTCAAATTCCGGGTCTTGTGATTAGTACGGCTGCTAATAGTTTTGATATTTTCAAAACAATATCAGTGTAATTCTTGTATAAAATATTCAGCAACTGTTAAGACAAAAACGGTTTAACTGTCTTCAATCTATGCTTAAGCAGTTCAAATGGATTATAATTTTTTTGTACAAATACTGACAAACCTTTATAATGGTTTAAGCTTAACGTTGATTAAAAGAAATCTTGTTATAATTGAAATCGATTGCGATTTAATGATACCTTGGATTTTACCACCAGACAAACAGAAACCTCGACAAATGTAAAGGAAATTAAAATTGTCCAAAAAACAAATTTTCTGTAACAAAATTTACTTAGAATTTGGATTTTGGAAAAAATTGGAAGATTTGCCTATCGATTGCTAGCTGGACACATTATGAGCTATCTGGACTTATGAATAAGGCTGATTCTTTAATTTCCACCACTGAACTAGTTTCCATTAGTAAAACATCTTGATTAGTCTAGAATTCAGATTATGATATTTGTTCAAAGTTTACATACCAATTGAACCACCTCTTATCAAAGACCTTTAAGTTGTTTTTGGGTGGTTTTGCTCTCAAACAAAAACTCTCTAATTACATCGCAATCATGGATTATTGATAAAATCATGATATTTATAAGATTATTCTTGTCGAAATCCATCTGTTCATCTCTTAAGTTGTCGTTTACTAAGAGTTTACTGGTGTAACTTATTTGAGTTCTAACTATTATTGTTTTAATTGAACCCGATTCAACCTTTTTTGATTCAAACTAATTTGATCTAATTTCCAATGATTATCTTCGTTTACTTGAGCATTTACTTTTCAAATTTCTATTAAAAAGCTAAAAAATGAGCCCAATTTTCTGTCAACAGTTTGTAAATGCCTACCAAAATATCTTTTGAGATCTGATCTTTAATCGATACCTTGTGTAGGTTTAGGCTAACTTTATTTTTCCATGCTCTTGTTTATTATTGAGGTGCTCCTTGTATTATCTGGTGAATTTATTTTAATTTTATAACAGTAAATTTATTAAATATAGTTTAACCTGATCGTTTATTCTTAAAGTTAAATATATTATGGATTCATTAATCAAACTAACCGCCTTTCACTCAAATGAATGTTGTTCCCAGCTGTAAAGACTTTCTTAACACTCCGTAAGATATTGTAAAAAGTTCAGGCTTTCATTAATCAGTACCTATGTGACCTTGATAAGATTGAAATGAATAACAAGGAGCCAAATTTCGCGTAAGTTTAAAATCTAGTTATTGTTTTATTTACTCAGTTCATTTATATCTCTAGACTTATTGTTCAACTCTGTTTGTTATAGAAATTTACGCTCTCAGACTCGGCGTATTAACGACACATCTTCCTTCCATGATGAGGATAAGGAAAAGGATGAGTTGAGAGGTAGACCAATGTTGGCGATTGAAGATCGGCATTTTAATAGTGACTTTCAGGGGGATATGAAAAGATTGGAAGCAGATGATTACAATGAAGGCCTTGATGCTGGTTGTGAACATGAGCTCTCTAGAAGCTCCAGAAGCTCTAGCACGGATCAGGATAAACATCTATACAAATCAAAACAAGGACCAACAACCTTTTCTCAAAATAATCAAAGTCAATCGTCAAATGATAAAGTATTGACTTGTAGAGTCTGTGGTTATTCTCATAAATGGCCGCTTATTATGAGTAATCATTTGAGAATTTTTCATAAATTGCAATCTCCTTTTGATCAGTATATTCAAAAAATTCAGGACGAAAATAATATACCTCAATCTTCTGATAAATTAGTGAATCCTAATCCTACTCAGAACTATAAGTGCAAGCTATGTGATATAGCATTTGAATTTGTCGGAGATTTAACTGAACACAATGAAGAGCTACACTCTGATTTGGTATGGGCTTGTAATATGTGTTCCTTTTCTAATAAGTGGCAACAATTAGCGATATCTCATTTGAGAAGTGCTCATAACTGTCATCCGCCTTACATTGAGCATTTAACGCGGCGAAACTCGGATAAAACTCCAACGTTGCTTAAACATTTACAAGCACCAGCGGAAAACACTGGATCTCAACCTATTGTACCATCAACAAGTACGTCTAGTTTTAAAGAGGAACCGAAAAACACTAACAATAACAATGCTATCGATAACAACAATGATAATAGTGATGAAGACAACAAAAGCTCAGTATACACCAATAACCAAACATCAAATGAAAGTATACTTAAAGAAACAAAGATAGCCACGAAAGACTGTTACAGAAAATTAGAAGGTGATCAATACCAATGTAAAACGTGTAACAAAACGTGTGGTAGTGCTCAGGGGATAACTGAACACTACGAGGCGTTTCATTTAGGTATGAATTATCGATGTCGTTTATGTGGTTTTACCGATATTTGGAGATCAATGTTGACTAAACATATTAAACAAAAACATCAACTTGGTAAGCCTTATGAGCAATACTTAATACGAGTCAAACTTGCGACAAAAAGGACATGTTCTGAAACTGCACCGATCTCAAAAAGGCATCATCGACGAAAATCCCATCTAAAGGCTGCATTAGAAGCTCCAAAACCCATCTCATCAACTAAAACATCCCGAAGAAAATCACGCAAATCAAAAGGTTTTAATCAATAGTGGAAAATTAAATGTATCCTGTTCCGTAAAATTTATAATACCCTTGAATAAGCTGAATATATAATGAAAAAAAGATTAGATACCAAGTTTTACGAGTAAAACGGTAATCGTTTTGTCCTTCCTTCTTCTTTTCCCCGAAAACAGCCGTCCTTTAGCCTGATCAAGTTGATTATTTTTATACGCTTGTGATCTCTCTTTAATAAAAATGTGCCTAAATAAAAACGAAAAAATGGAGACAAGTAAACACTCCAAAAGCTCATTTCACTTTGTTTCGTTTATCGTATATTCCTAAGATTGCGAATTTGATAAATTTTAAGATTTGTCGCACAGGATTCTTAAAGTAATCGAGAAAATTAAATAAGCTTAAAGAAGCTTCCATGAAGCTTTTAAGAAATAAGCCTAATTTGAAATGTTTCAAGTGACCAATTTCAATAGGCTAAGATAATTATGGTAAACTTTAGATAATTAGTATTTTGTAGCCAACACCAGATTCAGACAGCTTTCAATGAAAATCAGTTGTTAAAACCGGCAACCGATTAATTTCGTTGCTTATCATTTGTGATTCATATTTGAATTTAAACAGCAAATCAACAAGATTAAATTGTATTCTTTGATTGAACCAGATTGAGATACCAGAAATATTGAATTACCAGAACCACCAATCTCTTTATTTACATTGTTGATACTTGATGCCGGTAAAGGTTTCAATGTTAACTTGAGCTTAAGGTTTAACCTTCATTTGATAATTAAAGCCTTCGACCCTTAACCAGATAATCATTTGATAAATTGAATCATCTTTTTCAAAAAACTGGTAAAGGTTGAAAGGCAACGAAATAATGATGAAAAAAAGGTTTTCAACAATATTCCGAAGTGAGAAAAAAAAACAGTTTCTTCTTTTTCTAGAAAAGATTTCTCAGCTTGATAATGTAAAAAAGGGGTAATATAATTTGGGTGATGAGATAAAAACAGATTACAACTGTAACTGTAAGTATGTATACATATTGATATGTCAATTGTTTACCATCGCTGAGAATCGAATCCTTTGTATACATAAGCAGCAATGGTCGCTTCACTTTAAACTCATGAATCAATAGATTTTTAATCATCGCTTCTTTGAGTGGTTCAACTATTGCCCATAATAACGTCCATTTTAAACATAATTATCTATCCATCCTTCGCTATCTGATTTCCAAATTATTCCATAGATTCTTCAAAATTTAATCATAATCTTTAAAATGAACACTTTTTTTCCCAAGAAAAGGCTAATGTTTACAGGAGCTTTATCATTTGTTGAAACCACTCTTTACTCGTATACACAGATATTGTTATCATTTAGATAGTTGATCCCAAAAGGCTTTAAAAAGCATTAATTTTTTTTTTTGAATTTCATCAAATTGTCAAGTCCCGTTCAATAATCAACAAGTTTATTAAAATCTATCAGAATGTGAATCGCGATTAAATGAATTTAAACATTTAAACTGGACGACAATAACGTGTGAGAAGGGAAAAAAATAAGGTAGTTAAAGACCCAAAATACGGTAAAAAGTTGAAAGCGTATGCTCTTATACAAATGCAGCCTTTCTTATTATATCCTTATAACCATAGAAGAGATTCAAGAAAATAACAAGATGATGAACAACAAGAGACCCAAAAATTGACGAGTATTGAGTGAACCGAATGTTCCAAGAGACCGGAAGTTAGACAAAGAAGGGGCAAGAGACAGAATAGGAAAAATGAAGCTGAAGAACCAAACACTGAAGAAACAGTGAGCGATTTTCCCTCTCCCTTCTATCCCGCTCTTTCCTTTTTCCTCTTCTTCTTATTCTTCATCTGTTTCTGGTTCTCTCTCTCTCTTTTCTCTCTCTTTATCTTCTTTGTCTGATTTTTTCTCTCTCATTCTTCAGTGTTTCTTGACTCAGGACAAAGAAAGGGAGAGAGTGAGAAAGAACCAGAGACAGATGAAGAATAAAAAGAAAAGAGGAAAGAGCGGGTCAGAGGGAGATGAAAAATTCTCTCTTTTTTTTTCTTCTTCTTTCACCTCTCCTGGCTTCTCTTTCTCTCTCCCTTTCTTTGTCTGACTCTCTCTCTATCTCTTTCTTTGGTCTCTTAAGTCAGACAAAGAAAGGGAGAGAGAAAGAGAGAACAGGAGACAGATGAAAAAGTTTTCTCAGTTTGCTTTGCCATCTCTGTTTGTTAACATTTCTGAACATTAATTAAGCCCTTTTTTTACCTCTTGTTGACCAAAAGACATAAGAAGGATCAACAGCAACGTTCAGTTTTGGGTAATTATCCTTCATTCAACGTTCACTTTTCACTTTGTGCTTACCCTTTGGTGTTGTCATTAAATGATTTCATGGTAAATCGGCTTAAACTGAATCACATTTTGAATAATCATCTCAAGCCATTTCTAATCATTTCTTTTTATCTATCTATCTATCTCTCACTCTCTGCCCAATCTATCTGGCTCACTCACACTCTCTCTCTTCCTCTCCCAGTCTCCTCAGTATATCTATTTTTCTTATGTGTTGACTTATTGTTCATCTAGTGACTTATTGTTCAACTTTACTTTTTTGTTTCATCACCACCCTCAAATCTAAGAATTTAGAAATTAGGTCAACTATCAATGTCCTAGGTAACTAGTTTAGATTTTGATCTCCATGTGGATTAATCGCTTTTAGGAGCTTTGTTTTTTTCATTCGCCCTTTTTAAATTGTGGTTAGCCAAACCAGTTTTCTCAGATGTTAATATCCTTAAACAGTATCTTATGTTAATCATATATTGCGGTATATCTCTTTCTTTTCTCACTTTTCCTTTTTTTCTTACATTCACATACACACTTCTCCATTGTGGTCATCAACCTCTTCAGTTTTTCCTCTCTTTAATTTCTTCAACTGAGAGCTGATCACTAGGTTAATATAACTTGGTCAAAACTAGTCTCACTTGTTGGTTTTTGCTGTTGCATGCTTTCATCAATTTCCCCTTTCTTTTTCTTTCTTATAATTTAAGTTCCTCTATTCCTATTGTGTTCAACATTTCCCATTACTGCCATACCTTTGATTCCTTATTTTTGTATTTGTTTCTAATTGTTGCTCTCTCTTGATCCATATCTCTACCAGAGTACCGTTAACATTAGATTGGGCCCTACAAAGACTGTGACTCCATGAGACAAATGCCTGAGCCTGGAAAAGGAAAAAGAAATGATACAACTGTTGCGTCCAATGATGGCCTTTACACCATTCAATACACGGAAAGTGAGAGCAACGATGATATATCTGAAGGACACATGAATGATAGTAAAATGATCGTCATGGAGCATCTTTATGTTAACGTTTCTTTGCGTTTGGATGTTTTCTGTAAAGTTAGTGAAGGTGGCCTTTATGAGTGTTTACATTGTCCCGATGTTTGTCCGTCTATTGAAGAGTTTAAAAAGCATTATAAGGAAAAGCATTTGGAAACTTTCTATGATTGTACTAAGTGTGGATTCAGTACTTTATGTCAAGGAACTATGTCCGACCATGTGTCCAGATATCATGACAACGATGCCTCTCTAGTTAAAAGAAAGCTTATCCGTAAAGTATCAGCAGGATCAGATGAATATCAAACTTCAGTTTATGGCTCATTCATAAGCCAATCTAATAAAACAAAGATTCCAGCTATCAACAGTAATAGTTCTCAGGTTGACAAACTGGATAATGTTTCTCCTAAACCTGAAATGGGACGAAGACCCCATGAACGAACAAAGGAAAATGAATTAGACAGTGATATCGACAAAATGGACCATGACGAAAGTGACGGATCAGACTCTGAAGGTAGAACCAATGAGTCTAGGCACGAGTGCAAAGTGTGCTCACAAAAGTTTACTCGATCTGAAAGAGTTCGTGAACATTATGATGCCATTCATTTAAACATGGTTTACATTTGTTGTATTTGTGGGTATACTAACCGTTGGAAAAGATCTGTCATTCAACACTTGAGATCAAAGCATGAGAAAATTCCGCCCTATAAACATCTCATGGTTAAAAAGCGCGTTGATGATCATGAATTGAATAACAAGCAGCCAAATTTTTCGTAAGTTGCAACTTGTTGAATATCTTTTTTTCTTATTTATACCTTAGTAAATTTGTCTTTATGTCTAACCAATCTCGTTTTTTGTTTTAGAAATTTACAATCTCAAAACCAGCGTATCGACGATACGACTCCTAATTTATCTCCATTTCATGATGATGATGAGGAAGAAGAAGAGTTGAGAGGTCGGCAGATGTTGGCCATTGAAGATCGGCATTTTGATAGTGACTTACATGATGATATGGAAGACTTAGAAGCAGATGATTACGATGAAGGCCTTGATGCTGGTTGTGAACATGAGCTTGATCTCTCGCGAAACTCTATGACACATCAAGAAAAGCACCTATATAAATCAAATCAAGGGCCAGCAGACTTTTCTCTTAATAATCAGAGTCAATCGCCATATGAAACAATTTTGATTTGCAGAATCTGTGGTTACTCTCATAAATGGCCTTTAGTAATGACAAATCATTTCTTGATTGCTCATAAACTTTCTCCTCCGTATGATAAATACATCAAAGAAACCAGAAGTAATAGCTTTAGTCGAATGCTTGACAACTTTCACTCTAAGCCACTAATGCCTTCAAACAACCACAAAGGTGGCTATTTAAAAGAGATTTTGGATCTATCAACTTCTCAATATAATCGCAACAACGAAGCAAATAATTCACATTTTGGTTTTAGCTTAAACTCATTTGCCAAATCTACTCCTTTGGGTTCCGGTCCAAATTTACAGAATTATATCTGTAAGATGTGCGACAAATCATTTGATACTCTTCGTGGACTTAAGGAACATACTGAAGGTATGCACACCGATCTCGTTTGGGCTTGTAAACTTTGCCCATTTACAGATAAATGGCGTCCTCAAGCAATATCGCATTTAAGAAATTCACATAATTGCCAACCTCCTTACAATGATCATCTATCCCGAAGAAATGCCAACTCAGCTTCAAACCATATCAGTCGACCTCAATCATCGGAGGATTCTGGATCTCATCTCGATCTCCCATCTACTAGCAACAGTTTCAGTGAACACTCAAGTTTTGATCTTCCTTCTGGTCTGCGACACTGCAAGGAGCCTAAGATGAACTCTAAAGAATGTTACACCAAACTTGCCAATGATCAATACCAATGTACAAAGTGTAACAAAACTTGTGGTAGTGCTCAAGGAATTACTGAACATTATGAAGCTTTCCATTTGGGTATGCTTTATTACTGTCAACTTTGTGACTTCACAGATGTTTGGCGTTCAATGATGACCAAACATTTAAGGCAAAAACATCAACTTGGAAAACCTTATGACGAATACTTAAAAAGAGTCAAACTTGACCCTAACTCAAAACAAATAACTGACACTACTTTGATGGACAACTTCCGGAGAAGGTCAAATCCTATGAAAAATACTCAACTTTCTCCTGAAGGTCCTCCACTCCCTCATGTTATTTTACCCCATAAGTCACTTGTGCCCCAACCTTCAGCCAGTAGTAACGGAAGTAGTCAGAGTAAAACTCCAAAAAATCTTATCTCCAATGGTAGATCATTAATTGCAACCCCTTCTAATGGGTTGATGCCGACCGGTGGTGGAGTGTGCCTTGAGTCAAAGGTAACTCCTAAATTACAGTCAAGCCATAAACAAGGTAATTGATTTAAATTGATCTGAATAAAAAATTGATCCTGTACTAAAGCATTTTTTAACTCTCATTTTACTCCTTTATTTTCTCCCCCTCGTTTCAGATTCTTCGATGGGTAAACAATATATTCATCTTGACAATCAATTGAAATGTAAACTCTGTGGATCAGTATTCACGTCCTTACAAGGTTTCCAAGAGCATTACGAAGCCATACATCTTGATGTTATTTGGACTTGTCGTAAATGTCCTACATCGTTTAGATGGAGACAACAGTTGACTAAGCATTTGAAATTAATCCATGAATGTGAACCACCATTCAATGAATATATGCTGAAAGAGGCAGGAAGCCATAAATTGAAGAAACCTATCCCAGAAAAGTCTCCTCATGGAGCTTATGCTCGTCGTTCCATTTTGCCAAAAGAAAATGAATCTATTGATTATAAACAGTCATCTTTAGAGGATGATGCTGAATCGTCCTTACCTGTTATCAAAGATCAAGACTCAATCAATAACGAATTTAATGAACTAGCGATTCCAGAAGATTTAAGTATGAGTGACAAAGCAAGTTTCTCATCAACTACAACCACTACAACTACCACTAATAATAACTCTACTCCGGTCACAACTCCATCGGCGATGAAAAATTATACATATCTTAATAATCAATTTTTATGTAAATTGTGTTCAGCCAATTTCACAAGTCTCCAGGGTTTCCAAGAGCATCATGAAGCTGTTCATCTTAATATTGTTTTTGTATGTAAATTATGTGGCTTCACCAATCGTTGGAGACCTCAAGTCACCAGTCATTTAAAAAGAAACCACGCGGTTGATCCACCCTATGCCGATTATCTTATCAAACGCCCAGGTAATCGAAACGATGAAACTAAAGACGATGAAGCCAAAATTGACGACATGGAGATTGATGAAATGGATCAATATCTTGACGGTGATCGAGATCTTGATGCAGACCAATATCTTGGTTCAGATCGAGATCTTGATGCTGATCAATATCTAGATGGAGACCGAGATCGCGATGCAGATCAAGAACGCGACGATGAGCAAGATCGAGATGTTGACCAAGATCTTGAACCTGATCAAGATAATGATGATGATCAAGACCGCGATGAAGACCAAGATCTTGATGAAGATCATAATGTTGAAGATAATGTTGATCATAATGATTATGATGGTTCTGCTCAGGATATGATTCATCATAATGGATCAGAACATGATACAGAGACAAGTAATAATGTGATGAAAAATGAGCACGAGTTCAATGTTAACAATCTTTGAATACGTTTTTTTTGGGCTTTTGAAGGGCCAAACCCTCAAATTTTTTTTATACAAATTACATCAATCTATGCATTGAAATTATCAGAATTTCCAAGGAATATTTAACGATTTGAAAACAATGTAACCGCCTTTCTATATATATAATTATATTTTTTAGTAGCCTTTTCGACATTCCTTTCCTATTCTCTTTCTCTGTCTATTCCTATTTTCTTTCAATTTCATGATAAAATACAAAAAAAATGAAACATCAGTTGAAAAGTAAATTCTGAAGATATTTTTTTATAAATCAATGATCTTTGTGAAAACTATGTACTTGACTCTTGAATTTGCAGTATTTTTCTGTTGATCTTCTTGATCATCGTCCCCATTGTTTGTCCGATTCAGATCATGCTCGTGGTTTCCCTCAAGAGACGTTTGCTGATTATGGTGGCTATGGTGATTATTGTGACCATTGACCATTGTTCCGTTAATCTGCTTAGCTCTATCCATTTCATCGTTCATTCTGATCTCTGATACCAAGCTTATCTCATTTTTTTCAATGTTTGTTGACTCGTTTGATTGCTGTTGCTCTTGCTCCTCCTGTTGTCGTTGATTATCTTCATTAATCATTTCAAGACTTTGATGTTCTTCTTGCTCTTCCGGAATAGTTGGAAAGCCTAATATTTTGGAGCTACTTGAGAAACTTGATTCCAGTGATTTGTCCAGTATTGAGTCAACCTCATGGCAACCATTTGAAGTACCATTGATACTTAAACTATTATTAATATTACTATTATTACTATTACCATTATCTTTACGATTGAGGCCATTATTGTTGTTAACCAATGGATCAGAAAACAATTCATCGGTCAAGAAATCATCAGACTCTGATTTACATTTCATTTCTCGAGCGATAAACTCTTCAAGTTCTCCCAATTCTTTAATGTCATCCTTTCATCATCACTTAAATCTAATTTAAATCGACCATTCGATTGGACATTTGTTGGAATTGCTGTTGCTGTTGTTGCGCTTTAAAATTTCCCTGGCCTTGGTTAAGATATTGATTATAATGATTACCATTAGTCGTTGACAAAGATGAAAATGATGATGGAGGAGGTGATGATGAAGAAGCTGTTGACGATGCAGACGATGAAGGTGATGATGATGATGATGCTGATGATGACGAGGAAGGTAAAAGAGACGATGAAGTAGACAATATGTTAACACCGGATGATGTTAACGATGATTTACTTCGGGTAAACTCAGCATTAAATAGATTCCTCTCCGTACATCGGACCAATGATGATTTCCTATTATTGCACCTTTAATCAGAGAAAGAGAAGGAAGAAAAAAATTAAAACCAAGAAAATCAAAATTAGTCACAAATAACATTAACCAGAATAATCATAATTATAACACATGTACATAAGCCTAAAAGGTGTAAGATGAACCAAAGTGACAAAGCAGAGATATAAATTGAAATGAACTCATTAGAAGACACAAATTCAATCAAATTGAACCTAAATCAACAATTAACAAGCCAACATTAAAACAACTGCCAATCCATCTTCAATATCAGCAGAGTGGCGCAGCGGAAGCGTGCTGGGCCCATAACCCAGAGGTCCGTGGATCGAAACCACGCTCTGCTAATAATTACTTTTGCTCCTGATTGCAATTAAATTGTGGCCATTGAAGAGCATCAAATCGCCAGTTAAGAAGACAAATGATTCAGGTCAATCTAATCTGAAGTTGCAGCTTCTCTCGTTCAACAGTTTGCTTCTCATCTCTTTTGTATTATATCAAAATTCAACTCCACCATTAACTCTCATGTAAACATGATGATGAAGATGAAAATGATAATGATGATGGCAATGATGCTGATGAACAAGAAAATTTAGCTTCCCATAGTTGCCTCTAATTAATATATTAACAATTTACTCCTTTTTTCAACAGTCAAAGTTAATTGTCTTAATGTTTTTTGAAACAGACGCTTTTTTTTACCATACAAAACCAGAGCAAAAATACACCAACTTAATAGGAAAAAAATAGTTAACTGAACAGTTCATTTTTATTTTCAACCAGAATAACCGGTAACTTGAAAAAATTCATGATGAGGTCAATGATAATATTCCATTATCTTTCCATTTATTATTATCATTTTCATCTCATAACAATTCAATGTAACAGTTAACCCTCAATGTACTTTTGGGTATAAAACTTGACTAGTTAACTGAAATTAACCATCAACTTAAAACAAGATGAAATTAAAATAATCACGATTTAAGTTCAATTTTTAAATCAATTTTAATTTTTTGCTCTCTCTCAAGATATTACACTTTATAATGTAATAATAAACCTGTAAAATGTATTTCCTTTGGTACAACAATGACTTACATGACTTTGTAAATGGCAGTTGTAAATCAATGTTTATCCGAGTTTTTAAATTGAAAATACTCAATCCATTTTCAATCAATCATAATAAGTTACTTTGAATCAAAAATAAAATTATTTTTACATTTCTAAAAGACTTAATTGTCGACCATTTTCAATTCCTTGAGCCATTAATAGACATGAAAATGGTTGTCTAATAAAGCCTCAGATAAATGGATCGTTGAATCGGTGCAAAAATGCAAATAAAAATGAAATAATCTCAACAAAATTAAAAATTTAGTCTCAACTATCAAGTCAACCCATTCAAGTGGTCATCCCAGCTGCTATTGTTAAATGTCACTTGAAATTGTTATTTATTTATTTATTACTGATATCAGACACTTAATGGTTTACCAATTTGATCAATATTTAAAAGAGCATCTCAATTGAAATGTGAAAATTGTAGATTCTCACGATTACAGCAGACCAATAGACACACACAGATTCATACAAATCAAGTTGAATCGATGAATGCGTCTGAAAAAAGGCCAATCATGAAGAAAGGTAAAAAATTGACCTACAATTTGGTGTCAAACACACATTTTCAATAATCTCAAGTGTATAATGAAAAGTACTTTGGTCAAGTAGGAACCATTTTTTGGCTTTACAACTTTACCAACAATAATAGTCAGACAACTCTTTTTTTTCAATAAAACTGTTTACAGCTGCATAAATGTTGGGTAAAAACGCAAGGTAAAAGTTCAATGGAAAAAATGTTTGACATGAAATGTTAACCATTTTGTTCATCTTCTGAGCTTGTCAGTTGAATAGCAATCAGTGTTTATTAAATTTCAATCAAGTAATTAAGAGTAACACTGATCTGTAAGTAAACTGGTTGTTGAGCTACAAATGTGTTCACCATTAAACTTATTGATCACTTGATTTTTGTGGTTAAATTATGATTGAAGAAGAAAATTATGGTTTATTAATGTTTCCATGATAATTTATCATGCAACTTTACCCAAGAAAAGGTTGAAAATTGAAGCAAAAAAGTAGCTTTTTTGTGCGCTTTCCAATTAAATGTTCAATTTAAATAATGGTTGACTGTTATTACCCTTAATCGTACAATTGGAAATGATTAATTGATTTAGAGGAAGAAGAAAAAAACAATTGATTTGCTCATTTAACATGACTTGTTGGGTTAAGTTGCTAAGTAAATATCCAATGGAGGAATTGAAAAGGTCACCAGAATAATCAATTACAATCACAATTAACTGGCAACTAATTAATATGTAAATAATGGTAATACTATTAATAAAATGATAATAACATTTTAAGGTAGTAACTTCCCACTCGTAATAACAAGTGTATTTCATTGTTTTTTGCTGGTCTCCCTTTTGGGTTAGAGTTGGTTTATTAGTAGCTTTTTGGGTTCCTTATTTTTTTCCTTGTACCAGATGATGATTATTATTAACATGGTTTGAACAAGTTATTACAGATTGAATTGGGATACACAACAATGAAATAATAATAGTAGTTTAGCAATTGAAATTGTTGATGTAAATATAAATGTTAACCAGTTTTTTGTTGTACAGACAAAAAACAATGAAATACAAAAAAGTCGATTCTTTCAATTTTGCTTTGATTTATGAAAACGAGTTTAATTTTTTGATGTTTTTTTTCTTGTACTCAATCTATCCAAATTCATGATCAATTTGATGAAATGATCAGATTCAACGGCAACATTGTTATTATCATTCATGATGTTTGTTGAACATGATATAACAATAATAACGTGATATTTCATCAATTTTTTGATGTGAAAATTATTGAAATTTATCCGACTTTTTTTTGATATTCATTTGGCAACTTTGACTATCTCTCTGGTTTTATAACTCAACAGGTAATAAACATCAAAGTGAAAATAGCAATTTAAAGTCAAATCAAAATCAACGGAAGCCTCTTTTCATTCACTTTATGTTAATCTTGGTTTTCATGAATTTTGCCAATTGGATTGGATTGAAGACACAAACTGGAATCAACCCAAAATCATCAACTAAATCATGAATTATGGTTTGAATTATCTGATAATATGATGAAAATCTGACAATTATGAAGTTGATTAATGAAATCCAAGTTGGAGGTAAAAAAGCAAAGCAAAGTTAAAGATGAAATAAAATATGAAAGTCAGTGAAATAGCAAAATTTTGAGGTTGAAATTTTTTTCATTTTTAAAACAATCAATCACATTTGGTTGATTTATCAGATGATTAACCGTTGATCCAACGACTGATCAAATGAGCAATTTATTCAAAATCATTGACTTATCCATTTATAGCAACAACCTGAGATAAATTCAGTTTATGAATAACCAGATTTTTAACCCGCAAAATGTGTGCAAATGCACTGTTTACCTTTTCTTTTGCGCTGAAATTAATCTAATTAACTAATACAAGTTGATTAAGATGGTGGTAAAAAAGGTATAATTTGATATTTAAATGTTCACGTTGAATTGTAAATTGTATATTTGTTAACTATTGATGTGAAAAACAGTTGAGACTGACAATTATGTAAATTGCTGCAATTCATGTAATCGAGGTTACATCTTTTCACAGAGTGAATACAATTTTCAAAAGCATAAGATTCAACTTGAATAAATGATTAGATTGGCCGGTAACACAAGAAAAAAAAACAACATCAATTGATTGTTTTGTACATTGACTTGTATTTAAAAAAAAAGTATCACCAAATTGGTGTTATAAAGATGGAGATAACTCTCTGATCCACCTTCTTCTGGTCAAAGCTTGTACCAGGAATAGGGTAAAATTGAAACCTAAAATTGAACCAATAAGGTAGAGAAAAAAAAACATGACCAGAAAAAAAATATCAATTTGAAGTTGAAAATTCAAGTTACTTTGTTTCTGCACTTTTTTTATACAAAATACAGATTGGGTTACTCTGAGGTAGCTTCCGTGAAGCCATGATTTCAATCAGAACCGGAACCAATTCAGTGATCAACCCTTAGCCCTTGAGCATAGTTACAACTAGTTGATGAGAGGATGAGAGAGAGAGAGAGAGAATAAGGGATGAAAAAGAGAAAAAAGAAAGAGATGATGATAAATGGAAGATGTTTTAAGGCATTTTCAACAGCAACTACAAGGTTTAACATTGACTGACCGACAGGTTTACAGCAACATTTTTGACCTTACTAAACTATTAACTAAATAGCTTTTAGGGGTTATTTTTGTATCCTAACTAATCACAATTCAACAGAGTCTACACCATCAACTGTCAACTTAATCATTACTGTAATACACAGAGATTAAAGTTTGGATAAGGAAATGGCTATCAAAACCCCAAAAATATGAGTTAAAGGTTGTTTAACTTGATTAACATTGTCAGTTGAAACATTAATATTCAAAAGTTAATCATTGCAAGTAATTTATTGAACGTTTTTTTTTCATTCATTCCCTGTCAGAGTAATGATAATTAAAATTGATATTAAAGGAATCACTTGGAAACACTTTTCATGCCATTTTTGGGTTTACACCAGCTTTGATTTAGATACTTTTTGGGTTCATTTTGGTTTCTTTTCATATTGCAAATTTTTACCGGTTTTAACTGTTAAAATTGAAAATGAAATTTCAACTGCTTTCAATGGTTCAGTTAATTGTCTACTCTGGATGATGTTAATCAATTGAAAGGTAATCTAATTATTGATCTGGTTGTTTCAAATGGTAGACTCGGCTTTTGTCTCAACACGGACATTAGATGTTGATGGTTAATCACAATTTATGTTTACTGTGATCAGGAGGAGGAAAGTGTTTATACTCACAAGCTGACGGCGTGAAAGTAAATTGTTAGAGTAAATCATTGTTAAACTACTTTAATAATCGACTCAATGATTTTTTGATATGCTTTAACGCGCTTCCGATTGCATCGCTTCTTGTTGTTAACTTATTGTTTACTTATAATTTTCATCACTATTATCATTACTATTATCATCATTATCATCATCATCAGCAACACCATTCCAAGCATTTCAAGTTGACATAAGGACAGCAATTGGATTGGGATGAAATTGATCACAATGAGACTTTTAGTAGGTAAACACATTGCAATAGCATAACAATTGAAAAATGAAAAATGAAGAAGCAAAAGACAATTGAGGTAAGTAGTTATGAACAAACTGTGAGATGATCAACAATTCAACTTCAAATTGATCTTAAAATTTCTCATCACAATCATTTAGTATTTACTTAATCATTGAAAAATGCTTCTCTAAATAACCTGGTATGGACCATTTAGTATTACCAAACTGGTAAACAAACAAAGAATGGTTTTCAATTGCATTTCTTCATACTCTAATCATCACCATAATCATTGGCCGTAATCATCATTGTCATCACCATTACAATCCATTAAGGATAATACATAGGAGGAGACAACAATTAACCATGGAGAAAGTAACTATTAACCTAAATTAGATTGATAAACTTCAATGAATTTTATGTCCACAGTGCAATGTTGGCCGAAAGTTGGTCCACATTAATATTTACATCACTTTAATCATCTTTAAATTGTTGCTTTTTTGCTCGCTCTTTCCCGGATTTTTCGGTCTACAATTAACATGAGCATATATTTTGTCAGATAAATTGCTTCAAATGATGTCTCAAGTAGCAAATAATCGTCACGATAATTGTTCTACTAGCTAAATTATTATGTTCAGTTGACAGAGTTATAACCGTGAGACGGAGCAAGAGAAAGAGAAAGAGGTTTACTTTTTTATCTTCAATTTCTTTCTCACATCTGAAACTTTTTTTTTTGGTGGACATCTTTAATGTGATTATAGCTAAAAAATTGCTCCACTAATGATGTTTATAGTTAGTCTTGAGCTTGATTTGAAAGCAAAAAGTAAAGGTAAGTCCGAAAACTGATGTTGATATGAAAAAAATGATATGCACCAAAATTTTTACCATTTAAATATTTTAAATGATAATGTGCATATTAATTTGATTGTTATCACAGCTATACGACTACTTTTACTTGAGAAGTGTTTTAGGAAGAGAAAGGCTTAGACAGTCAACTGGATCAAATGCAAGGTTGATTGTGCTACACTCAATGTTGACTAATTGAATAAAGCTATTGCTAAGTGAGTTTTACATCAACCGATATTGTGATACATAAGAGGCGAATAAGTTTTGTAGATTATCTGACGTTGGCTTTATGTGTGGCTTTTTATGATTAACAGCTAATATTGCTTGGCGAATATTCCAGTCGACAATTGGAATCACAGTTCAATCAGTCATTTGAATCATAATATCAGGTAGGCTGTTGATTTGGCAACAAAAGTGAATTCACTTTTAGCCTGATCATCATCAGTGCTATGATCACTGTCATCACTTGATTTCGATGTACATTAATGATACCGGTTAATTGTTTGGGCGTAAATTGAGAGTATCAGGTACATTTTGTTTAGCTCAAAGATTGCTTGGTTCCTGGATTGAGCACTGCCATTAAGATTATTTGTCTTCTTTTGGAAATTATTTGTGGGTTTAATGATGAATTAATGTAACCTTAATATTGATACCCATTGATGATAAATAGAATAAGAGGCTTCAGATTCATTAAAAGATGAAACAAATGTTTAAAATTGATTGATTCTCGTTTCATTATCTGATTCAATGATTGAACTGTATAGATGGACAAAAATAAAGTCAACATTAATAACTTATCACAAGAAATAAATCTTTAACATGTATATGTGAAACTGACCTCAAGAGAATTAAATTTTTGCACTTCAGATGGATTATGTTGAGTTTGATGAGATCGTATTTAAATTTAATAAAGGAGTAATTACTCATTTTTTTTCCTGGAAAGGACAACAAATGAATGACACCAAGACAGGTTAATGATGACTCTGATTATTATTATTATGTAAAACTGGAGTGAAAAAGTAAAACTTGTATGTTTATACCTCATGGTTAAAAATTGAGGTTGCTTCAATTTTTGTTACTATGATTAAAACAAAATGAATCATGTCAACAATAGAGACACACAGCAACCGTCTACCTGTCAAGTTATATCAGCCATCAGAACGTAGTAAATGAAACAAATAAAGTGACAAGATAACTGATGCTATGTGTTGTTGCTAGACATGCGGATAATAACATTAATAAAGATCATCATCATCATAATGAAAGAGTGCCTTGAATGTGAATTCAGAGTTGAAATATCAACAAAATTGAATTAGGATGAGTTCAGCGCAAATTGGAAGACACTGACAAAAAAGAAACCCTTTTATCCTCTTTTCTTCCAGACGAGTGAAAATTATTAAACACCTTATTGAAGCTAGAAAAAGAAAGAAGTGAAAAATTGTTACAATGAGCTCAAATAAAGTGAAAAAAAACATGAACATTAACCAAAATCAGGTGAGTATACCTTCAAATAATAGAGATGAGAAGAGCCAAAAATTGTAATAATGTTGTATCACTCCAATAGAAGACTGGATATCATCGGGATTGTTATAAAATCTTGATTACCCTTTTATGGTTAATCTTTTTCAACCATCACTAGGAAACTGTAAGACAGACTTTTTCACAGGAGTTGAGGATATAATTAGTAATTATCTGATTAAAGATGATAACAAACAGAAAAGGCCAGACCAAAGGATATTTATTCACATACATAAAGATTTTTCTAGACTTCCAGTGACAACAGCAAACAAAAGGTAGCAAACTTGAATGATTAATAAGTTGAACTGCTTCTCTTTAACCGTCTTTTGTTTAACTCAATTAATTTGGCGGTTTAAAATGGTGGAAGAGGGAAATTTGAAAAGATAAGATAGATGAAAATTGACCTCAAGTTAATTAGAAGAAAACAATCTTGATTAGATTGCTCTTCTCTACTGTGTTAATTAAACTTCCATGTATCTAAATCAATGAGAATCATTTGTTTTTATCCATAAAAAATACAATGAAAAAAAAGAACAAGAAAAACATGATCTTCATAAGATAAGAAATGAAATTTTCATTTGAAATTGATGATGGTAATGATGAAAAGGATGGAGGTAAAGAAAGGTCAAGTCCTTTGAAATAACAATTTGATAATCACTATTAACTGAGAATCAACCAGGCACAGGTTAGACCAATTCGATTAATGGTTGATTCTTGAATTGTTTGTTATGATGCCTGCAGGGAAAGGGGTTGGTTAATGTACAAAATTGGGTTAATTCAAATGAACCTTAATCATGATTTGATTCAACAAATACTAACCAGATTTAACATTTTAGTTTTTCTTGAAAAACAGTTGAACAGATAAACCAACAGATATAATTACAAGGAAACAATAATTTCCATAAAACACATTACATTCAATGATTTTAAACTGGACTCTGTGAATAGCCAAACATAATGTTAATATTTGAAGACCATAAACCTTAATTGTTATGAAAAAAAGGCAATTTAATAAACTGTTATTTACAAGATAATATTGTCATAATTGATGTCATGAGAAATGTAAGCAAGTTTTAAATTAAGAGGTGAAACATGAAACTAATGATACTAATGCTATGCTAATATAAATAATTGTAACTTAATTTAGTTCATTGTCCACTCAGTATATGAAGGCTTTATATTTTTGCAAATAAACATGATTAGTCTATTGTAGTCGCTAATCATTTTTGGGTAATATGATAATCAAGTAATGACGATATTTAGAAAGTGATGTTAACATGGTAATTCAGGGAACCACATAATGAATGGTCGGTAGTGATTGTCAAAAAGTGGTCAGTTAATTGTTTCCTAAACCACTTAACAATGACAATTGCTTCAGGCTTTTACAATTTACTGCTAAAAATGTGGATAAATTGTAAATACTGTAAATTAACATGCAAAAAAGGTTAAAGAGAAAGTATCACAATTAGAATGGCAACTTTCGCTGTTTGCTACCAATTTATATTTCTATTCATTAGCAATCAGTTAATTTAGTTCATCTTTTTTGCAACTGTTGTGGACGATGGTAAATGTTATATTTAAATGGGATGATAATTTCAATCTGGTTCAACATGTTGATTTGTTCAGTTGTTTAATTCATTTCTCACCATCATCAACAGACCGAAGTTGATTAGAGTTGAAGTGTGTGTGTGTGTGTGTTTCTGTATGTGTGAGTTTTCATGATGAAATTTGTACTGAACAGGGAAACAAAAAGTCTCATCCAAAAGTACAACAATTTTCAACAGTATATTTATAATGATAATAAGAGTAACATGAGCAATCACAAAACCGGTTAACTAACAAAGTTATGCATACAAACAATCACCCAACTAAAACAATATCAAGTCAACCAAGTTGCTTAATAGGAAGACACAAGTAGACAAGAGACCTTTCCGGGCTAAATAAAGTATGTCGATTGTGTTGACAGGCTTTAGTGTCCAAATTAAATGTCAATTGGACCATTATCGACACTCATGATTGATGAGTGATTCAATTTGTTGCCTATTTTGGTTTTTTGTTTATAGATCAATGTTGACAAATTGAAAATGTTAAGATTTTTCTGGTTAAAAGCTCATTTGTATGAAGGTGAAAATAAATAATGATTGACTTACGAGTTGTTTGCTGGTTTTGCTTGACCATTGGTTTGGTGATTATTGTAATTATAAAAGTGATTGTTGTTGATTGTGCTTCCATTATGATGATGATAATTGTTGTGGTTAGTGTTGGAAGGGAGAAAAGATAAAGATGATGGCGACTCGACTTTTTTGGCAGATTCATTTTTATTGATGGAGGATGTGAAAATTAATGAATGGTCTTTTGATTTAACCTTTGATCGTCCAAATGAATCAACACCTCCTCCTACTCGACGACCATTATCTTGACCATTTGATGGGGAAGACGATAATGATATTGAGCTTACACTGTAAGCTAATGATCTCATATTCTCAATGCTTTTTGATCGCCTGATAATTGAACCATTTTTGCTTGACCCATTCATGTAAGTTGACTGTTGATGATGGTTATTGGTATGATTATTATGGTTAGAGTGATGATTATGATGATGGTTACCTTTACCATTCAAGCCTGTACCATTATTTAAACTTCCGATATAACCATTACAATTGTTATGATGTGATCGTGGTAAACTGTTTAAACCAGTGGTTATATTGGATGGTTTGGTGTTGCTAGTTATTGGCCGTGGAATCAGACTTGGTTTAAAGTCAAAGTCAGAGAAGGACGAAAGATTTAGAGTTGATTTACTTTTTCGACTCAACATTCCAGCTGATCGAGAAGTAATACGATTGGGCAATTCAACCATTTTAGGGATCAATGAGTTTACAGATTGTCCTGTAGTGGAGGCTCGAGTACTGGATTTGCTGCAACGGGTCAATCTGCCTGGGGATGACCTTGGGTCACTGGAGCATGGAGAAGAGGATGACGTAGATGATGAGGTTGAATAGGGTGAAATCATGGATGAAGAGGGTGACGATGGTGGAGATGTTGATACCAGTGAAGATGAAGACGGAGATGAATCGTTGCTTGAGTTGCTACAAATGCTTGAATGTCGGCTAACATGGCCATTTCGATCTCCATTCATTCTATGGTGATGATCGGTGTACGTTTCATCTGGAGATAGTATAGACTTTGATTCACCGGGATTAAGCTCGTAAGAATTAATGGCTTTTCTCTCAGATGATCCAGACAGGGATGATAAAGATGGGATCGTTTTATCTTCTTCACCATCGGTTATTGATACATCAGAGGTTACTGGAAGAGTGGAAGAAGATGAAGAGGAAGCAGATGAGGAAGATGGTGAAAGGGGAGAATGTCCGTTGACTGGTGACTTAGGCAAATTGGTTTCTTCTTCATCTTCCTCATGCACGGAGTAGCTTTGCTGTTGCTCTATATTCAATTGTTTAACTGTTACTGGCTCTTCAATTGATGGTATCAGTGTTAAATCTTCATCCAGTTTCATGTTTTCAACAATTGATAGAATCTCTTGAGCGTCCAATGTAACGGAATCAGCTGCTGCTATTGCTGCATCAGCTGCTGACATGATAAAATTTTCGTCCACTTTTGAAGAGGTTTTTTGACCACCATTTACATCATCGTATTCAAGACTGCTTTCACCTTCTTCCCTTATGATTGGAAAGGTATTGCTAAAGCTTTTTGGTGGCTCAACGATTGGCTCACAGAAGGGTGTTGAATTGCTATTATTGCCTTCATATGTTAATGAGATGCTTTGAATGTCATCATAATCATCCAAGTTAACCTCATACCGTGAAGGTGAAAGGGGAGGAAGTGAAGGTATCGGTGGTGATGGAGCTTGGTGAGTTGGCGGTCCAAGAATTGAGCATGGAAATGAAGATTGATTTGCTGACAATAAATTACTATTTATTGTTGTTGTGGCTGTTGATGTATCAGTTGATGATGATCGGTTTGATCGTGGTTCATTCTTTTCATGTATAAGATTATCCAATGAAAAACCGGATTTAGCTTCAGCAATAAGCTCTTCTAAAGACCCTTTTTCATCAAATTCACGACGAAGTTTCTCAAAAGGATCAAGAACTTTACCCAAATCATGATTTAAGGATGATGAAAAGGATGAATTGTAAAGGTTTCCAGATGTGTTGGAGGTAATGACAGTGGATGATGGAGATGGTGATGAAGATGAAGGTACTGATGTTACATTGTTGGATCCGGTTACAGGGAGTCTGAAACTGTTATTTATTGAACCATTGGAAGATGAATCACTTGATGGGCACGAATTACCAGTAAAGGAGAATCTTTCAATGATAGTTGATACTGAGCTTCCAGTATCATCAGAATCCGATTCGATACCCTTTTCAACCAAACAAGATTATGGTAACAAGAAAAAGATGACAAGAAGAACAAGATCAACTTATGTTACTTTAACAAGGCAAACATTTGTATATCAGATTACAAATACAACGCAAATAGACAACTATTTTTTTCAACATGCTTAAGCATTAATTTCATGATGGATGATTATCATGTTAATTGAAAAGTTTTAAAAAAATCTAATAACGCGCTAATGAAAACAGCTGATAAATTGAAAACATATGTAAAATATAAAATTAAACTTACCAAATTTACTTTGGGTGAGACTGTGTCCATGTAAAGCTCTGGTGGTGCTGGTAAAAGTGCATCGTAAATATTTCTAGATTTATCAAATAAACTAGATTTGTCTCTACTATTCTTGGTGTCCGTTGTTTTGATCCCTTGGATAATCATTTCACTAGTACCGTTCAAGTAAGGTGTTCCCATTGTGGTAGAGTCAAAAGATAAATCTTGTGAATCACTAAAGTCCACATCGTTAATCTTTAATTGGTTGTTAGCTGGCAATTTAACATTATCTTTTGGTGTTTGCATGGATTTTACTGTCATACCTAGATCCGGTTCTAATCCCTTATGGCTACAATCAACAATCACGGAAGAAGTGCCATTTGAGTTGACCAAAGAAACAATTTGATGAGAGTCAACGGAAACACCGGAGTAACCAGTATTGGTTTGTATAACAGTATCACCAGAAGATCCGCTGTTGCCATTAATACTAACAGTCTGAAGATCAGATGGCGGTCGATTACTGGTCACAGATTTACCAGTTGTATCCTTGGCTCGTCTCGGAGGTAGTGGTGGTGGTTGAGAAGGCCTTTTACGTGCAGGAGGTTTAATTGGTGAGCGAAAACTATTGCCACTGGTTAGCGAAGTAGTTGAATTTCTTGGTGGTACTGGAGGTGGTTGTCGGCGGGTTCGCATTGGTGGTGTGAGTGCATTTTCAGAGTCGACTCTTCGTAAGGTTGCTTTATGGTAGTCAACCTCTCCAGTTTGCGGTGTTGTGGTTAACGCTGTACCATCCACTGTTGACTGTAACGGAGCTGTTGTTTCAGCAACAGAAACGGTTTCTTGTCGTTTAACTAACATTTTGAAGCAAATTGGAGCATCTCCAAGAGCAGCTACACACTCTTTTCGCGTCATTGTGTTTACTGGTTCACCGGCAATGTCTAAAATTTCATCACCTTCACAGAGTCTACCTAAAACAGAGCCAGATATTCGGGATGCTGGTGAATCAGGATTAATGTTTTGAATGTAAAGATTTTCAATTGTCTCATCCAGATTAGCACCTCCATCAAATTTGAGTGTCATCCCTAAACGTTCACCGGGAAGCCTGTAAACAGTCACCTGTTCAACAAGTGTTTTCGTCTTGAGATAACGATTAACAATGTTTTTCTCGAGTAAAGTGGTACTCAGCTGTTTATTATCATTATTATTGTTATTATTGCCATTATTATCATTGTGACTATTGACATGATTGTCGTTTGTGGTGATGACAATATTATTATTGTTGATTATGTTACCTGTGTCACGGCCATTTGTTTGCCTATTTTGATTTTGATTTCCAACCTCCAAGACAGTTACAAAGGGCTCTATTGTTGATCCAATGTCTGTTGTTTGTTTCACTGATGGTGTTATTGATGTTGACATAATCATTGACGATGGATTATTTTCACATTCAATAAAAGGAAATTTCTGTTGACGGCTCTTTTTCAGGTTTTCATCAACCTCAACCACGGTTACAAATTCACTTGATGAAGAGCTAAACGATGAAGACGAGGCTGTAGATGAAGATGAAGATATTTCATTGGTGCCCTTAAACTTGGACAAACTACAAGTACGCTTTAAGGTTGACTGAGATACTATCGACGAGCCATAAGGTTCACCATAAGCAAGTGAATCCATTCTGAACAAATTGGAGGACAAGAAGCAAAAAAATGATGAAGACGCTGATGATTAGGATGATGGCGGTGATAGAGAACAAGATGCTTCTACTCAAGCGTTACTCAAGTTTCACTTGTGCACGTTTGTTTTTGTTCACCTTTTTTTTGTTGGATGGGGAAAGATGAAGAGGAAAGATGAAAAAAAAGTAGAGATGATGGTTAAATCATTTGAATCCAACCAAGACACTCAATTTGTTGCTGTTGTTTTTGTTGTCATTCAGCTTTCCAGCCAGTCATCCTAATTATTAATCTGTTAAATTGAGATTATAATCACGTTGTTTTCCCAACAATAACAGACGATAACACGTTAACAACGAACACCGATCAACATGTTATTAAACTCGAAAAAGGTTTTCATCAAAAATCAGGATTCAACCATTCACGAGTAAACCAAAACATTTGCTGATTGATGCAGACTGAAACGTACTTTTCACCAAATTTTCGCTATCACTGGTGATTGTAACATTCAATTATTGCTCTTGTCGATGCATGATTAACGCAAATGAAACGTGATTACGATGACATTGATTGAAAAGATGCAAAATGTGCGGATAAGTTTGGTTAAGATGGTATTCCTTTCCTTTCACAATAACAATCACAACACTTACAATCAGCTAATTATGTGTGTATGTGTTGAAAAGTGTTATTTATGATCTTAAAATAACAATATTTAAATGGAAAAATATTGGTTAATTGTTGGTATGATGTATTAATCAATCCTGAATGAATCAAGAAAACTAAAAGCAAAACTGATTTGGATCGGATTGGAAATTATGGAAATCAATAACAATTTATTGTCAATGATTTTGATGTGACGGGCAATCCATAAAACGTCCAATATCAAGTCCTTAAACTGGTGCTAAATGATTGTTGAAAGAAAATCCAGTTTTAATCCATTAACCAGAGAATCTTAGATAATCCAAGTGATTAGCAACAATTAAAGTCCACAATAACACAGATGAATGTCCCATTTGAAGTAAAAGTTGGAGTTGACTGAAATTGGATTCAGTTGATGTTGACAATCAAATTTAATGGCAAAATTTGAACAAAGATGTCCAATAACAAAGGTTATTACAAATGGTTTTCAATTTTCCAATGATGATAAAGATGAACAATAACAAAGAAACAAATGATGGTAAAACGTAGGCCCGAAGAGAAGGCCCTTTATTTAAGGCAACAAGTGTATGTATTTACCTTACACTGAGGAACCCCCAAAAAAAGGAAGAAAAAATATCATTAAGTCTACTTTGAAAGTTGTGTGTTAAACCATGTCTGATGTTGATGGTTGAAGGAATGTAACTAAGCTGGAGAGTGTAAACTTTAATGTCCGCCGGAGAGTCAAGTGAGTTTAAAGAGAGGAAAAGAAAAAGGTAGGAAGAAAGAGAAGATAAGAGAAGGATAAATAAATAGAAGAAGAAAAAGAGAATGGAAGAGAAACTGAAGGAGGGTCAAAACAAGATGAAGAAAGAGAAGAAGAGAGAGAGAGAGAAGTAGAAGATGAAAAAGATGAAAAAGTAAGTGGTTTTCGGGTTGATTAGTTAATATCCAAGAATCAATTCTTCCGCTGTCGTAGATTTGAGTGTTATTTGGAGGTCACAGGTAGACTGGTCTTTCTTCATCACCATCATCTTCATCTTCATCTTCTCTCTCTTCTTGATCAACTTTGATGCCTACCAGTTTTGCCTTTCCTTACCTTTCCTTACCTTTTTTACCCACCATTCAACTCGCATGTTTAGTTACATAAAAGCCGAAATATCGTAACAAAAATTTAACTTCAACCATTGCGAGCAACTTTTCCTCTTCAACTGTAAAACTCCTCCTCACGATTTTTTACCCCCATCATCATGATCATCTTTACCTTTTGCCTTCTCTTCCGATTCCCTTTGCCCTTCTCATCTTCATAAGGTTTTTCATTTTCTTCATTTCTCTTCATCTTAACAGGTTAATATTGAAGCAGCCTAGAGAAGTAAAACATTGAGAAATGGAAGAAAGATTCTTAATCTTCATCTTTACCAAATTCTTGGTTCCTTTTTTTACCTTCATCATCTTTTCACCATTTAATACGCACGATTATCCTTCATCATTACGATCATCTTTAACCATTGTATGGCTAAAACTATGTCTATCAGTGTTGGTATCAATCATTTAACAGCATCTTTCACTGATTGTTTTCAACTTAATTATGCTTTAATTTACATCTTTAAATGTAAAATAATTGATTGGTTTTTTGGCCAACTCCAGACAATGATTCAAGATTGAAAATGCAAGATTTGGGTTCACTTGGAATCCAATGATATTACAAGTGTAAAAATAGTCTAACACTTGCTACAATTAACTTTCACCTTTAATTATTCAATATATAACAAGCTTACCAGTTGAACTACAATTGAAAATAGTCTCAAGTATTACTGTTACTGAATCTTATAATCTCACTCAGGCAAATCAAATCAATTTAAATCATCTTTTCTTGTTCATGTTAAAGGCTGTTGTTGCGCTAGATGGTGATGATGATGGCTCAAAAATGGTATTTAATTGAATGGTAACAAGTTAAACACGCAACAATTGAAAGTCAATTGTACACAGTTAATCACATCAATTGTAAAAGCACCATAAAAGAGTTAAAAAAAAGTGATTCCCAGTTAATCAGAAGCAACTCCAAGAGCAACATCAATAATCAATAAACAGTTGGTAAGCAGATGATTTACAATAACATTTGATTCCAGGTTAATCAACAATTAACATGTTAACAGTTGCAGCATTTATTGAGCAAGAAAAAGTGATTGTTATAACAGTTAAATCTATCAAACTCAATCAACTAATTCAATCAATAACTCAAGTTGAAGTTAATTTCAATATATGAAAAAAAGATGATAAAATGAAACGTAAAAAAAGCTCAATGAAAGCTGAAAATTTTTAAATAACTTGATATTGATTGAAAGCCTGAAAACAAATTGTGCAAAGTTGATGTTGAATGAACAAAATTAATTTATTAATATCCAGTTTAATGTCGTTTTTTCAACCCAAAATGTTAATAATCTACTTTTAATGATTACCATTTAAGACAAAATTCAACTTTCAATTTTGCATCTTTTTTTGAATGTTAATTTTCTCGCCTTGATTGCAGAGTTGATACAACAATTTGACTTTCAATTATTTTCGGCAAACATTTTTCTTTAATAATAATCAAGCCTAACACCTGAACATTAATGGTTAAAAGTGAATCAATTGAAGCTATTAAATGACCAATTGAAAAGAGCATTAAACATTGGTTTAGAGGAACAATTGTAAGTAATGAATATTCATAGTTTAGTCTGTTTAAGAGTTGTCCTCAATTCAATTTAAATTGTTACTCAATTTAAACTCTATTATCTATCTGATCATGGTTTCATTGATGTATATCATAATAATGGTTAGTTGATGAAGATGATCACAAAATAAGGATCACGATGATATTAAGCGATATGATTTACTGATATCAATGCGATGGCCTGCCAGTTGGCCTTTGTTTTACCTTTATTTTTGCCTTTTATGTTTGTATTACAAATTACAATTTAACTATTAATACTGATTATTGGAAAGATTAACTGAATCATTTGGATGGTAGTTAATGTTGATTGGATTTGCTTTATAGTAACTGAAACATGTGTTTTACTTGTTGCCAGCATTTTGTTACAATATAATCTGTTCATCTTGACTTTACTTTACAATTATAATTAGTATTTTTGTATCTTTATTTAACTAATCATTATGATTATGATTTAGAAGGTAAATTGTTGAAATAATGATCCAATTGATTTGATTATGAACCAAGTGAATTGATAATTGTTATGATATGTAATGGTTGGGACAGTCAACAACAAAGCCAAATTGTTTTAGTCTAAAAATACACATCAAACTAAATCCATAATTGTAGATTGAACAAGCTGATCAAATGGTTTAATGGTTTAAATCGGTTGTTTGTATTGGCAAAATGCTGTAATTTAAAATGGGAATTAAGAGACAATCATTAGAAATGTTTTGATTTAGTTTGCCAACAAATATTCATTTCGGCCAATCGGTTTTAATTTGTTTGAAAAGCTCAATTGAAAGTGAAGTTGAACTTGTTCACTTGTTGCTGCTATTGAGTTTACGTCTTTGCGATTATTACACTTGAATTGATTTGATTTTCATTTTTTGATTAACAATTATGCAAAGTGTCAAAGTTTAATTAAATTGAAATGTGAGAAAGAAAAATGAATGGAAATAATGTTTGACAATTGCAGGTTAATCCAGTTACACCAGCAACTTCATTAAATTAATTGTAAAATCTTTCTGAATTGAAGGAAAAATTGAATTAAAAAAATGAAAAATTTAAAAACTCAATCAAAACGACGATGGATTAATAAAGACACCAATCTGAGTTATCATTTGGGATACAGAAGATTTGATTCCATTGATTGTAATTTAACTTGATTTATAATGGTTATCAATAATTATACTGGATTCAATCCAATTTTAATTAATTTTGCCTCCTCGTTGAGATGAAATCGTTTGTCAAATCCAAAACAAAACAAAAATCAAACCAAATTCCACTCAGAATGGCCATCATTTACAGATAAATTGATTAACAAGAATTAATTGGTAAACATATTGATTCGTGATTTCAGTAAATTGGTTGCCCAACGACCATTTCCATTGATTATTGCTGTTGATTCTTGAAATCAAAACCTTTTCAACTTTGATCCTCTAATCGTCCTGATTTATGCGTTAACTGTAAGGTTCCCAGATTTCCTGAAACTGTTAAAATTAGGAGAAAAAAAAGATGTGATTACTTTATTAGTTCATTGACAGAGCACAATTCATCTATTATTATATACTTGAGAGCAGTAATTAATTGCTTAATAACAATATTTATTTACCTTAATTTTCTGGTTCAAATTATGTTGACTAAATAATAAAATAACAAACCCAAATCCTTTTTCTATATTTGATTTGCTATTTCTGATCAACAAGTGTACTTAAAATTTTCAGCTTTTTTTGTCATTCCCTTACCTCTTTCTCAGTCAACCTTTTTCATTTTAGAGTAATTATTTCAATTAAACAATCATTTTAATCAATTATGTATAAATCAATTTGACTAAAATACAGTAACTTACCTTTAAATGATGATTAAACGATTAGATGTGGACTGTGATAGTTACCATTGAGATTTATACTTTGTAATGATAGAGTTGGAGAGTTAGGTTGATCAAGATGACGATTGATTAGCTGCTAGTGGTTATCACAATGTTGCCAAAAAGGATTGGTCAACGTTTAAAATAAGTTAATCAACAAATATTGACCTCAATTTCAATTCAATGCATTGGCCATTTTGTTGAAATGACTGAAATAAAATGATCAATTGTAAAGATTGCAAACCAAAAGATATGTAAATCATATGATATGAAGCGGGATTCATCTTCGGTTATAACCTAACGCGCTGAATTTAAAAATAATTTTAATATTTATTTAATATTCAATTTTTATTTGATTTATCATTTTAATTTCGGTCAAATTGCAAGGTTTCACTATAAATGTATACATTTATTGTATTGATTCAATTAAATCAAACCCAAAATTGGCATTATTAATATTTGCTTCACAACATTATTTCAATTCACTGGTTATTTGTATTACTCTTTGAGCTGCCAATTTGTTTGATAGTGAATATTATACTGATTGAATTTTAATTAGTAACAAGGTAAGTATCAGGTTTTTGTGTTAACAATTGAATCTCAATAATGTTACATTAACAATCAATAAATAATGGCACTCAATAATGAAAAAAAATTAGCATGAGTTGGAAAAGGTTCATTTCAATTGTACGCCTAATGTGTATTTAACTCAAGGAGACGCTACAATAATTAACAGATCACGTAAATATATAATTTCTTGGATTTCATATTTCTATTGATTTTATCCAATTCCAATTGACTGATTAATGGATAGTGAAATTGTTATCATTGATTGCTGTTGAACGGCCAATAGTAATGTTAACTGGTAAGGTTTTAACAAGCTATCATTTTTTGGAGGACTCAATGTGTACAATCAAGAATCGTGATTAATGATTAAAGCCAATAACAAACTGTTGAAACCTTTGAAAGGTCAACATTAATTAGCCCACAATTTATCCGTAAAACCACAATAATAGTGCCAAAGTACAATTTGTTATTAACCAACTAATCCAACGACACAACAGGCAAAACAAAATCTGTTGATGGACATATGATTTGAAAAGAGTCAAGTTGCAGCATATACACGGGAAAATAAGGTTGTAGAGATGTTTATGGAAATAATTTCAGCTATTTATTGTTGTTATTGTATTGTAATATTGATAGTTTCAAAGTTAATCATCAAAAGGTTGATAAGTTGCTAAAAAATTGTTAGAGTACATAAGAATCATGGTGAAGAGTTTAACGGTTGAAATAGTTTTTAATCACTTGAGTTGAAGAGAGTTGAAGGTTGGGAAAAATTGCTGAAAAGTTGGACTATTGAGATTATGTTTTGTTGAAATACACAAGTAAATTTTTTGCCTTTCTATTAACCATCAAAACAAACCCATTGTATTAAATTGTAACTCAGTAAGCTGGTTAACTTCGGGTTAATTTATAACAAATTGTTGGCCTGATTGGTTGAAGAGGAGACTTGAAAAGGGTAACAAATAAGGTCAGGTGAACGTCAGTACCAAAGTATATATTCACAGAATCACAATATTACCATAAATAACAGCAAGTTGAGGATACAAGAGATGAGAAAGGTTGGCTGCAAAACACTTAGCAACTTGATAATCACTTCAATTGAATTAATTAATTATCCATTTGAGTTTGATTTAGCTGTTTATTTAATCAACATGTTTTAAGGGTAAAATAATTATTAAAATATATGCTATTAATGGTTAAAGATTAGGCTTAATTGTAATTAATAAAACATGTAAAGTCAACACACAAAAAAAACAATAAGCAAAAATAGATGTTACAAAAAAGGCCGTAGTCAAGGAGCAAAGGTGAAAATGTAAAAGAGGGAAAATTGAAATTAAATTAAACCCGTTAAAATTAATGTTATTTATGATTTTGGAAGCTTAAATTGTGATAAAATTAAAAAAAAAATTAAACGTTTAAATGTTGTAAATAACCTAATAATAATGTTTAACCATTGAAATAAACATTTAAAATATAGCCACAAATAGTACATGAAATTAACCCAATTTGCCGGTTCAAAGCCCAACTTTATCAACTCCTAGGTGATTAGTAGCGATTAAAATGCTGTTAACTGTCATCAAATTGACCAAATAAACAATGATTATGATTGGGAAGAAATGAGGTGCAACAATTTACCGTACAATTTGCCAGCAATCATTATACAGTACATTGGTTGACCCTCTGCAAGTAGTTAACATTGTTTGTCTCAATCAAAGACAACAATCCCAATAATTACAATTGAAATGATCATGTGAATTATAACTTGATAATGTAACTCAATAGTAATGTAAAAATAAGATAATCACGAAAGTGTTCAATCAATAGATTAGCCCAAAATTGAAGTCAATCACTGTTTTGACCATTTGTATCTCATTTAATGTCAACATGATTACAGGACAGGTTGACATGATTAAGATAATGTTCATCATGATAATCATGTTTCATCATTAATCATCAACTTATCATTTTTATCATAATATCTTCCGGGAAGCCAATAATCGGTTAATATTAATCCATTTCCTATTCATGGCAATTCAATGTTTCACCTGAATCTGCATGTTAATATGCATAAAGATACAAATGGTCAGAGAAAAGGTAAAGACAAAAAATGAACCCAAAAAAACCAAGAAATGTAAAGGTGAAAAATGAAAGGTCTTTTCATCATTTTTGCAGCAATAAAAGGATCAAGAAAAATTAACATCAATCAAAAGGTAAAATGTTGACTTTTAAAGTACAAATTGAACAGCTTTAAATGTTAAATAATAAAGCTCAAGACTTGTCTCTGATCAAGATCAAGATACCAGGTAAATCTGTTCAATTTCAGGGTTTTATCCTTTTTCAAGGCAATTCATTTGCTTCCTTATCTGGTCAACTTGACTGAGATGACAACCTTTTTTTGGACGTAAATGGTCCAAAGATGAAAGGTTTTGCTCTTGAAACATTTTCTCTTCTTCAATTATTCATTGAATCCTAATCATGAATTTTCTGGTTCCTTTTAAATATTGAGATTTATTATTCAAAAGCAGACTGACAATTGAATGTGAATTGCATGGTAAAGACAATGCAAAAATATCTTGAAAAGGCAACTAAGTGAATGTCATCAAAATAGGGTTACCCTGTTTTTTTCACCAAATTTAAGGGTTCCTCTTGATTCTATCGGCTTTCTCACGTTGATCCAGAACGTGAGAATAGACCTTAACCCTAACCTTGACCTTTTCATTATCGCCCCTTAATTACAATTCAAATTGAACACCAATTTTTACATGTTAAACAATCAAACCTTTTTTGGTCAACATCTTTTTTTGCTGCTTCACCTTGTTTCCCTCTTACAGAGACATACGCTTGACAGCAATTCAACAATTGTTCATCTATTTATATCCAATTTAATACAATTAAAACCCTTTAATAGCATTCATCAAACGATGGACAATTCATGATATCCACCCTTCAATCAATACTGACCGTTTTTAGGTTTTTTTCTGGTTCTTGACTTCACTTGATCAATGTTTTCCTCAATTTGTTTTATCAACATTTTCAATGAAACTAATTGTTTAGTAAAACGTTTGGGTTTTCAATTAAATTGCTTCTCTTCATTAATTTGACAAATTAATCAAATCTCCTTTTAAAAGCAAAAACCTTGTCAACTTGATTCACAATTAACATAACCACCAAACATGATTTCCATTATTGGGTTAAAGGTAAACACGGAAGGGAAGAACCAGAAAAAATGGAAACATTTCTTTGACTTTATTTGGATCCTAAACTGTTGTCCCAATTGACCAATTAATTTGTTAATCAACTGAACTAGATTATGATTATTCAGTAAAGTTCCTTTAAATCAACCTTAATATGATGTGAAACCCAAATGAATCACTCAATATTCAAATAGATTTTTCCATTTCTTTCGCATTTTCTGTTCTTCTGTTGCTTAAATTGATCAAATTGAAACTTTTAATTATCCATTGAAACATAAAATCATTTATCGATTACTAATTGTGAATATGAATGTTGGTTAAATGATATTCTGATGGCTTAATCAACCTTTAGCCATCATTAACCAGTGCATTTGGCTTCAACTTTTTCAGTTTCAAATCCATCATTCCATCTTTTTATAAATCTCAATCTCAGTCTCAAATCTCAATTAAGCTTTGAAATGATTTAAATAAAGATTTGCCTTTAATTGTTGCGATTTTCATCATTTGCAAACTTGGTCAACCTGTTGATTGAAATAACCAAATGAACCAGTAAAAACGTTAAAAGCAAATGCAGCTTTAAATCATCAAACATTTGATTAAAGATGAAAGTGATTAAAATGATGATCAACTTTGAAGATTCAATGAAAAATATTTGTTTAAAAATTATATCAAAAACAATTGAATTTTGATTGTAAATTATGTTCATTGTAAATCTACCTTTTCAGTGTGAACCTGAATGATGAACTTAACCAACCTTTGTGAACCAATTTACATGTAAATGAAAATTATGAATTAACTAAACACTAAATAATCACAGCTTGATTGGATTATTGTTTACCAACAGTTAAAATCTGTATTATTGGGTTACTGTTACATCAAAATCTCACCTTGTTTTACATCATTCAATTATTTGTTTCACAAACACTTTTCATCTTTAACTACTTTAATCTCACAGTTTTGACCACAATTAATTCAACAATAATTTACTTAATCCAGTTCAAGAGATGTAAACAAATTGAAACCATTTGGTTGAAAAATTGACAACAAACAAACCTAAAGGTGTAAAAACAATGAAATGAGCAAAACTTGAATTTGCTCAACTCAATTAGTAAATGGTTAAATTGCGTTTTAATCACTATTCAACTGATTTATTTTTAGTTTATTTGTTTTATTAATAAAACCAACGCCTTGATTAGCTATAAAAATTTACAAATAACTGCCAATTGCCGTTTGATTATCAATTTTAGCTAATTTTTCATTTCGCATTTGCCTTTAAATATAAAAATATTAGAGCTAAAATGGTTTGATTAAATCGTGATTTTAAATGTGAACACTTAACTAAACTTGTTAAACACAAACAGATTTAAATGAAAACCAAATCAAATTGCTGTTAATTGATATAAAAACACAAAATAAGAGCAAAAATTGAAAGTAAAACCTAAAATAAGGTTTGAAACCAGCAAAAAAAGGTCTCATCTTGAAACATGAACAATTAACAATATTCATGGAAAGGTAATCAATCAAGAAATGTTAAATTATTTTAATATTCATTTAGCAATTATTAGAGTAAAAATGGAGTAAAAATTCAATTCAATTTACATCATGATCATCATTATCAATGAATATCCATCAATCTCTTGATAAAGTGAAGATCGAAAGGTTTTACAGTAAATTCAAATTGAACAATTTATCAATAACATCATCAACCCCACCTTAATCATCCTTCACTTTTCCCTGTTTTCACTTTTATCAAGCAAATTTGGGTGTTTAATCATTCAATATTATGCTCTAATCTAAATAAACAATTGACTAAATTGTCGTAACAATTAACCTTGATCAAACCCTGGATGATGTCAAAAACAGTATAAGCTTGATGTTCATTTCATTTTCAGGTTCAACATATTTCTTTCAAATCAATTTGCAATTGTTGTGATTTGTTAATTGTTTAAAGGTTGGATTATTTGTATTCTTGGGTAAATTAAGTCACAAATTGTCGGTTCATTGAAATATTTAAAGGTTAAGATCAAGATCTGAATTTGGTTTTGGTTTTCAATTTTTTTCAAGTTGTTTTTGTAAATTAGAGGAATTAGGTTTACCCAGAAAATTTGGGTTCATTTTTTGTTTATTATGCTGATGATATTGATGGTCAAGTTACTGGTTGAATGCAGGTTAATGTTAGGGGTCAGCTAATATTCACTGAGGTAAATCAAATTTTTGCGTAAACTTGTCAACAATCTTGTTCCTTTAATTTGACTCTTCATTTCGTCTTCTCAATTTGTCTTGATTACTATTATTAAAGCATAAAGCATGCAAAATGATTGGCTTAAGATGAAGCTGGTGATGATAGTACATGATGTTCAGGATAAACTTGTTTACCAGCAAAAAACTGTTAGGTGCAAGGTAAAGGTAGGAAAAAAGGTCCATTTTTACTCCTACAATGTTATTTGATTAGTTTTGCTGTAACATTTGAATTGAATTTTTTCTGGTTTCATTAATTTAACTTGAAGCGAGAAAAAAAGGTTCAATTTTTGGTATTCCCTTTAAAATTTAATTTACTATTCAATTTAAATTGTTGTCACTGGTTTCACCTCAACCTAATCATCATTAATTTTACTTAATCTCCATCTTTTGCCAAGTTTCTTAACTTCAACTTTCGCATTAAATCTGTTGAACAATTAATAAAGGATGAAGACCAAAAGAATCAGGAAAACTGTCTAGCGAGGAATATTTTTGTTATGAACATATCAGATGCAAAATTTCACGCTGATTTCATTTATTCAATTTACTTTTCGAAATAATTTTTCGTTTTCGTGAAAACATGAAAACATTAAAAATTCATGAGTACGAGCGTCACAGGAACCAAAGGAGAAACCACGCTAAGAATAGATTTTTCTGATGTAGAATTTAATTCACATTCTAATGATGTGATTCATTTTGATCTGAAATGACGCAAAACTGGACATTTTTTCGACAATTTGATTATTTCGAAGATTTTTTGCGATAAGTGCCAGTTTTGCGTCACTTAAGATCAAAATATGATTTTGAAAAAGCAAGATTTTTCGAAGCTGCGAAGTATTGAAAAATATGTTATTCACGTTTACATGTTAAATATTTCACTTAATTTGGTAAAGTATCTGCACTTGTTGTTCGTGATAGAATGTCTTTATATCAATATAACTTAACAACATAATCTTTTTTGAGTAATTTAATTACTGTTGACGCGAGTCAAAAATATTTCGATCATGTGATGAAATCATATAACAAAATGTATAAACGGACTATGGACTGACACTCTTTTAACATTTTCAACCTACTCTTATAGGCATGTTCCTCTCATTTTCAACTCTGTTTCACGCCAAGTGAATTTTGTTTCATTCTTTTTGTACTCAACGGATTAAACAAGCTAGACCTAATCGGTTTAGTTTCATTCAAAGTGAAAAATATTTCACTTTTTTGATTTTGTGTTCGTCTCCAAGTGTTTTGAGTGTAAATATTGGGACTGGAAACTTGATTTTTTATTCATAATTATACTGAACATAAGTGCAATTTGATTTTGAAAAAGCAAGATTTTTCGAAGCTGCGAAGTATTGAAAAATATGTTATTCACGTTTACATGTTAAATATTTCACTTAATTTGGTAAAGTATCTGCACTTGTTGTTCGTGATAGAATGTCTTTATATCAATATAACTTAACAACATAATCTTTTTTGAGTAATTTACCTTTTATTTTGGCTACTGCTTTGTCTTTGTTCAATATGATGATCATCGATCACAAAGTTAGAAAGCGATCATCGATAAATTGATGATCGAATAGATCGGACACAATGCTATCGCTATCTCTTTTCACACTTTCAAGACAAACACACCTGGGTAACATGTGCTTATGTTGAATCTTTTACATTGTGTTGTGCTTCATCATAGAAAAAGTCAATTTGATTTGTTTTTTGCTTTATAGTTAAATTTACCTAAATTTGAATTAAAATGTTGATCAATAAACTTCCCGAAGACTGTTTGCGCGCTATTTTTGCTGAACTGAATGACTTGGATGATTTGATAAACTGCTTCAAAGTGTGTAACAAATGGAGTTATTTGATGCTGGAGCGAACTAAAAATGTTAAATACTTGCTGAAAGGTGCTTCAGATGCTTCTCCTGATTCTGTTTATTATCGAGGAGAAGACCCGATTGATGGAACTCTTTTGAACATATTATTTCCAAATTTAATATTTTGCGAATTTTTGGATAAATTTGCAACAAAAGTGAAACGTGAAGATATTTTTGCATCTTTGAGAGTAAATAATAATTTCCTCAGTGAGCCAATTTATAAATTTTGTGATAAACTCGAAATGCTGTCCTTCGACCACTATCGGCCACGCATTTTACGTAATGTGCCCAGTTTGAAACAATTGCACATTTTGGATGGTAGTCTAGATGATTTTGAGAAAGATGCTCTTTGTTTTCCAAATCTTGAAAGACTACATATTTCAAACCAGAAAATTGTTCGTCCCTGTCTCTTTCAAAACTATGAAAATTTCCCGGCTATATACGGTGGTCCAAAGTTTGAAAAACTCAAGATAGTTGAATTGTCCAGTCTTTGTACAAACTCTTATCATATAGGTAGTTTCTATTTTGCTTATTCATGTCCAAATTTACAAAGTGCGCATATTCAAGTGAATGGCGGCGAAGAGTTTAGTGACAGTTGTTTCAAGCACGTATCTATGCGAGATTTAGTTGTAAATTTCACTCTCAGTCACTTTGGAAAAAAGCAAATTGACTGGAAGAATTTGAAATTACTGCTTTTGAAATTTCCTAATCTGAAGCATCTTAAGTTTGGTGGAAAAGTAAATATAAGAGATGAACATATCGAGCAAGTGGTTCATATACTACCCAATCTGGTGTTACTTGATGTCTCTGAATGTGATGGAATTACTCCAACGGCTGCTTATTATGTCCAAAGCTATTGTAAAAGATATGGACGATCAACCAAATTTTACTTCAATGAGAATGCCCATGAAATTTTATCAGATTGGCCTGAGTTATCCACTAAAATAGAAAAAATTAGCCAAGGCTTTGATTTTATGAAAAATTGCTTTCTCAAACGTTTCCATGACCTTCCACATATCTTGATTCCTACTGATCATTAAAACCACAATTTCATTTTTACCTTTGAAATGTCAAAATTATTTAGCCTACAATTTATCCGTGAAACCACAATCATAGTGCCAAAGTACAATTCGTTATTAACCAACTAATCCAACGACATAACAGCCAAACATGTAAAGTTGAACACAAAAGAAACAACAAGCAAAAAAATATGTTACAAAAAAGGCCGTAGTCAGGTAGCAAAGGTGAAAATGTAAAATAAGAGGGAAAATTGAAATTAAATTAAACGCCCAATTAATGGTATTTATGATTTTGAAAGATAAATTGTCATGAAATTAAAAAATAAATGCTTTAATGTTGTAAATAACCTAATAATAATGTTTAACCATTGAAATAAACATACAAAATGTAGTCACAAATAGCAAATCAAGTTAGCCCAATACTAGCTCGGGTATCTCAACAATTAATAAATTTTCAAAATATTATCCAACAATAGCAATGTTGGGAATGTTGAACCAGGTTTTAGGTTGAAACCAATGGTCGATATTTTTGGTTTATTTGAATGTATTTTTTTCATTTGTTTAACACTTTAAAGTGATTATTATTTTTCTGATTGTTGTTGAGTTTGATTGTAATTTTGAAAATAAAGGCTTAGGGTAAACAATAAATGGTCAACATTTGATTTACCGCAATTTATTGGAATCTATTTTGAATGGTTTACCTTTTACCAAATGTTGATCATCTTTGGTTCAACTTGCCAATCTAATGTTATTATATTTGTATTATTTATCATCCTTTACGCTGTTGACCTTAAAATTGACCTCAAAGTTTGAGCATTAAACAGTTAATCTGAATAGTTTACAATTATTACCTTGATTCTCATCAGTTTGATTTTTACATTCAAACGTAAATACAGCAACATTAGAGGGTCAAAATTTATAAATTGTATTATTGAACAGTTTATTGAACTTTCCGTTTTACACATTTTGTTTTTACATGTAAATAGTGTATAAAAAACAGTCAATCTTAATATAATCACATTTTGTAATCAATGTCGGTTAGTTACGGCTAGTTTGGTCAGTTTGATTGGTAATAACCGATGATAATTGATCTGTGTGAAAAAGTATCAGGTAAACATCAAGATTAAGGTTGAAATTTTTGAAGCCATTTTTGCTGTTCAATTTTCATGGTTTCAAGATTGACAATTTGGATGGATAAAGTGGCTAATTTTGTCTTTGCCATGATTAATTGCCGACCAACATGTTTACCTTTCAGGCAAATGATAAAGGACATGAACACAGCTTTAGATTATTTTGTTTCCTTCCAAGTCTTGATAGTTACAGTGGTTAACTTGATTTCTGATGTTGGTATATTTGTTGATGGAATAATCACTTTTTGATTGTTATCATTAATGGTATTCAAAGTAAGTCTAATTAGGTTTAAATATGCGCCTAAGTGTGTTTTTTAATTTGGTTACCATTGTTACCTTTAACCGCGTAAAATTGTAAGTTGCGCCCTTTCCTTTCTTTTGCTGGTAGACATGGCAGTTGCCATTTCAACAGCAACATGTTTTTTATGCTAATTTTGCTAGTTTAATCAAGTGTAACCAAATTTTTACTTTAATTTTCAACAATTAATTATCGCTGTGATGTGTTGAGTGGACTATAGCTGTCTATCAACGAATGGGATTATGTTTTACCCCGCAACTTTGAAAGGTAAGATTTACTAAACAAACACAGTTCGTTATTCAACAAGTTGAGAGATGTTTAATAAAATCAATTTTTCAGAGATTAATCCACTACTGATGAGTTTAAATTTTCTTTCTCCCCTCTTCAATAGCCGCTGTTTTCAACAGGCATTAATTTTATTGTGGAAGTAGTAGAGCTTGGTAATTATCAATTGCTCGAAGCATCATCGATGAGATATTTCTTTGATCCTCAATCGGAGCGTCCATTTACAAACATGGGTAAAGATGATAATTTTGGAGAGGAAGGAAAAAATAGCTTTCTACCTTTCCTTCTGTAATCTTCGTTTGGATATATTTTTAAACCTTCAACTTTTTTGATAGATAAATGCAGTTAATTGCAATTTTAATCGGGTAATAGGTTAGTTGGTTGATGCTATTTTGTTTATGTTGGTTGAACATCATCATCTTCATGTTAAATTGTATTGAAATTAGTTGAAGTAAAGAAAGTTTGCCTTTAATATCAACAATAATAGCAGGCTTGGTTTGATTAAACTCAGCTCCTCCATCATCATCAGGTTTCCACTGGTGAACACGTTTTTACTTTTCTCATCAACTAACGTTTTTTTTCTTCATTTCAGCTTTTCTCAATGGATCTCAGGTGTGGCCTGACTGACCTTATAAGGGTTTCCTCTCTAACCTTATCTGGCAGATGATTAGATGGCGAGAAGAGGTTGAAACGTCTTTGATATGTGATCTATTGAAAGGCAAGTATTTCTTGTCCTTCAACTCAACATCTTATTCTCATTGATTATTTCAATGTCAACAGTTCTTGATGCAGCCAACAATCAAAAATCTATGGATAAATCATCAATTGACCAATTTTCAGAATCATTAGTTCATTCCGTGAAGACTGATGAATATACTAAACAGGGCCACCTTTAAAGAGACAAAAAATTTCTTTGGAACCATTAATGTGAATGATTTTTGATTTTATCTGCCAACAATTTATCCATTTAATTATATTTTAATTGACTTACTAATCGCAATAAATGCATTTATCATTGTTCATCAACTTTCTTTTCAGATAGCTGCGGATTTGCCTGATCAATGTCTTTAGTCCAAAAAAACTGGTCTCTCAAAAGGTTCAATAGACTAATGATTGAATTATTAATTGTGCTCGATCAACAATTAATCCATCACGATTTAATGGTAAAGTTTTTAGTCAAATGAATGCAATATTGAATCTAATGAATCAAGTAATTTCAAAGTTCCGGTAATTTACCTGTCCATGACTTGGAACCACTAATGGTTAAAGCAGCAAAGTCGTCAAATTTTCATAGCGATTAACCATCAAAGTCAATGAATCCAGAGCAAAGGATATTGAAATTAAATTGCAACACCTATTGATTATTGTTCAACTAATCAATTTACTTACAATTTGTATGGAGCCATTTTATAATTTGCTTTTCCGTTAATTATTTAAAAATGTTAACATGAATTGAAATCGTTTTTAATGGTTAAACATTCATCACTATTAAGCAAATCTAAGCACCAAACTTGCAAAAAATCGTGAATAGTATTCACAATTAACTGACGATTTAATTTGCCTATCATTAATTGATAATGGAAACAAAAATCATGATTAAGCTAATGATTATTATTATCATTATGAATTGATGAGAATTGCTGAATAACATCAATGAGTTTTCAAGAAGAGATATCAAAGCTGATAATTTGTTCACATATTTGGTGTTAGGCATTATATGGATAACAATTAGCTAATCAGATTAACTATTAACGTGATTGGAATTTTTAATGGATTGCAATCTAAGTAGATGGCGTTACTTTTATTTTAACCAACTCCTAATTATACCGTTAGATGATGTTAGTGCGCTTTAGGTTAAAAATATTCAAGTTTGATTTAACTCGATTTAACATTGTAACCATTTTATGCAAATAAATTTTACTTAATTAAATTATTAATCTATTGGTTAATCCTGTTTAAGATGTGACTGAAATATTAATTAGTTTAATGATGTCAAGATAATCGTTGAAGTATATGTAAAGAGTAAAAATTGAACATTTCTCTGTTCATGTTGAGATGTTGACCAACTTGTGATTATTTTCATTTGCTTTTGTTTTTGTATTTCACTCTTTTGTTTCCATTGTTTACCATCTTTTAATCAATTTTAACTTCTTTTCTTAACAATTTGATCAATCTTAATCATCACATGCCATCTACATCACTGTGCTTCATCATCACCATAACCATCATTATTCAAATTAGAGTTAAATGATTGTTTCTATTAATAGTGGATAATATTACACTTTGTGTTTCTTTTTCTCTCCTATCATCACACCTTTTAATTTATTACAATTTACTTTTCATGTATTTTCAATTTATTGCACTATAATTGTTGTAAACACTCTACGGTTATTAGTTGTGTTGATCACTTGATTAAGCCCAAATTTTAGAGAAATTTGGTTAACAGGTTTCTTCTTTCTTTTCAAATTTCAAATTTGAATGCTAAACTCATCCAAAAGTATCACATCAAACACCATTTCGGTTACCCGATGATGGATATAGTTTTGATGGATTAAAATTAAAATTAAAGTAATTGATTCATTTGAACATTCAAGTTTAATGCAATAAAAGGTAAGAAGTAAATTTAATCAAGATTGAAATATTGAAACATTGAAACAGTTTGTTAATTATTTGATTGTAATGTTATAAATTATTTATATCCAAACAGGCCTTATAAAATGGACGTCCAAGTGAGATGGTTGTTTGAATCAAAGCTATTTTTACAATTCGGCCTCCAATGCATTACGATTTATCCTCCCAAGTGCTAAAAAAGGTTCAAATTCAGGAATGGACTTCACTTACAGCGGATTCATGGGATAACTCGCCAATACTTAATTCATTGAAGTGGCAAATTTCAAACGCATCAACTACAATAACCAATTGCAGTAAATTCACATTGTAAATTCAATCGAGTTCATAGCAGATTTATCTCATTGTTTTCTTGATTCTTGTAAGATGGAGCAACCAGACTGGATGTAACATCAGCAGCCTTCCTGGAGCATCATGAACATTTCAAATGACATTTATCAGATGCAACTCTAACTGGTAACATTGATCTTTGATGAGCTGCAAATGAAATCATAATCTTTTGAGGCTGAAATTTAGCTGATTAAGATGGAACCAGTTGCCTACAAGAAGTGAATACATTTTCACAAATTATTTCAATTGTTTGCATTAAATAATTGTTAATGGCGAAAGTAAATGGTTTAGAAATAAATTAACGAAAACTTAACACATTAAATCATCTTTTATGGGATTGTTCAGTGCAAATGGTAAGCTTGTGAGTAAAATTTGCTTCAGTTATGCAAGTATTTTTTCAGCCTAAAATGGTCGAATTAAGTAATTAAAATGGATTTTGAATCGATTTTAGAATTGTTAATAATGAAAATCAAATTAAATCTCATTTAATAATCAATTGATTGGTGAAAAGGTTGGATAAAAAATAGAAAGTTAATGTTTTCCTGATGCAATCAAGAATTGAATCATGATCGAATAATTCGTTACAAACAATTTAGTTAATAGCACTATTTTTAACACGTAAAATCTAAAACTTACACCTAATAATGTAAATTATATTAAATGGTGAGAGATAAAGAAATAATTGAACTATTTGGAAATTAATTTCTGGATCATTTGAGGTGCTTCTCAAGGCATATTTTCAATTATTAAAAGCATTAATATTGTTACTATTTAACTTTAAGACAATTTTTTTGCCTCTCTTAATTTACAGTTTGTAATTCAATGTCAACCCCCATTAGTTTAATATCACATGTTTAGCTTTTCTTCATGAACATTTCAAACTCACGTTCAGGTCCAGCATTTGGTTTCATCTTCAATTTTATATTAATATTAATGGTTGGGATAACAATCAAAAAATTAGGCTAAACATTTGCACGATTTTACTTGATATGGGGAAAAAACCTGGAAATAAGTGTTATTATGATTATTGTTATCGTTAATAATTATAGTTATTGGAGGATTTCAAGAAAAAAAAGTGGAAGAAAGGATGAAAAAAGATGAGAAAAGGATGAATAAGGTTAAGTTGACGAAGATTATGATGATAGATAAATTATGTTGATAATGAGGACGATGTTAAATCATGGTTAAATCATATTGGGATTGTTGGTTAGATGTTATTTGTTGTTAGTGATCATCCACCTTCGGAAGATAGCGATTTCTTGTTTGGCCAATCTTTTTACAAACAACAAAATCACTAGTCTTCCATTAGGAGAATGACTGAATTTGGTCAACTACAAGGTTAACAGAGCTTTGAGTAACCTTTAAAACTGACCAGAAAAGTTAAGGGGTTATCCACAGATAAAATATCATCCATAAGGAACAGGGTCAGAACTATGTGAAAGGTTGAAACGAGATTGAATCATCTTAACAGTGTAAACGGTAACAGTTGAAGAGATGGAGCACAAGTAATACCAATCAAGTCGAGTATTTAAATGACATTAGATCGGGTAAACCACGGACTCTAAGACTTTTTTAATCTCGCTCTCTCTACCTTTTTTTCACACACATAAACTCCCTCTCTCATCTTCCTCCTTTGCTCTCTCTGTCTCTCCTCAGTGTGGTTCCAGGTGGACATAAAATACCTTGAGCTTGGTGTGTATTAACTTTTGAAAGTTTGAGCCAGCAACCTTATCCATTGCACATAAACAAATCGTTGCTAAGCTGATTAATCAATGATTAGATTAAAAAAATATATACTTCTATTGTGACTTAAATCATGTTTTACTACAATTGTCAATTGTCAATTTATCAACTTGGAAACAATTGTTTATGCGCAAAAGATTTTGTTGCTAACCCAATTTTTAATCTCAATGTTACTCTTGTTTGCACATTTTTTTAGCTTGCCCATTAGCTATACCATTGTTGCTTCCATGTATTTTTTGGGCTCAACAACACAACTCGGTTTTCTTAATGATTATGATGACGATGATGATTGTTGTGTAGGAGGTAATGTTTGTACAATCCCAGTATATTGATTGAAGCTGTGGTCATATGTCGCAAACCTTACACCTAGTTAGCAGTTTAAATGTCTTTTCGAGTGAAAATTAAACGAATACCAGGAAGCAGTTGACATCCACAATAACCAATGTGAGTTTAATTGTAAATTGGAACCAAAAAAGATGAGACAATCAATGCTTCCAACTCAAAGCAACAAGTAAAACTTGAAGGGAAAATGTGACAAATAAAACAGTAGATTAATAAAAACCCAAAAAAAGAGAAAAAAGATGCTTGATTGAAGATGAGTTAACATGATTTTTAGACAGACAAATAAAACAGTAGATTAATAAAAAGACTCAAAAAAGAGAAAAAAGATGCTTATTTGAAGATGGATTAAGATGATTTTTAGACAGAAACTTACATGGTAGACAAAAATTCACTTCAAACGTTGATAGAATCCTCTGGTAAAATCTTTACTAAAAACACTAAGACGTTTTTGCCACATCTAATTGAGATACTTTTGTTGATGTTTCAGGATATCGACATTAATCCACACTTTGTGATCCAAATAGCTCAAATATTAACCATAATTGAAATTAAAAATAATTTTACAACAAATCTCTTAACAATTAACCAATTTATTAGTTATAACAGTGAAATAAAAGGCTAACTCATCAAGTCTTACATGTAGCATTTATCAGCTTTTCCCTCGCTTTCAATATTTTATACATTATGGCGCAAAATTTAACCAACCAAACAAGTAATGATCATTAATGGACAATGTAAACTGTTAACTTAATTAAATGATGTAAAATGAACCGTCTGTTGTCACTTAATATTTTGGCTATCATTGATTAAAGTGAAAACTGTGGTTAAGCGAGATTATTACCAATTCATTACAATTATTGTTTCATTTGATTTGCGTGCAACTCTTACCATGATTACGATGATTCAATTGCTTAATCAAATAGACCTTTTTAATGAAAGATAGATAATTGATAGGCAAAATAATTGCTATAAAGGCTTTATATCATTATTAACATCAGCTAAATTGAAGATCATCTTCAATGGCGATTAAATTGACCACGCAAAGCACATTCAATGTATCACTTGTAATTTTTAAAGAGACATCTAATATCTCAATTCATCACCATTTAATCACCATGATTGTAAATGACTGTGAAAAAGCAAACAGACAATCAAATCTGATGTTCAACAATCACCCCTGTTTTTTTTATTGATATACTTTCATATTAATTGTACTATAAATTGTTTGACTCTCGAAAATACAATAATACAATTGAGTCTATGAATTAATAAACCAGTTGACCATTCAGTTTCACATCACTGATGATCCATGGCAATTAAATTACAAAGTAAGGCTTAAATCAATCATTACTAGTCCACTGTACACATTATTACCATTAATAGTTGTTTATTTGTCACAAGGAAACATTACAATCTTTTGACAAAAATTAACATTCAACTGAGTAAATGGTTACAAAAAAATGTCATTTTCACAATGTTTCCTTTACATGGCAAGACCAGTGAGAAATTAATCATGCGAGTATCCAAAGTGTTTTGATATGATTGAGATGTTTTAGGAAATTATCATTGAATTTGTGGGTTAAATTTTTGTCTTTGCATCTTTGTTAATCAACCAAGCCATCGCCAAACATACATTACAGTCCTTGTTTGCCTCGTACACCTAATTGAAGCTGGATTGTAATTCCAATTACCATTTGCTCGGCAAATTAATGGTTGAGCAACGTTAGCTCTGAATCCAGCTGCACAGACAATCCAACATTTGCCTCCCATTGAATAGTTACACCGTGCCAGACGACCATTTAACGGAGCTGTAGGAGGGCGACAACACTGACCATATTGAGTCGCTGATGAAACTGAAAAAAGACAAAAAATCAGATAATTAATTCCATTTGTGCTTTAACCAGGAAAAGGTCTCTCAATGTGAGCAATGAATCAAACTAACCTCGACAAATTCCTAACCGACCAGACCATTGTCCAGTAACTGTACAAGTAGCTGTCAGTCGACCGTATAATCTGTAACCTCGTGAACAAACAACTGTACATGTTGCTCTGGCAAAGCCAGGAGCACATTTGCCATAAAGTACACCACCTCGAGGAGGTCGAAGAGAAGGGCAAAAGGCCAAAGGAGGTGTTACAGTCGTATTAGTTCCATCAGGTGGTGTTGTTGGTGTTGGATTGGGTCCTGGGTCTGGGTCCGGGTCTGGGTCCGGGTCTGGGTCTGGGTCTGGATCAGGGTCAGGATCAGGATCTGGTCCTGGTTCAGGATAATCTGTTGACCCTGGGTCATCGGTTGTCACAGGATCAGTTCCAGGACCATTAGTGGAAGTATTAACTAAACAATAAAATAATGAAATTGAAACATTTCTTGATCAGATCTCGATTCAATTGTATACGAAAAGCTTAAATTATAAATTAAAAATCGACTGAAATTTTCAATAATATCAGAGGATTGTTAATATTATCACGATAACTGCCATCGATTTTTAATTATTCATAAATTTAAGTGTTCCCAAAATTTTGTCATCAATATTTAAAGATGAAATTAAAACACGCAATTTGACTCTGAATTATTGATAATATTTAACAGTTTAAAGTTGGTGAGGCAAAACTAAAATTTGATTATAAATAATAATCGCCAATTGATTTTTTCGTGCTTTTGTTTGAATTGAAAGAAAGATGGGAAAATGAATCAACGGGTAAATCAATAAGAATGGAGATGAATGGTGAAAATATTCATTTAAACTGCTCATTACCAGGCAAATTAACTTGACAATGCAAATAATATATAAAGTAAATTTTTTGATCAATACTATTGTTTGAAATGATCGAAAGGTTGGAAAAAAGTAAATGATCATTTCTTTTGATATCGAAACACGAAATGAAAATATTAAGCAAAAAATGATCTGAAAATCGATAAAGAATATATTAAGTTTCAAAAGGCTATCTCACAATTTAAATGATTCCCAAGAAAATTCAACTTTAATGTTGATAGAGGTTAAATTTCACCCAATTATACTTCAATTGATCAACTTTATCATCTTATTTCTCCTTTTTTCATAAATCAGTAAATAACATTTATCAATATAACGTACAAAAGGAAGAAGCTTCAACATTATCAGTTGTTGTTTAAGGTTTATTTGGATTCTAAAGCTTTCAAATCAATGATAATAATTTACAGAATTGATTTATTAATCGTTATTTTACTGTTTTCCTTCCCTTATTGAACCCAAACATCAATGTTGACAATATTATTGATAATGATGATGGGAACAGGGAAAAAAATATTTCTTTAAAAATAATGGTAAACTATTAGAATAATAGAAAAGGAGAAATTTTTTGATTTGACTTTGGTTGTCAAGGTAATCTTAATAGTAAAATAATAATAATGAAATAAAATCTAAATATCAATTGAGAAAAAACGAAAGGAATAGAGAAAGGAAACAAATAGACATTGAATAATCTGAATATTTGAAGCTTGTTTGATGAAATTGAATATCGCTTGTTTTGAAAACTCAAATCCTCATGAAAAAAGTTTGAAAACTGTAGTCTTACTAGGAAATTGTTTCAGATGGTACAATCAAAATCAAATTAATCTGCTCTGAATCACAAGAAGATTTAATTTCTCTGGGTTAGGAACTACAAGATAGACAATTTACTATGAGGTGTGTTCAGATTCTCACAATTAGGCACATTGATACCATAATGCTTTAGAAGATTTGAAAACTCTTTCTTAAAAACTCATATTTCCAACTCATTTCTTGTTTCGATACAGAAACAAAAAATTGGTCTAAATTGCCGTAAATGTGATATAAACTTAAGTCTAAGTTAGGGTGCACCTAAGAGAAACCTAATTTGATCGTGCCGACTCAAGCATTTCCTCAGTAATTCTAAATTATAAGCATCTTTATAAATTTAATGTATTCTGAAGTGCTGTTGAATTTTCAAGTTGATGAAAAAGGCTCACCTCGACAGACGGGTTGAAAAGCTGACCATCTTCCATTTTCGAGACATGTCAAAACTTCTGCACCATCCAGGTAACAGCCTTGTGCACAAGCAAAAGTACATGATTCGCCTAATGCTCCGGGTGAACAAGTGCCATAAGCATATCCACAAATAGGTGAAGTAAGAGAGGGACAAGTTGCCAGTATACAGAAAGGTGGAACTGCTGACCAGGTTCCATTTTGTTGACAAAGAGCATTAGTTGCACCAATCAGTCGATAACCTGGTGGACATGTGAAGATACACTGTTCTCCTATATAACCAGGATTACATGAGCCTTGGAGACCACCGTTGGGTGAGGGTTGAGCTAAAGGTTCACAAGTTATCTGTAAACATGAAGGAGGTGAACCAGACCAGGTTCCATTTGGGTAACACTCAATTACGTTGGGCCCATTTTGTAATGAATAACCATTATCACATGCAAACGAGCACAATCTACCGGGAACACCTGGCGAACAGTCACCTCGAGTAACACCGTTTTCAATGCTACCAATGTCTGGACATGATCTGAGTACACAGAGAGGAACAGGGTTGTCCCAATTACCTTGGGGTAAACAAGTCAATTCGTTTGGGCCTGAAGGCACTGTTCCATCGGTACACATGACAAAACATGTTCTCGAAGAGTAACCTGGTGAGCAAGTTCCAATTAACTGGCCATTTAACGGTGGTACAAGCGCTGGACAAGTAATTGGTGGTGGTTCAATGCACAAAGGTACTGGGTGATTCCAAGAACCGTTTGCTGTACAAGTTAATGTAGGCTCGCCTTGTAAATTGAGTGGTGGTGAACAGATGATTGAACAAGTTGATCCAAAGGTGGCACTAGAACAATTACCATTAATTGATCCACCAGGGGGTGGAACAATAGATGGACAAATAACTGGTGTGCAAACAGGCAAAGCACCAGCTGTCCAATTACCAGTCTCAGCCAAACAATCAAAACTTGGGTTACCTATCAAAGCGTAGCCAGGATTACACCGATAAATACAAGATGAACCGGCTATACCGGGACTACAAGCGCCTTCGCTAAGACCATTAGCTAACGGTGGTAACGGTGGACAGTTTCTACGCACACAAGTAGGAAGTGTTGGTGTTTCCCAACCGCTTGGTGTACATAGTATCTCACTAGTTGGTGTCACATAGTTTGGACCACAATTAAGGATGCAAGGCTGTCCACACAGACCTGGATTACAATTGCCAGAATAGGTTCCAACCATTGGACTTGGTAGTCGTGAACATGTTATGGGTAAACAGTTAGGTAATGGATCGGACCATTGACCAGTTTCACTGCAAGTTAAACTCGGATTAGATGAAGGTGCGTAGCAATAATCACAGATCAAATTGCACAATTCCGTTACTCTACCAGGATTACAAGTACCGTTTAATTGGCCATTAAGAGGTCGATTCAATTGTTGACATCCTATTGGTTCACATGTTGGCGGTTGACTTGACCATTCACCAGTTGCTGTACATGTAAGTTGCGATTGACCTCTCAATACGAAGCCTCGTGTACACTCATAACTACACGTAGATCCAACAATCCCGGGTGAACAGTTGCCTATTAAAATTGTATTCACTGAACTAGGTAATGGAGGACACATTTGCCGAGCACAAACTGGCTGATCTCCAGACCAATAGCCAGTTGATGAACATACTAATGTCGATGCACCAACCAACGTGAAACCTGGATTACATGAAAACGAACACGTTGAACCAGGAAATCCTGGAGAACAAGCGCCTTCAATCCGTCCATTGGTAACCCCAACTATATTGGGACAGATGATTGGTGGTGTACAGCGTGGGTTTGGCTCTGACCATGAGCCATTTATATTACAAACACTTTGAATCAACCGACTAGTACCCGATAAACACTGAATATTGCAGGTTCCCCCAGCATAGGGCAGACAATTGCCTATCAGTTGTCCATCAGCTGGGATTATCAGCTCAGGACAACGAATCTGCTGATCTAGGAAAGAAAAGATAAAATCAGTGAAAAATTGTCTTTTGTTTACATTACATTCAACCTTTTCACATTTGATTAATCACGAGAGTTATGTCTTCAAAAAGGTTCCCAAATAATTGGTTAAACCATATTAGGCCTTAGGTAAGTTTAATTATAGAGTTTGATTATTCAACTTACTTATACAAATTGCTTCTTCCCCAGTCCAGGATCCATTATCACAACAGGTGCGATGAGATGAACCAATTAGTTCAAAACCTCTTTGGCAACCAAATAAACATCTCTGTCCGACAGTATTAACACAAGATCCGGTTGGCCATTCACCATATGCTGGTAACCTCAAGGGTGGACAATTTTGACCTGTTAATAGGAAACAAGCAGACAAGTTGTTTTAGTTTTGTGAACATTGAAACTCACAACAAACAATTACAAGATTCCCAACTTACACTCAACATAGGATAATAGGAAAATCAACAAACAAAATGCAGGATGAGGCCATTTGAGATTATCTAAGTTGGTATACCAATTAATCATGATTAACCATTGGACGATGTAACCCTTCAATCGATAATCAATTGGAAATTGATTGTTATATCGACCTGTTAATATACATAAGGTCATGATGGCTCAAAAAGTGTTGATAAATATTGATCAACAGTCATTTTCATTGAAAGCAAATTGATGGAAACATTTTCAGTGGAAAAATGATGAATCTTCTGTTGGAAGTTAATTGAAAAAAAAGGACAACACATTAAAGCGAGAAAATTTGCTCACAACAAAATGAATGGTTAGTTAATCATAATTCTCACATCATATTTCAAGTATTTCCATCAACATGCATATTAACCAATTCACTCTCATCATTTTGTAAAATATATAATTATCTCGTTAATCAAGTTTACCTTTTCGCAGAGAGTGAAAAGGCTTAAAATGTTTGATAATAGAAATCTTTCATTTACAGTTTAATTGTGAGATATCTAACAATGAGATGAAAATGAAACAAATAATCAAGAATACAAAATATAACAATATATTGTTCAAAAATTGAGTTACATATGATGATCTTTTTCACCATTTTTGTTCATATTTTTCCCAGGTTATCCATCAAAAAACCGGAAAGTCTGATGGAAGGACAAGAAACGGGAAACAACAAAATGATATTTCATTATCATCACCATAAGTAATATTAATCATCATTTTAATCAACCAACAAGAGTAACTTCAACCTTATTATAAACCCAGGCCAAGCATCACACATTGAGCAAACAAGAACGATAATTAGTTAATTTACTTTCAATGTTATTCAACAATAACAACCAGGAATTCCCTTTTGAGATACAATTCACTTGAAAATGTCTATTTAATGGAGTTAATCATTAGGCTAAAAATTATGCATCGAGCCTAATTGTCAAGCAATTGGCAATCCGACAATCAGTAAACCGGAATGGATTGTCAAAGGTTGAAAATAAAGACGTCTTATGGTCCTGGTAAATCAAGTTTAACTTGATGTATTGCTTGTTAATTGTTAAAGACGAGAAGAGTGAAAAATCAGTCATTATTTACTTCTCTGGTTATTTGCTGTTCCTCTGATCTTTCATCATTTTCTGGTCATCTTCTGATCATCTTTTGGTCGTTTACTGGTCGTCTTCTGGTCTTCTTGGGTTTTCTGCTGCTTTTACCTATTTTTTATTTTCATGTTGAATCATTTATTACAGAGAAGTTTAGAGTAAATGATGGATGAATGAATTGAAAGATGATTTATAGGGTGGTTAATGGTACTAGAGAGGTAAAGAAGCAAAGTTTATTGAATAGAATCAATCGATTGTTATTAATGATTGTTGTTGTGATGATTATTTTTGTTGCAAGTTACGGTCACCAAGGATATTTACAGATCTTTCAGTGACATACATATGTATACAATTTGTATGTATTATTAACATTTGTGTTTGATTCACAACACCAACAACATTCACAATTTGTTTATTGTACATTTTCAATTTACTGTTGACTAAATTTTCCGTCACTTGTTTGATAAGACAGTCTTTACAACAGAAAAAAAAACTCATGATGATTCAAATGATTCATTATCACTGCATCATCAGCCATTGTGAGTTGTTGATTTCAGCAGTTTATTAACCAATTGATCGATCACTGATTTAGCTCGATTGTTTACCAATCCATCTAAAAGTCTAAATTATCACCATTCTTTAAAGTGAACAGTTTCATCCTGAATTTTCCAATAATGATTTAATTGACCAACACTATCAGATCAATATCAATCATCTTTGATAAAACGCTTTAGTTGCGTTTATTTCCTAGTTACAAAATAACTATTTTTAAATTAAATTAGACACAAATAATGTTTTTATTAAGTAATGATTTCATGTTTGCAAGATAATAAAGTATTATTTAGCCCAACAATTCAATGGCATTACATCGTTGGCAGGTTTTTTCAGGATAAAAAATTAACTCACATGCATTATATTTGACAATTCAGTGATTGACTAAAGATTCAAACTTCAATGAATGTTAGACGACATATAAGCAGTTTTACATTGTATTTGTACACATTTATAATCATTTTGAACCGATTTTGATTGAATTTTACCTTCAATTATTAGAAAATTAGATTACAGTGAATAGAAGTAAAATAATGGAAGCTGATCTCGATCAATTAAACATTTCTTTGCTATTTTAAATTGTAAGATTTAGATATTTTAATGAGATAAACAAGATAAAGTGAGAAATCTAAATCATTAAGAATTAGACTTGGAAGTCAATTTTTCGTTATGAATAAATTGTGACAATTGCTGCTTTGTCCAAAATAGGCTTCTGTATTAAAATTGTGGACATCATTTTGAATTAGCTTTTTTAACAATATTTATAAGTGGTGCAATTTGATTTATGTACAGATAATGAACCAACGAAATCTATTCCTTTATATGAATGGTCCATGTCTTGGGAAGTTGGCGTTGGTCAATTTGATAAGAAAAATGATTCTATGTTAACCATGAAATCAAATTAATGTTTGACATTAAGAAGTTTCCTTCTTTGATCACTACTATTGTTAACACCAACCATTATCGCTATCAATAATGACATGAGATTACGTCATGTGCAGATTTTTATTTTTACAGGTGATGTTAACTTTTGTTTCCACTTGATTTAAAAGTATTTGCATTTTTGTATCATTTGATAAGTTTTTGAGACTTTCAAGCTTATTTACACCAAATAGAACAAGTTGAAATGATAGAAAGAGAGTGAATGTGAGGGAGAAATTGTAATAGAAGAGAATGAAATTGAATCATTTGTATAAATAAATCAGTGTCATGATATTGGAGTTACAGCTGATTCGATGGTGGGACTGTTGGTGGTTATTCTGTTTGATTTAATCTCGAATCCTCTAACGGCAGCGGCATAGCTTAAACCTTTGGACAAGCAAAGAAAACTAAGAGATATTAGTGAAAATCAAGGATGTATTTGTTTTTAAATTTACCTGTTGGTGTTGATGAATCACGTCTCTCTGCATTTGCCACTGGTATTTCAGATAGTTTATGTTGACGAACAAGATTACATTCACCTCCTTCATTAATGTTTAGATCATAAATATAGACGTAACCATCATATGATGCAACCAAAAGCCAAGGTGTTTCATTAATTATTGTTATTGTACAAACAGTTTCCAAATTTTTCAAAGGTAACTTGGCAAAGGCGAAAGATCTTTCCTGGTTGAAAACCTTAGAGATATTTGTAGGTAAATAGGTCTCTGAGGCTCGTCCGAGATAATCAATCCAACTTGTACTCTCATCTTTATTTCGATTATTTGCTGGAGTTTCCAGTTTAAAGATATGTATAGTTTCGGTTGAACTGGAAGCACACAAGAACAATGAGTTGATTCCAAACGATAGAGAGTAAATATTGGCACAGCGGGTGAAACCGCGTCTGAATTCATAAAGGCAATTCCCATTAGCAATAGCGTGAACTCGAATTATGGTTCCTTTTTCACTGGCAGTGGCAATTTTATCTCCATTTGCGTCAAAAGCCATGGCTGCCAAAGGGTTGTCATGAGCTGGTATAACAATTTTATCCACCAAATTGTAGCAATCAAAGATAATCAGTTCACCAGTGTTGGGTCCGCCTGGATAAGCCAGTAAACAATTTTCATCACTGGATGAGAGGGCACACAAGCCTTTTGGGTTGCTTGGAGTTTGTTTAATTCGATGTAAGTCGGACATGAAATCTCCAGCCAAGCCAACGTGAATATAAATGGCATCTTCGAGAATTACAACAATTCTTTTTCGACTCAATTTTACAGCCAAAATTGAGTTATTGTAGCATCTTGGATCACAAATCATAACATCTCTTTCCACATGGAGGAAATTTAATTTTCGAGGTGATTGTAGGGAGACATATGCCAAAATACTGGAAGAAAAACATCTTTCAGCGATGCAGATTTCTTCCTCTGTACAACCTGAAATCATTTTAAGATCCTCAGTGCTTAGAAAATTAACTAACTGGAATCCTGATCGACTTCCCAGACAGAGAGAAGTTGAGTCTTGATTAAATCTGACATATAAGTATTTGGTTTGATCTTCGTTCTCTGTTAGGCTCATTTTGCTTTACAGATTTGTGCTATGGTTATTTGTCGAAAAGAGGAAGAATAAAATGTATAAAAACAAGAAAAAATTAAACCAAGGGCACAAATATGAATGTCTCAAGGTAGAGTCCAAATTAGTCCTTGATTGTTGATAGCTTAACTCAAGCACTGATGAACCCAGTGAGCAACAAAGTGAAGCTGTAAAAGAAAGAAACGAGGAGAAAGAGTAATAATTAGTAAAGTCAAATTAAAACGTAGAAAGGTAATTAAGTGTATACAAGAATATAAACAAGAGTAAAATAGGCGAGAATAGAAAGGTAAAATTGAAAATCTTAAAAAAAATCTAAAACGAGAAGACTGGTTGCTTGGCTGTTTTAACAATCCCAGTGATTATAATAAATTTGACAAATCAAAGAGCTCAGATATGATAGTTATGAACATTTAACAACAGGAATAATGACAGGAAAAGAACAAAAACAAAATCAGAAGATATGATAAAAATTGACAACTTGAATAAACAGGGTAGTGGAAAAGAGACAAAAGATAAAGGAAAATAGCACAATATAAATGATTAATTACTCACCTCAACATAAATAATTAACTAAAATTGAAGTGAATCAGTTTAAAATGAGAAACCAAATAGAAGTGAATTAATACGTTTGATTTAAAGAATTATAATAACGATTTACCATTTATAATAACCAGGTAACCAGTTTCTCTAGTGGTAAAAACCAGTAACCAAATAACAGTTAAGTAAATTTTTAATTGTAACTCGTTAATACATTAACCAGAGGAGCCATCATTGATTTTAACCAATAAAAAAGTGAGCACAAACACTAAATACACTTTAAATCAAAATAATTACAGTAATTGGTTCCTTTAAAACATGGGAAATTAAACGAAACAAAAATTGACATCTTTGGTCCAGTAACCAGAAAACAGTTTTTGTTTACAAAATATTGCACAAGCAACCATCAAGCAAACCTAATCGCCATCTAGCGTTATTAAAAGAGACCAAATGAGTAGCAAAAATTAAAAGATTAACAGCAATTTACTTCAAAATTGATTGATTAACAGTTAAAACAATAATAAAACAATAATAAAACAAGATTTAACCCAAAAGCAAGCCTTGAGATACAACCCAACTTGAGATAGAACCTAGAAGCCCAAAAATACCAACCAATGTGTTCAAGTTAAATTGTATTGTAATAAATCTTCAATGAAAAACTTTCTAATTACCTTGAAGTATTAAACAGAAGAGACAAATTCAAGGTTTTATTGAAATGAATTAAGCAGCGAAAATTGTTAATCAAGATGAATTTAAATGAATTTAAATGAATATGAAACCAGAAATGAAAAAGCAATGCGATAATCAGGCAAATCCAGAGATTAGGTTTTAGGTTACACTTGACCATGAATTGGGTAAAAAACATGGATAAATGGTTAGATTAGCCGGCAACAATTACTTTGAGGGTAACAATTAATAGATAAATTATTGAGCCAAATAGGAAGCCAATTTTGAAAGGGAAAGGCAGGTTAAGATGCAATTTAGGGTCAAACTGTGGATCCAAGGCGAGCTGGTTAAATGGCTGTATTGTTGACTTTTTATTATGATTTAGGTTGATGATAGTGAAAAATGCAATCCCAAGAGTGAATAAATATCAGTAACAATATAATAATATGTTTTATGGAAGAGCAAGAAATAAAAGATGAAAATGTTGAACCGGTAAGTCAATAAATTTCCAGTTATAATGAACATTTTGCTTCAGATTTTTACCTTTTCTTTCATCTTATAATATCATTATTACGTTTATTATCATGCATTTGTATGTTTCTTATTTTTCTCTCCTTATTTTATTATAATATTATATAATAAAAGGCGAATCTCAAAGTACTTTTTTGTACCTTCATCACCATCCTCATCATCATCATCATCTTCAACCTTTTACCATCACAGTGATTCTGTGCAACCAAGAAAAAACATTCAACATTCAATGTTCAATGTTTTTCCTCATCTCAGTTCAGACCTATTTCATCTCATCATGAGTTACAGGTTTCTCTTTATCAATCCTTTTACCTTACATCAAATCATTAAACCTCTCATCAAGTCATTTGATTGAATTTTTTCAACAGCAAACAGTAAAATCAAGAAAGGTTTACATTCAAATTTGCCTCTCGCTGTTAACCGTTTGTCAACATTACATTTGTTGTTAACTTTTTTTGGTGTTTTAAATCTTTAAATTGTAGTTTTATCTTGTTAATTATATTTTTAATCAAAATGTTGACTAAAATCTAATTCTTCAATTCACCAAGCTCCAAATTTCACCATTAAACCGACTTTCAACTGAATTTTACCATTTTTTAGGTTTTACTGTTGCTACTTGAATCTGGCGCTATGTTTTACCAATCTTTTGTTTTCTTTTGACTTTTGCATGTTAAGTAAAACATTGACTTCGTTAATTATAATTGGACTTGAATTTTGTGACTTAACCAACTAATTGTGTAGTTTTATAATGATTATGGTGACAATTTTGGATCAAAATCGTCCGTTTACAGTGATTTATCCTTTTTTAATGAGCTAACATAAACCAAATTTAGCTAATACTCTTTGGTTTACCTCTTTTGGGTTTCTGTTTGCCGGATTTAGTGTCAACATTTCCCTGTAAAAAATGCCTCTTAAACCAATTTTGGTGCTCACCTGGGATATTTTGATGGTTATTACAATTAAAATAAGAACAAGTAAGTAATCAAATTATTTAAACGTAAATCATTAAATTACTATTCACTTTAAATTGGATTACATCGAATAATTTTGGAGCCTTTTTTGTTTTCTCACCCATTATTGGTAGTTTTTCAAAAAACCTGACTTACATAAGAAAGTAAATTGTGTGAATTGAAAGTTAATTTACTTGAGTGTTCATCAATTAATCAATTTAACAGATAGTTCGATCTTGAATTGTAATCAATACGAAAATCAGATTTAGCCTAATTTTCCTGGTAATATTAATGCTAAAAAATTGTGCTTTAACCAAAGCTAATGTTTTCTGGTTGTGGGTTGACAGTCAAGAGTTGACCTTTGTTAATTGATAACTAGACTTTGCTGATAAGTACAGTTTTACAGCAATAAAGTAATGATCATTAATTTGATTGGCTTTTCAATAATGTTAACCTTCAAAGATTTAATTCAACCTCTTGTATAGCTTACAAATTTGGCTTTAATTAGACACAATGTACTGATTAATTTATCCTAAATCAGCAAGTTTCAGCTGCAAACTTAATCAACTAACAGTTTTCCAACAAAATAAGCATTTTCTGTTAATATCATTCCTAAATTGAAAGTCAACTCAACGTTGATCATTTATCGTTACTAATTGAAGACTCCAACGATAGTTTACAATACAATATTCAAATATGATTACTTGTCATTGATTAGTAAATAAACTAAAATAGATATTGGGTAAACTCTTGTCGATCATCTGGTTATTTTTGGGTTTTTTTTAAAATACCCGATAATGAAGTTATTATATCGATATTAAGTATTGAATCAACTGGAATTGAATTGATTTAATTAAAAATTCCATCATATTTATCATAATAAATGTTGATGTAAAATAAACTGAACAATTTGTTTTATTTGAATATGAATAACATTAGTTTCATCTGGTAACAATTATCATTCTTATATATTTTTCATCAATTTACGAATTTCCATGAATCATTTTTTCACCCAAATGTACTTCTTTTCTTTGCCTCTGATTTTATTGTAATATTTTTACTCCAATAATAATGAGATGAATAAAAGTACATTTGGATTGAATATTACAATAAAAACAAATGGATAACAATACAAATGGTTACTCTCAGCATATTCAAACTGTTCATCTATTCATTCAAATGACTCTACATTCTTGTCTATTATCATGTTCAGATTTTAATCATAAACTGTTAAACCATTGTAACATTAACGTAAAGCAACAATAAAAATAGCAGCAAAAAAAGGTTCCAATAGCAAATAATTCAATGGTATTACATGAAAAAGGCGGATTGATTCACAATAATATTGTCAAATGTTTCCCTTTCAAAGCTGCAATATAAACTCAAGATTATTAAACATGATTAAACATCAATTATCAATTGAGTCCATTAATCACGTTTAAATAATTAAAATAGAAGCGCCAAAAAATGAAGTCAACAAAAAATAATAATGAAGCTTGAAAGATGTAACTCTCAAAATGGGTTAACCTAATCATTTCATTGTAAATTGTATTGCTAATTTTGCTCAATTATTAATCATGTTTAACTACTGTTAATGTCTTGTTTATGTAAATTGGCTTTCTATTAATTATTAACTTTAATAATTTAAACCTTTCTCTCCATCTTGACAGCCAATGGCAAGGAAAACTGTACATTTGTATTTGAAAGTCGAAATGCTAAATTTGGTAATTTTTCATCGCCAACCTGGCCTTCCAAGTATCCAAACAATATGAGATGTATTTACTATTTCCGTGGTGAACCCTTTGAGACCATTAACATTACCTTTCTCGTCTTTGACCTGGAATCTCCTTTCCCTAAAGGGTAAGTTTATACTTCAAAAGGTAAACTTGATCAGTTGAACCTTTGCCAGTCAACTAGGCATAACATTGGACAGATTGTTCAGATTTGCTACATTAAACATCATGCATCATCATTAGGCTACACTGGTTAGTGTTAATAGTCACCATTTACATGGAAACATTGCCTTTACCATTTACCTGTAATTTGGTTAAGAAAGTCTCTTAGAGAGCAGATAAAGTTCAACTTGAATTTGAATATTTGTCCAAATGTTTTCAGCATCCATTAACCACCCACTGCTGAATGAAAATGAAATTAAAATAATCACTTTCAAGTCAACACCTTTTGCTTCCAAGGTTTCATCTTAAATTAAAACATTTTTCACTCACATTTGAAACAAAAAGAAAGTTTTTTGACAATTTTCATTCAAATGTTTAGTTGTTATCAAGGGATGCTTTTTGATGAGGATGAGAAAGGTTTGTCTAACATGAGCCATTCGTAGTGAAATTTCAAGGTAAAATGATCAGTACGAAGAGTTTGGTGAAAACTGAAAAAATGAATTTCTTCAGATCAACTATTTCCGTTTGTCACCTGTTAAGAGATGTTAATATTCTGAGTTTTTGTCTGGTAAATCAATGAAACATGATTTTTCTGTCTGAAGTAAGTTTGCCTTTTCAAGTCAATGATCAAGTGAACAGGGATTTTAATTTCAACTCAATCCTTTTCATTTTTTGAAATCACTTAATTGTGATTGTTAAGGGTTTGTTTTGAATATTGTTATGACTGGGAAACTATTGTTTCTGTTGTTTAATTAGATGAAAGGAAACTGTAAAGATCTTGAATCTTGAATTTAATAGTTTTCAAGTAAATCATGTTTTCAGTTTTTACTCATGTTTATTGTCTTATGAGATTTGAATGTAAAGATTAATTGTTAAGCTTAGCAAAAGTCCTCTGTGATTGATTCAAATGTTTCATTGAAATCTCAAGTGCTTCTTCATTAGCCTGTTAAATGCTCAATGAAAATCACTTTACACTCATTGATTTGTCGGTTTACAAGAAATTCATTCAATTTCCAGTTCTAATCATCTAATCCAATCTGACACTAATTAGACCACAAAAGCTGTCTAAATGATTGTAATATGAAAATATGAAAGGAAGCTTACAGAATGCCAAGAAAAATCGATTGACATGAAAAGATGAAAAATTTTCTCAATAAATCTTTGATATCTTATTGGAAATTTGATGAACATTAATTACATAAATTTGACTGAAAATTGTAAAAGTCCATTAACTTGAAAGCTCAGCATTTCAGGTGAAAACAGCTGAAAATGGATGAAAGTATTTCAAAGCAATTATTATTTTGACGAGGAAAACAGGTAAACCTTTAAAGGTGAACTTTGCCAATGTTTTGGCAAAAGCCTATCATTATCAAAGTTATTAACATCAACTACATCACAAAACGGACCCAAAATATCAAAAGAAAGGAAACTTTTTCATTGAATCTATTCTGGTAAAGATTGAAGATTGAAGATTGAGTTGACAAGAAAAAAAAAGTAGTTGGAAGCTTTTTTGTCACTCATTATTTTGGGCTCATTTTTGCTCAAATTTTTGCACTTTCATCAACATAATCATCATCTTTTGTGTCACTTTTGTTCACTCTCATTGAGCACTAAATTGAAGGGAAAAAAATGTTTTGCTTTTTGCCCTAGCAAATGCCTTCTTTGTCATGTGATTTGTTATCCTTCAAAATTAAATAATGATTCAGTTGAATCAGATAACAAAAAGATTCACTAACTTCATCCCTTCCAACAAATAAATGATAAATTGTATTCACTCTTTACTGTTGCTTTTGAACAATTGCATCGCCTTATAATGCCAACACCAAGTGGGTAAATATTGTCATCGGACAATCAATGTTAGTTAAACTCACAGACAATACATTTTACTTTTAAATAAACTGATTCAACATGAAATTCATCTTATAAACTAACCTAAACATGATGAGATAGGGTAGACTTGTGTAGAGACGGCTGCTTCAAACCAAATGGTATAATCATGTTTAACCAATGATTAACTATTTTACGCATTGAGTAAAATTAATGATCAAGTTACCTTATAAAATGGATATTGAAGCATTTAATCAACATCACAGCCTCAACTAATAATCTCAAATGATGCTCTGAAAATTTCAAGTCTTGTTACATTGTTCTGATCTTTCCTATCTTCAATTTATCAAAAGTATAATATCTTTGTCTGTAATAGCTAAGAAAAGTTTGTCATGAAAGAGGAAATTCGTCAGACTTGACAAAGACTTGAAGCATGTTAAGTTTTGCACAAGGGTCCGTGAGTTTTCCAGTTCAGTCGAAATTCAGCTCATAACCAAAACGTTACGATTACGTTAAAATTTTACGAATCAATTGCTGAAATTTTGTATGAATGTAGTTGAGGTTATTCGCTTGGTGCAAGTGAGTTTTTTAGGCCTGAGTTATCTTGAGTTATCGTTGTTAGCTCATTCACTTTCTTACAACAAAGATCTTTATTTTAAATGTTTCTTGCCCAGAAGTCGATTGACTTTTTAGGATTAGCACCGAGGAACAAAGATCGAAAGATCTCAATCACAAATAAACTTGATTACTATTTAAACTAATCATTAAGATTCAAGAAAGAAACTTTAATATTCATATTTAATAAAGAAACATGGTTTTAGGGAAAATAGGGAGAAGAGTAACTTGACTTCAATAGTAAGAGGTAAAAACTAGAAGTGAGGAAAAGGAAGCGTAAGGCGACTATTTATTGTCACTAAGTTACAAAATGAACGTAATTTGAATTTAACCAATAAGCATAAATAAGATAAGAATGATTGAGAAAGTGATTTATGGCTAGTAAGCGGCTAGTTTATCTGCTAGTTAAAAATTATAACAGATCAAAATAAATATTGTCATTTTCTGTTCATGCATGGATGTGCAAGTCAATAAAAAATACACAATGAGGAGTCTGTATGTACAGCAACTAGCAGATTTAAATGAGAAAATGAAAGAGAGACATTGATGAAAGGATCTTGGAATTGTCATTAAGAAATAAAATAATACAAAATTGACTATTCACTTGAAAACTTGCGCCAATTAAAAGCAAAATTAAATCGATAATCAAGATCATGGAGAGATATTCTACTATACCCAATCAACATAAAGACTTCGTTGAATATTTGTTAAGCAAACTTTTCACAAAGTTTGCAAAGACAGTTTGAAATTTAAAAGTGCCAGATTGGTCAAGGAAACCAAAAAAGAAATGATACAGATCGAAAGATTATTAAATATCGAAGTAGCAAAAGCTGAAAGGCATTATGCCGAAAATTAAAAATTAAAGACAATGTTGGCTATACAAAATGACAAAGACCTAACATTTGCTCAATACTGTTTAAAAGAACTTCAAAGAATCACCAAAGTTCCAGAGGATAAAATCGTAGAAAAATTGTTAATTTTAATCAATGTATTTCATTTAATTTTGATCCCTTTTGTTTGGGTTTATTTACTTTGTAAATGGTTCATTTTTAGCTTTTACCACCGTGGGAAACGGTTAAGCGCGCTAAAATTACTTAATTTTGGCTCATAAATGCAATTTGTTTTGTCCCAGATCCGGACTTTGTCCTAGAGTGAATCTGGCTTAGTGAATCAGTTTTGGTCCAGTAAATCGGTTTTGGCTTTGCACCGGACATTTTCTAGCTACTTAGTAGTCAAAACAACTCAAAAAGTTTTATAAAATGAATGGATAGTTAAAATATTGACCCTCAAAAATATCAAACCTGTTCATTACTAATCAATTAAAGATCATCTTACTTTTCCTCGGCCAGACTGGAACGTTAATGTTCTTCTGATAATTCGAGACTCCATTACATTAAATTGACAATCACAATTAGTTGAAGTGAAAAGAAGATAAATAAGTTGCAACAATTTGCCTTTGTAGAGCTGATATAAGCTCATTTTGCATTTATTCAATAGCGAAATTAAAAACGGATTTGATAAAAATATCAACTTTTATTTTCCCATAAAATCAACTCCCTTTAATGAACGCAATGCATAATTATTGAACCTTAAATCATTAGACAAGTACATTTTCAAGTATGAAATCAACTTGTTCTTGCATCAAATTCATTCTGTTCATGTTGAATGATCAATCAAAATGATTGATTCAACCCTTAGCTTATTATTTGACACTATTTCTCATGGAATGGGAAAAATTACCAATCTGGATAAAGGTATCATTTGAAGGAAACAAAAAGTAAACTGTTTTCCCAAATTACATTATTTACACTCCCAGACTACAATCAATGACTGATTCCCTGACAGCTGAATATTATCATTATTATTATCTATCCATTCATGACAATAATAACAATATTTTATCATTTGTTATCTAGAAACTCAATATTTTTGTCTGTAAACGAGAGGAAGAAGAAGAAAAATTTGTCACAATATTGAATTTAAAAGTTAAGAAAATAGGAAAATGTAAAATGAAATAAAATGTATAATAGGTTTTATTGAATAAGCAAAATGAGACAAAAAAGGAGAAGAAAATTTTCCCTTTTTTCAAGAAAATCTTTTTATAAAAAAAAGAAGAAAGAAAATGATGAAAAAAAAAGATTCTGAGCAATGATGGTGTATTGAAATTGGTGACTTATTCTTTTATCAATTTCCATCATCTTTATCCGCATCACTTTCCTATTCACTTTTATCAAGTTTACAATCAGTTTAAATGTTTACTTATACATGAATAGCTTCATTCTCTTGGGTTATTTGAGAGACAAAATTCCTAGTCTCATCATGATGATAACCATGGAATCCTTTTTTTCTTACTCATTTCAAAACTTGATAAATTTAACTCATGATAATGATGGTGAAACTCATTTGTACAACGATCCAGTTGTAATCTTCACAGCAAGATTCATATTGAACTTTCAAGTGCAACTTGAATCAATATTTTCCAAGCTTATCTAATGTTCAACAAAATTGTTATCATTTCATCATTAAAATCATCATTATGTTAATGAATTCATTTCAACTTTTTCTTCTTTATTTCAATCATGAAAATTGAAACACTTTCAGTCAATAGCAAGATGCACGTTTTGATGGTGAAGCAACTTTGCTAACTTTGATCAATATTGTCAATCTGTTTAATCAGTTTTGTAGAATAGCGAATTTTCAGGGAAAAAATTCCGAGAATTTTTTTCGTTTGCTTAACTGATCGTGTCTCATCTAGTTGCACGCATTTGGATCAATGAACATGACGTTACCTTGAAATGTTCAACTTGCGATTTCAAGTCTTATTGCTCCAAGAATGCAAGAGATTATCATGAGAATGTTCAACAATCGCAATCGAGTAAACTAAAAATTTTTGCTCATTTTGTTTTTCTTTTCGTTCTTGAACTTTTTCCTTCTGAACTCACAGCGATCTGAGTTTGCTAATCTCAATGTAATCACGCATCACTTGAATATTATTTTTAGCATTTTATTCAGTTCCAACTTCACGCAATCACTTGATGGACAATGACAATAATGATAAGTGTTTTGATTTGGAAAAAATGAATTCTCATGAAAACTCGACATTTCGTTCTTGAAAGGTTTCTTGATTCGAAGCGAAATTTTTGATGGAAAAATATTTCTCGAGTTTTCATGTTTCAGCGATTTGATCGATAAGTGATAAACTGAAAATGCTTTGAGCGAAAATTTCTTGCTGATTATTATGTAAAATATCAGAAAAAGATGGAATGGAAATTCAAGCTTTTCTATGGAACAGAAAACATGGAAACTCATTGAATTTAATGTGCTATTGCACAGGTTTTCCTTTGCTCTACCATGTAACTTCTGATTCTATTTGGAAGTTTTCTTCTTCCTTCTTCTTCTTCTTGAAAAGGTTTATTATTCCAATAAGAGCTTCTATTATTTACTACTTTATTAGTTTTCTTATGCATACTTGTTCATGGTTTGCAATATTCTTGGAATTTTATCGGAGGCAAGAAAAGAAGGAAAAATTTTCTTCTCATCATGTCTATTAGTTTACATCTTTGTGAATATTATTTCACCATTTTCCAAGAGTAAACCCATTTTGCTGGAGTAACAGCTCATAATCATTTTACGCAAATTGTTTTGGATCTCAAGTCTTTATTTCAAAGGCCAACAGCAACCATCTGAATTGAATTTGAATTTTAAAATTTCATGTTTTGTTTTATCCATTTGGCAAAAGAGTTCTGACAAGGTTGAAGTAAACTTTGTAAAATTTGATTCACCGAAAAAGATTTGGTCAGTCGAATCGCAATTTTTCAAATTTAATTTCACGAAGTAAACAGTTGAAGCTGATTCTTAATCTTGAAAATCAAATGAAACTTGGAAACTTTTGACTCAAAAAATTTCGAAATTTGTGAAAATACTTTTTTCGAGATTTTCTTTATAAATTCTGAGTAACACTGGATTTCAATATTTATGATTAGCATTTGAAAGGAAAACTTCTGAAACATTTTCCAACTTCGATAATATTTTTACCATTTCTTGGCGTTTCGTTTACCAGAAGTTTAGATTTTTAAGGCGAACAAAATTCTTACTGAATTTTATGATTTTTTTTCATTCATTTTCTGTGGCAATAACATCGATATCCAATTCCATTGAGAACAATTTTTGCAGATTTCCTTGATTCACTGAATAATGCTTTTTAAGGCTATCGAGACTTTCATTTGGGAATATTTTAGTATCATGATGACTCTGAAAAGAGATAAGTAAAGAATGGTGAAATCGAATGTTGCTCAATAAATTGTAAAATAGTTCATGATTGTTGGTAAAAGTTGCGTGCAATGAATATGCATGTGAAAAGAGAAACTCGAAATTGTTTTAAAGCCATTTCTTGCTGACTTGTTTACCGTGAAAACTGACTGGGAATTCCGTCACTCCCATCTCTATGGAGTGAAACTTGTAATTTCATGTTTGATTGGTTGCTGATTTAATTGTTTGTTTTCTCAATAGATGTTTATCCGATTATATCGACATTTCAACGATCACTGCCTTTAATGTTAAAAGATTAGTTGGACGTTATTGTGGTTCCTCTGTGCCTTCACCGTTACTCTCAATGCATCCAAGGTCTGAGATTATTTTCAAATCCAATCATGTTATTAGTCGACCAGGATTTTTTGGTTTCTACGAATTTCTCGATGAAAGTAAGTCGATTGCCTTTTTCACCCAAAGATCAACGTTTTAACAAGATTATTGAAGCACACCAATCAAGTTAACAGTAATCAATAACTAAGCTGTTAACATTCAAAGAATCGTAGATAATGTTCAATTCAATTTCGATTGTTGATTACGAGATTGAAATTTTAAATTCTCGTTCCATTTAAAGTCAAATTTTCTCAACAATCTTTGAGCTTTCCAAGTGATTTTTTCGATTAATTCCGAATGAAATTTTTTCTCCTTCAAGGTTTAATTGGTCCGCCATTATCAACAATCAATAAGGAATGCGGTGGAGAAGAGAAGGGATTTGGTGGAGTTATCAATTCACCCAACTATCCAAACTCATTTCCCAAGCAGATTGATTGCATGTGGCTTATACTCATTTCCCAAGCAGATTGATTGCATGTGGCTTATCCGAGTTGAACAACATCAACACATTTACCTTAGAATAATGTAATTCATTGTTGATTAATCAAAACACCAAGACAATGAGAAGGTTGAATTTTGCCCATTTATCAAGTCTATTTATCAATTCAAAGTTCACCATTTTATCAAGTCAAAGCAAACCTCGTAAAGAGTCAAAAATGTTTTATTCAATGGAATACATTTTTTCCTCATTCCATTCAATATTTACCTTTTTCACAATTTTGCTTTTCTCATTTCATTCAAAGTGATAATTTCATCAACTTTTAGACACATTTCAAAGTCTTTTAATTTAATGTTGATTACATTTTTCAATTTTAAACTTTTAAATTGCAAACAAAAGCTAATAACAATTGAGTTTGGTGAGAGGAAAGAGTAAAGATGAAAATAATGTTTTCACTGTTGAACAACAAATGTGCAAAATGTAACCTGAAAAGTTGAAACCTTAATGGATTGTCAACATAAATATTGTTGCTTGGGAGTAAATATTATCAAATAATAGGCTTGATATAAATACTTTATGGAAACAATTTTGTACTTTCTTGCTTTTTGTATTAGATAATTGAATGAATCAATTAATCTTTATATAAAGTAAACAGCGCAAAGAGAGATTAATCAAGTTGATTATTTTGTGTGAAATGATGGAATCCTTTTTAATTCATTTACACAATCAATCAGATTAAGTTTAATTTTGCTCTCTTCTTTATTTCCCCATCAATTACAGCAAACTGTAAAGATGCTCATTTAGCTGTTTATGATGGTTATGAAAATTACGATTATGAACATCATGAGCCTAAAAAATATTGTGGTGATCTCAAGTACTATAAAAGTCTGGATGATAAAGTACAATTGAGTGCTAATAACCGTCTATTAATCAGGTTAGTCAACCATTTTAAACCTGCAAACTTGGAACTAAATTGATCGTGAAATTCATTTTTTCTCATTCATTTTATTCTAGATTCAAAAGTGACATTTCAGCTCCACAATGGGAAGAGCAAGTTTCGTCACAAGAAGTTACTGGATTCAAAATAATATGGACAGCAGTTACATTCAAACCTAAAGGTATGATCGTTATGTAAAGGGACCTTTAAATGTCAGTTAGAGGTGCAACGAGTGAACTTGAGTGACTTGAGTCTTTTACGAAGCATCAAGATTTTAACATCGATAGTATTGTGTCACAAACTGGCGTAAATGTAAAAAAAAATTTCTCATTGAATGGCTTTTGACTATAATCTCATTGAATTGTTTTATCTATTTTTTGAATGCTCTCCTTCATGTCTTCAAATGATCTGGTTAAAGGCCAATGTAACGATTTTTTGTGCAGCAAAAGTGAATTCTGTTTGACGCCAAACAGTGGATCAACGTGTAAACGCAAAGAATATTTTTGCATCGATAAATCATTGAAGTGCGATGGAACGCCTCATTGTAGTGAACAAGATTCAAGTGATGAAGACCTATGTAAGTAAAGAAAATCTTAAAAACGGAAAAATTAATCAACATGAAAGTCTCAAGCAATTTGGGAATATATTTTTGTTTCCAATGAAGGAAAATGTAAAATTTGAAAATTTTGAAAAACTAAACAAAAACACTTCAACTCTTGAACAGTTTGTTGATGAAATGGACTTTCAAATTTTGAAATATTGTTTTAAAAGTGTAAACCTTTTCTTTCAGGTAATGTTTCCTATCGTTTGTACATAATTTCAAGTTTAATTGGAACAAGTTTAATTGCTTTAATGTTGACCTGTTTCATCTGTCACCGTAAACGTAAATATCATCGATCCCTTCAAAATGGACTTCACGGTTCACAATCGTCTGCATTTACCCTGAAAACATCAGACGGTTCAATAAGTGTCAAACACTTGAGTCACAGTCCACAGTCTTCCTCACTGATGATTGATCAGGCAACCGGACCTGAGCTGTTGTTGCCCCTTGAAACGTATTACCATTCATCGGAAAAGGAAACCTTTTTCCCTTGCAAGGAGACACCATTGATGGGGTCAAAGATGAAAAAGTCAACAGGATCACCAGTTCATTACCCAACTGGATCACTACGAACACCCAAACACTTGGCCAACAGTCACAAGCAAAACCCTCTCCTTTCAGGTAAACCCGTGTCATCACCATCACTGGGTAACATTGCCTCCTCCTGTTCATCTCTTATTCAACCCGGTAAAGTTCAACCCTGTTCAATACATGGCCATGGATCAAATTTATTTCAAGTGCCTCCTTCCCTTTGTCCTTCCCATCAAAATTTGTACACTTCACATGTAATATCAAACAGCCTTGGGACATCGAGAGAGTTGAAAGCCAACACCATCTCTTTGGTTAACCTTAAATCTTGAACAAAGGCGATCGTCTACATGATCAAGTGTTAAGAACAGAATGCTCTTCAAACTCATCTTTACCCAGAAATATACTCATTAGGAACCATCATTTACAATTTGCTTTTCATTCAAAAAAATATCTTCCAGTTGATTTTCTGGTTCAGTCAAGTCTCGAGATTGTGGGAAATTGAATTTTTGTTTGAAAATGTTATTCAAAGCGTCAATTGACAATCATTGAAAATGTTCACAAACTAATTGTCAATCATTTTGTTATCAACTCTTAACAATTGAATTGAAAACCAAAAGATTACTTGAAACTGGATTCAGTTACATTTACCTATTGTATCTTCCATGCAACAGCCTGAAGCAACAACAGGAATAACGAAAAGAAAAAGTCATCGCTCAACTTCTTTTTTTCTGGTTTTCAGGTTTTTCCTCTCATCAATTTCACACAATTTTTCATTCTGCCAATAACTGCCAATGAATAATACCAAACTAATGAAACCAAAGAAATGAGAGAAAACAAATTCCAATCAATATTATCAAAATTCACTCCCAGTCTGTTGATTTTCCTAATTTTTATCCCAACCTTTTGTTTAACTTTGTGTTGAAACTTGTAAACAGACTTTAAATTTTTTCTAGAAAAAAATGGCTTGAAATCAATTTTACTAATAAAATGTTTGAATTTGCAAAACAAAGCTTTCAATTTTGATCAATTTTTTGGAAAAAAAACTTCTTTATTCAATATGAATTTCAATCTTGATTTTGTCTCTTTTTTTGGTTTATTTACAATAATCTGGTTTCCATTTGATTACCAAACTTTTGGCCATTGTTTCGTTAACCAAATATTTACAATTTAAAAGCCAAAATCTTCATGTTTAAAGACGAAATGACTTCCAGATAAGTTCATTGAATGGCAAGTTTTCTTGACTTCTCGGCGCATATTTAAAGGTCCAGAGCAAAAGACTGAAACTCTGTGAAAGAGAAAAGTTTAATTATTCATTTGAAACAGTTTACGATGAACGAACATCATTTTTTCGATTTCCATTTTTTTTCTAACATTGACTCTGAAACTCTTGGACACTTTGCTCAAAAATATTTAGCTTTTGTTGCTGCCTTCTTCAGGTGCTTTCGTTTGGGTAAATGTTTGCCTGACTTTGGTTTGTTTCAAGTTTATTCATTGAAAATCATTTTTCGATGTTGATCTATTATTAGTTTGTTGGTAATCCATTTCCTATTAACTAAATCTGATGATAAAGAGGAGGAGGAAGAAAAGGATGAGGATGGAATGGTTAATGAAAAGCTACTCCAAATTAAGGTGAACATGAACAACATTAGACTGGGAGTTGGAAGGAAAGAGAACAAAAAAGATAGATATGGATGGATGAATAGAGAAACCATGGAAGGAGATGAAGATGAGAATGGGAAAAGTGATGACGATAATGATGAGGAGGAAGAAAAAGAAACGGAGGAAAAAATTGAGAGAAACAGAGTTCTGATAAGGAATGCAATGAGAAGGTTTGCTGAGAAAATGAACAAGACAAACAGGGCAAACAGAATCATGGAATATAATCAATATTGATTCCAATTGAAATGAGTGGATAAAAATGATGAACAAATGATGATCATGTTGAGAAATGTTGGTGTGATCCAGGAGGGCAAAGGGAATGAAAGATTAAAATAAAAATATAATTTCGCCAAGAATAAATGTTCACTTGTATCAATTATCATTTCATGTTTCACGGTTGATCTTGTGTTTAATTGATATCAAGATGAACCTTCTCTTCAATCAAATGTTGAATGAAATTAAGTGTAACTGTAACTGTGAGATAGAATGAGGAAAAATGGGAAAGGTGAAAAGTCTTTTTGTCAGCTAAATGTTGTGTTTCATTTGATAATATTGATAAATCATGAATTCATATTCATACCAGAAGTTGAACTTCGGATAAATTATTAATAAATTTTGTTTTGTCTTAAAGTCAATTGCAGAAGCTTTTCTGGTTAAAATGTCCATTTTTCATTTGAGATCCTTTTGAACCAGAAACTAACCCAAAATTATTGCTAATCAATTGCTTTAAAGTTGTTGAAACCTTCACTTGATCATTTACATTTCAAAACTATTCAGTTATTGAACTTTTGATTACTTTAGTAACACAATGTTGAGCTTTTGTCATTTAAACCAAATCAAAATTTTCAACTTTTATTTTCATTCTTAGGGTTGTCTCTGGTGAATGATGAACAATGCTATATGAGGCAAAATAACATGGAAATGATTCTTCATGTTCAGTGGGTGGTTAAGGCTTTGACAATTTATTATTATTACTTACTTTTGCTGTTGATGGGTTCGCTGTAATTGTTGAAAGATTGCCCTCAATTTGGGTTTACCCAGGAAAATTGAATTACGAAGCAATTTGTTTATCAACATTTCATCTTGAACAACCAATCGATTAACATTAACCAACATTGTCTCCTGGCTCTCTTGGGTTAAATAGATTGTCAAACGAAAGGGACTTCGTTGAGTGCAGCGTTTAATTGACTTTGATTTGCAGTTAATTTTGATGGCAAAGAGGGAAAAAAGAGGAAAAATTATTCAATTAATGGCTGAACAAGAAACATGGATTGATTATGTTTAGTCTATAATTAATTATGGTGACAATTAATTTACAGTTAATGATGAAAAGCATCCCAAAAGGCAAATACAAATTGCAAGTGTTGAAGCTTACATTTGAAGCAATTGAAGCAATTGTTCAACTTGGATTGCACTTTGATTACTGTGATTAATTGAACCAATTGCAACATTGAAATTGAATTAGGTGTTCGTTTCATGGAAAAGGCTGAAACTGTGTGTTAAATTTTAAAACATATAACTGTCGAAGGATAAAATAATGTCGACAAGTTGAACAGGGAAGACTGAAAAAAAGTTGCATTTTCCATGAGAAAATGTGATATTCTTTTCTATTTTCCACATTGAATTTCATGATAACATGATATGACTTTTGTTTCCTCTTTTTCTCATTCTTTTCATCATTGAAGTTGACATTTTTTTTCCTTCCAGGCTTGAGATTGATTGTTACTCTTATCTCGAGTAAACAACAATGAGAAAGTGAAATGAAAGCGAAAATAAAAATGCTCAAAAGTAGAAAAAGTTTTCATCTTTTGGGATAAAAAACAGTCGAGTTCAATATTATCATTATTATCCTTCCCTGTTTACTTCATCAAACCAGATTCTGTTTCATCTTTTTTTTCAAGTTTCATGCTTTCTCCTTTCAACCCAAAGCATCAACTAAGTGCTGTTATCATTTTTATTTTGCCAATTATTCGATATTTTCTGACGATAAAATGTCAAGACTAAGTTAATCTAATGTCTACTAACTTGCGATCATTAAAGTTGATTTAAATAAACATTTTAAGATGATAACAGATTGAAATGTGTTTCAAAGTCTTAATTTTGGTTCAATTTTTGGATAAAATCTCTTTATTTTGCATTATTATTGGGACAAAAAAACTGATTAAACTTAAAACGATCATTTCAAGACTTCTTCGATTCGATTCTACCGATTTTTGCCTTTAAAAATCGACAATAATCGATCAAAAAATCGATTCGTCAACCAAGTTCAGGTTTTATTGTGATTAATTAATAAATTTTGGATCACTTATCCAATTAAAGCAAAACAGTTAATGCTCTTAATCGAATTGAATTATCTGATTTAAATCTGAAATTCATAGATGGAAATAAACTCTGATAAAAAAATCGAATTCCTAACAAATTTTTGATTCGATCATTTCTAAAATCGATTTGGCTCTGCCATCTATTGCCTAATCTAACCCAATCTAACCTAAGCAAACATTAAAACCTAAACCAATTACAATGAATTATGGACAACTCAATGATTTTCATCTGATTATTTTGCATTGTTATTGCGACGAAAAATGTCCGCATTTATAGCAATTGCATTAATCACGCTAATCACTGTGATCCAAAAACTTCACCAATAAAACTTGTTTTACCGTTACTTGAAGGGCATTTGTGATTAAAAATTGTAATCTTCATCATTCATGTTGGACAATTTATTCCATGTTTTGCTTGCATTTTCTTTAGCATTGGCTTATTCCTATCAAAACACAATGAAACCTTTCATGATGTTTATCTTGTGAAACAGCAATAATCCCAGAATAAAATTGATCGTCTCAATAAACCTGATTAACTATGATAATTTAGAGTTTGCACTCATCAAGCCAAATGATTGCCTGAATGACACGTTTTGTATCATGCTTATTTGAATAAACTTCATTTATATTAATTTTGGGTTTCAATTGAATAATGCATCCAATAATGATGCGATCCAGTGATTACAAGTGTAGTTGATTAGATTCTTAACACAAGTTGATTATTCAACAATTTTTGCTATTTATCTTGCCATTCAAATAAATCAGGATTCATCATTTATTTTGCATTTCCATTTAATTCCTATTCCAAATCAAACATAATCTCTTTTCACTTGAGTTGATCAGATTAATGTTTAAACATTAACCCATTCCTGGTACATAATTGGACCAATTGAAAGTTGTAATAAGATAATCTGAACAATATTGAAAAATTAATGATATTTGTTTATAATCGAGTTAATCTTGGCTATTGAAACTATTGAATGCTTTAAAAACAGATTCGAGTAAAAGTTTCAACTGAAGCCACTTGAATCGTCTAACAGTTGAATCAAGATTACAACTCTTGTAACATTATAATAGGCTTTGCTAGTAACTTGATTATCATTGAATAAAAAATGGTTAAATTTGGGTTGTAATTGAATAGAGCAAATTAGTTCTGAAATTAAAAGTTTCCTCAACTATTTTGGTTTCTGGTTCTTCAAAGTGCAATTCAGATTAATGGTTAATAATGTAAATAATTGCCGATTAATCCTAAATGGCAGATTAATGTTGAAATGTTATCTTTTTGTTATCATTTACCTGAGAGGTTCCATATACATGAGCCAGTGTTTCAATGAATCCTGATAGATTGGATACATTGCGACAAATCCAAATGAAATAAAGCTTTTCAATCTTCACTGATTTGGCAGTTAACATGTCGGGATATGATCTGTAATTAAAGCCAATAATGATTAGTAAATTTGTAACATGTCATTATTTATCCTTTGCGATTGATCAAAATATAAAAGCAGATTCAATTGGTTCAAACCCATAATCACGAATCCCAAACAGAAACTTGCATGAATGTCGAGACAAAAAATATTGATTAAATGTTCAAATGGTTTTACATCAACCTCAGAGTAACATTGAAGTATCTTGCAACAATCAACCAAGAACTTAAGTCTATCATAACCAATAAATTGTTATAAAAGTTGGCAAACCTAATTTTCAATCTGGATTGAATAGCAATACTGAGGAGCTACTGGTCAGTCAATTGGTGCGATATTTAAAGAAGCTCAGAATAAATTATTAGTTCTCTTGGCTAAAGTAAGCAAAACTGAACAGTCAAGTGTCCCAAGTAAATAAGAATGACTTGAAACCTAGAAACTCGTCTTTTAGCCACTTGAGAAGAGCTCTTGTTAGGAGTGAACTTTGTGTTAGTCTTAATGTCTTCGCAGGATACAGAAAGACGTAATTGTCCAGAAAGGTTCAATGGATTTGCTAGAAAAATCCAACGATTTTTCGTTCCTTCATTTAGTTGATCAGAATGACCAGTCTCACAATGCAGAACCTTAAGGTAACCTAAACAAACAAAGCAAACAACAAGTTAAACTTCATCTCTTTCGTGTATTGACATTGATTCATTCAATTTTCATTTTAAACTCAACTTTAGCCATCAGTTGAACTCCAACACGAACATAAATAAGCATCGTTTCAATGGCAAAACTACTTTAACAGACGCATTTATTTGCTAAACTTTATGAAAACATTTGAGTAAACATTTGAATTGCATTAACATTGATATTCCAAGTCCTAGCATTCATTGAATGCTAGAATTAGTTGGCATATTCAGAGTTTTGTTTCGATTAAACGACTTTAATGAGTACATCGTTTACCAGTTTTTTGATTAGTCAAAAAGTAGAATCAGTTTCTGAAATCTTTCAATTTATGGCAACAATATTCTGTATCATCAATAATCTTGATCATTAATCATCGCAAATGAAGCAATTGAAGGAAAATGAATTGAATATCAACTTTTTGCTTCTGTTTCAATGGATTTCTTCGTCTTGTAATAACAATTACAAACAAGCAAATTTGCGTTTTACCTTGCTTAAAGCAATGAGACAATAAAAAAAGATGAACTTGGAATTGGAATTATGATGATTTTCACTCTCTGAATCTGAAAGACACAATTGTTGACAGAAAGAGCATAAACAAAAAGATAATGGAACAGAAAGAAGAAGTAAAAAGGAAAACCTTTTATTGAGTTTTGTGTCTTTTTTTCATTATTATCATTTCGTTGGCAATTATTTCCTCAAACAGAACCAAAAGACATCCCAGTGTTTCCCAAAAATCATACAGTAAACATATCGATCACCTTTTTTCTTGATCATTCTCATTCTCATCATCATCAACCCATAAATATGGTCAACTATTAGCAGTGGCCAGGAACAAATTCACCGAAGAAAACAAAAACATGAAAAGAAAAGTTCTTTATTCCCTCAACATTGTGACAGTAAAAATGATGACAAGATGAGCTCAGGTAATGGTGGTCATATTTAGTAGTTAATATCTGGTTTGATTGGGTAAAAAAGAGAGGAAAGTTTACTCTCAAGAGCTTTTACCAATTCCATTGTTGAGCTTTTATTAATTCATTTCAACATGAACAGTTGAAAATGCTTACGAGTCTGTGAATATTATTGAGAGGTTGAGAGTTACTCTTGAATTGTTTCCTGTCAAATGTATTAGCTGTTGGCTTATTTGCTTTCAACGTAAATACTCGATGAACATGAAATGAATGGTTAAGTTCAAGTTTCAAGTTTTTCCTGTTGTTTTCCTGGCCAACCTTTTGTTTTCGTATTCAACTGTAAATTATTGTTTCACATGGGATAAAATCATGAACCTGGAAATGAGTCGACTTTTCAATTGACTTTTACTGTTCAATCTTGAAAATCCTTCAATGTTGTTCAGACTTTGGACTATCTTTTTTTTGCTAAACTTCAAACTTTACAGATGAGTTTCTGATTCTGATGGAAAGCAACACATTTTCACGTCTTTTTTTTCATTTATCTTTCAAAGGATGGAATCAGGGTAAAAGGTAAAGGTGGAAAAGGAAAAAGAAAATTGCTCAAAAGAGTTTAAAAAGATTTTCTCAGTTGACTGATTCTCTTGGATTTACAGTTCCAATGGGATTTCTGTTTTATCTTTTTCCCTGTAAGAAGCAAGTTTAGAGAGAGAAAAGGTATCATGAAATAAGTATTCTCATCATGAATTTTGATGATAGATGGATCTGTATTATAAAAGGAAAAGTATAACAATTTGAAAATGAAAGAAAATATTAAAGGTTAACTTTCACTTTGCAATTCTGGTCAAGAAGGGAACTTCAAGATGATGATGAAGAAAAGATGAACAGAATAAAAGGTGAACATTCTTGTAAACCTATTAAAAATTGTGCTTGAAGATGATTTCAGGTTGCAGGTTAACAGTAACTTGTGGTAAAATATTGCAAGAGGTTAGCCGTAGTTGCCTCAGAATCCAATGAACATGATATCAATCAAAAGCTCTCGTCGATCTACTTCAATCTATTGACTTGTAACTGAGCGTTAAGGCTATCAGAAGTAACTTGATACGAACCCGAACTGACTTTTGAATCGAAGTATTTAAGTTGCTAATTCTGTGGGTTACTCAAACCACATTCAAGCTTATTCCCTTTCTTTGAGTAGATTTAGAGGTTTCTATTCAGTTTATGATTGAAAGTTTTTTGGTTTACTTCGCAATTGGCACTACTTTAAAATTGGAAGGAGATTTTGAAGAAGAAATGTATTCTTTGACGTTAATTCGGTCCTATGAGTATTTGTAAATCGCTTTATAAACTGTGTGTTTGATGGAAAGATTTTTGTGTTTCTCAAATCGATTAAACTAAAGTAACTTGAAATACTTTTCAATCAAACTCAAGTGCATGTCACTTTGCTATCAAAAGTCATCAGCTTTTCCTGCTGCTCGAGTTGTATCCTGTAATGACTTTATACAAACTTGGGTTTCAAAGAGTTTTGCATGTAAATCTGATTATGAATGCATCAGGTTTCCTCTTCTCAGATAATTTGAGATGAGATTTAGTGTTCAATGTCTCATGTTCAGTGCATGTTATCATTTGACAATTATGAGGTTTACTCGATTATTAATATTAATTTTGTTTCTGTTTTGGGCTTTGATACAAAAGAATCACTCATCAAAGTTTTACAAATGAAACAAAAAGCGAAACATGACCTCAAACTGGAAATTTTCCGGTGAATCTCAAGGCTAGCTATTGATTAATATCAACTTACACGATTTTATAAACTGGATTCGCAAAACTGATTCGAAAAGCTTCGAGCAAATTTGATCAAACAAGACAGACGAAACAAACGAAACCAACCGGTGAATTTTAAACCCGATCTGATTAAATCTTGATTTACTTTATATTGTTTTGTCTATTAATTTTTCTTATTGAAGCGACTGAACTCTTCGATGCTGGGTTAACAGTCTGCACTTGAAATGTTCAACTCAACCTGAAACTTTAGCAACAAAAGTTGGTTTGAGTGAAGACAATGGCTTTTCAAGATGTTACTCCAATTTATGCTGGTTTAACATGAAAATGTTTAATCTTGAATAAACTCGAAATGAATCGTGATTCTTCTTCATGAAAACTCTGTGAATATCAAGTTGAAGTTAAATGCTCTTGACTCTCTCTGTACGTGTATAAGGTTAATTCATGGAGTGTTTTGGTAACAAATAGACTTTGTTTATTCAATTTTGCGAGTTTTTTTCATAATATCTCATAACAAATGCAAAGTTTTCTGGGAAATTTCATGCTCATTTTGTGGCTCTTTTGAAGCTACAAATTTAGTAATTGCAAATGATTTATTTACTATTTACCTGAAGAGTGATAGAAATGATATAAAAGGTGTTGCACCGATTCCACCGGCAATACAAACGCATATCTTGTGTTTGAGCAAATCTTGCAATGGACTTGAAAATGGACCGTCAATGTACAGTTTAAAGCTTTTCTTCTTCTTTTGAGACTTTTTGGCTTCCATTGTCGAATCGATTGTTTCACATTTTTGCTCATCAATAAGATTCCCAAGTTTATCTGGTTTAAATGGTTGGACGAATTGAGAAGTGAAGTGAAAAATGAATTATAAATGCAGTCGACTCTTGAAATAAATTTACTTACTTGTCCAGTCACCATTTAGTTTAATGTTGAGATTGAATGTTTCATTGATTCCTACGATTGGTATCTATGATTGAAATGAAATTACATGATGATACAATTAGAAAGGAGGACGAAAGGATTGTAAACAGTTACCGATGAAAGTGAAAATGGATGCCATTCAAGGGTTGATATACGAGGACATTTAAGGTAAACATATTGACCAGGTAATGAGTGTTTGATTATCGATTGGTTTCCCTTAATTTGCGCCAATTCAAGGTTAATATGATTCTCTGCTATTGATGAGTTAATCAGTGTAATTGATTTACGTCTTCTCCATAAACGCAGTACAATATCAATTGTGTAGATAAATAATGAAAATGAAAGCCAAATCCAAGTCTATTTACATGGAGTGGAAAAACAAAGCAAGCAAAATAAATTATCAATATTAATCAATGCAGGTTTACCTTTCAACTTACACATGGATTTAAGGGTTTAAAAATTGGAGGATCACAGGGAAGGTGTTGTGAGGTTAAATTGAAACGTAAATTGTTGGGAAACTCTGTGGTTCCATTCACATGAGCGGTTAAATTTAATTTAATTTCATCACAACCAATTGTGTGTTGATCTAGATTGGTTTGCTCCTTTAAAAGTCCCCTATCAATGGAAAGGCAAACAATTAGACATTGAATAAGGGCAATACAATACCATTTTTGATGCAGAGACAGCTTCATATCAGGTCGACCGTAAAGACTAGACAAGCCTCTTAGACTGGTGACAGACTTGCAAGTCAATTGACCCTTGAGATGCAACTTTTGATGCTAAGAGTCGAACCTTGTTGGGATCAAATATCAAGCTGAGGGAGTGTTTACAGTTGATTGAAATTTACGATTAAAAATGTTTCTATTGTGTTTTTTGTTCATTTTTTCAGTTCATTTTTTACTGTCTACAGTCACAATGAAATAACTGATGATTTGTTCAAAATTAATAATGTTTGACTAACTCGTTTAACAGGGAAAACCGCGCTACAATGAGCTGAATTGAAGTTTTCAATGATAAAATAACAAGCAAAATGTCCTCGGGTGCTTTTATGAATTTATATATCATGAAACTCGGCATCATCAGTTTTCAAAAAAGTATTGAACTTCTTTCTCTTCTCTACTTTCATGACTGTTAATCATTTGTAATTTTTTTCATGTTCCTTTCAAAAACTTTAGAAATTTTGGTTTACACTGAATTTGAAAATGAACTGAATACTACTTCTCAAGGTGAAGATAAATGTTTACTTGGGTGATAAAAGTGCTTCAGGGAATCGACTAATATTTTTCATTCTAAATTGTCAGTTTATACAAATTTTCAGTTTAACCATGTTTGAAATTGTTCAATACTTTTTTTTGTTCATCTGATTGGAAATGTTGAACTCCATTGAAACAAGGAGTTGATCAAAGTTAACAACTGATTAAGCATTGACATCAATTGTTTCAATGTGAAATTGATTGAGTTTTGAGTGTCAAGAGTTACAAAGGAATCACCTTTAACCAAATGGTTCTGCCATTTACTACAATAAACTGTAATTAACTTTATCATTTCTTTAATTGTTTACCTTATTTAACAAATCAGAATTTTAATGTTTTACTATTGTAAAGGTTGACAAATAAATTGTGTTTAAATCTTGAACAATTTGAATTAACTTGATTCATTCCATCTGATTCCCTCTTCATTCACACTTGAAGGCTTCAAATGTTTAATTTGCAAGTCTAATTAAGTGAATATTATCTGAACCGACAAAAAGGTATTTGATTTTGGCTGAATTTCCATTTAACCAGTGTTTCTTTCCGAGTCTTTATTTCAATAAATTAGACTTGAAAAGATTACTGTTTTACATGGTAAAATTGGTTTCAAGGTTTTGCTTAGATTTGCAAATTTAAACACTTTCCCTGTTCATTATGAGATTAGTCGAGTTGAAAGTACTCAAGTCAATATCGTTACCAATGACTTCGAAAAGTAAAGTTCGAAAAAGTAACGTTCGAAAATTTTATTCAGAAAATTTCGATTCTTTTTTGTTCGATATCCATTTCGTGTTTTCTCTGATTTCAGTGAAAGTGTCTTTAGCATTTAAATCATAGAAAAGTTTTATAATTCCAAAATTTTACAGAATTTATTGGATGCATTCGTTGAAACTCAAAACTTTTATCGTTCTTACGAACCTTCAACTTTAGCAAAATGTTATCATGAAATCCATTCTCATAAACAGATGAACGAAAATGAAAAAATATGGAAATGATTTTTCTGCTGATCTGAGAATTGGAATCGAAAATTTACAGAACTCAAATTTGTCGAGTTTGGTTCTGAGACACTTATATTGAGTTCGATTTTGAAGCAATTATCTTAGCATATTTCACTATAAAAGTCACATTTACGAGTTGATATTCATGTTTCAGTGCAAAATAATTTGCTTGACTTTTTACGAAAAAAAAGATGAAAATATTTTATCGATTTTTTGAATTCTCAAAGTTTTGAAGGTTTGATTTTACAACTAGACTTGTTTTAATCATATTATTATAATCAATGTTTCCAACAAAATTGCTAAGCAAATGGTACAAAGTTAATCACATTAACTCACACAAAGAATGAATTAATCATTGATATTGTATAGTTTTGCATGCAAAACAAAAAGAAGAGCAAAGAGACAAAAGCAAAATTTAATAACATTAAAGAGTAAACATTTTCAATTTAATCAGATTATTTTATTTCTTTTTATTTGTTAACCAAATTTCAGTGAAATCATGAATTATCAAGCAATCAATAGTCACATAAATTGTTTATAATGGACAACAGCAATTTCAATCAACACTTCGCCTAAAATGTCGCTGAAATGGTCGCATTCAAATCTGATTGTCAATACTGAAAGATGACCAAAAGAACGAGTAAAATGAAGAAAAATCGATCAGATTTTTCCTGAAGACTGAGAGAGAAATGAAAAACTCTGAAAATTTAAATGAAATTGGAAATGCTAAACATGATGAATCTCAAATCATTATTGAAACATTGATGGATGAAGATGAAAGGCCTAAAAATATGAATCGTTTTTGGCAAAACCTTAAGACTTGTCAATCACTTGACAGCTTAAAATTGATAACTCAGTTTGTAATATTGAATAATGATTAATCTGTTTAATTGTGCTTCTCATTTAATCATTTAATCTTTAATTGTAAAACTCCACTTTTTCTTAACCCAATTACCAGGAATCAAGGATGAAATTAATTTGAATCAATTGTCTTCCCATGATTTACGATTAGTGTTTTGACTGAATAATGATTTATGAATTTTTCCGAATTTAGTTGTTTTTTTTCTTCTCTTTCTTACACTTGAAAACAATTGATTTGGAAGCAATTAATGTGAACAATTTCCTTGTTTAATCATTTGTCAGGCTTGGTTAAGATGATTAAGTTAATCAGATAAATTGGTTCACTTCTGACTGACCTTAACGATTCGCCCATCGAGACAATTGAAGTTGTAATCAATGTTTCCTTCAATGAAAGCCTCAAAAGAAGTAAAAATTTGTCAAAATTCACAATTGAAATGTTCGGTGAAAAATGAAAGAGAAACGAGGAAAGAAAAGATGAATATTTCAACAGAAATTAGCAAACAATTAAAAGTAAATTGTTGAGTAATTAACACGGTCAGGTCAGTGATTAAATTGGATTAAATCTGACAATTAACTTTGACCAAAAAGTGATTTCATTTCTTCTTCTTTTTTGGTCAAAAAGTTGATGAATTTACAATGAAAAGTTTATTCAAATTTTGATACCAAGTTGAGTTTTCTTTCAACTTTCAATTTGATTTAGCTTTACCATGTCAGTTTCATCTCAAGTGGATTCAAGAGTTGAAATGATGAAAAAGTTTGTGCAAAATTGAACCAAAAAATGGCATTAAAGTGACAATATACTTCAAGCTGTTACCAACTTTTTTTTGGTTAAGAATTTTTTTTGTCTCATTCTTTTTTTAACCAGTTTCAAGTCATCATCCAAAATGAGATGATGAAGGTTAAATATGGGAAGCTCATTGTTAGATGAACATGAGTTTAATGATGAACTTTTTTAGGTGTTGAGGTTAACATTGAACATTTTAATGCTAGCTTTTTATTCTTAAATCACAATATTTTCACTTTACAATTCAAATTAATATCAACATAAATAATGCGATAAAAGTTACAATATTCATCATTTCAATGGCAACTTTTCCTGTTTGTTTCTTTGCCTCATTCATTTTGATTCAGTGAACACACGCAATAAAGGTGGCTTTGAAGTTAAAACATCGTTCGACATTTTGTTCAACTTTAAAGACAAAACATTCGACAGCAAGAATTTCACTTTCTTGTGAACAACTTGACGCTCTGACTCTGAAAGACCGACTACCTTTAGAAATCGATTTGCATCTTATCTCTATACAAGTTAGACATTAAAATAAAATCTCCAGTAATCCGAAATATTAAGATATTCCATTTTCTAGAAGTTCTGTCCTGTGATTGTCAAAACTACGGATTATCAGTTATTGCCTTACATTCTTAATCGTATGCAACTGGAGGATTAATGTTGTATTCATAGTTGATTGTTTTAATAGTAAAGTGATGTCTAAATGGAAACAAATGGCCAAATTGTAGTCTTGCTGTTGAAATTGATCTAGAGTTATATTGCTACAAGAATGATTTCATCAAGAAAGTGTCGACAGAATATGTTTAAACACTTGAATTTATCCAAAAATACACATTTTAATGACGATTCGATGAGTAAATCATCAAAATATCATTGAAGTTAACACAATGAATATCTCAATAATATTCACATGTTTATTTCTGTAATTTTCTGTTTGCTTTTAATTTCTCGTGATTGTTTAATATTTGTTCAAAGTGTTCAAGAATTACTGACAATTGCAATTTAATCACATCTTTGTGAAGTCGTAACATCTTCTCAGAATTTAATAGCATTTGACTATTTTCTTCAAAATAAATTACCTCTGAAGAGAGCTGAAAAGGCTAAAGGCTGGAAGCATGGAAACTCAGCTAGCTCCATAGGCTAAATAAACTTGCCAATATCATACATCATGTATCATTATCATGCTAGAAAATAATTTGCGATTTCTTTTCATTTCAGAAACAATCGATGAATGAACAATTCTCTGCAATTCTGAAACGAATGTGAAAAAACAAGTCATCATCCTAACAAAAGTCATTACATGTTAACTGAATATCCTCTGAACAACATTCTAATGCTATTTTCCTCAATTTCGATCTTTTCTGAACTGGTTTTTAATTAAGTCGATAACTTTCATAATTAGAATGGACAAGTTTCCCTGAAATTGTGCTTGACTTTACGCTTTTATCTCACATGTGTGAATGGTATCGGTTATTGACCTATGTAAATCGTCAAATTATGGGTGAAGGTCCATAACAATCGAGTTTAATAGACGAGCTTCAAATGATTTGCCATGAAGTTGTGAACGACCTCGAAAGTTGCGGTTGTTAAATATTTCAAAAACAGTTTGATTGAAGAAATGAAAATTTTTTTGAAACTTTCACAGAAAACTTTTTCCTCAAAAAGTCTGACGAGAAAGAGTGCAAGTAAATATTTTCAAATAAAAAATTGATGAACATCTTTTAATCAGTTTCATTACTTACAATTCAACAATATCATTAATGTAACCTCAAATCTGATCAGCTTGAAAACTGGTGAGTTAAGTTTAATGAAAAAACTGACAAATACATTGTTTTGCTGCTATAATTATATTACTTTTGCTGCTTTGTTTTACTATTCAAATGGTGAGTTTGATTGATTGATAGGAAACATTCAATCAGAATGATGTCTTTATTAAAGGGATATTGTTACAGGTTAGATTGACTTCCTGATTATTATTAAATAATGAACTGAGAAAATAATATTGACAACTTTTTAAATTGCAAATTTTTAATCTTTTTTGTTACCAAATTATTTTCAAATTCATCCTCAGCACAAGAAAACAGTTTCAAGTCCTGAGATTTAGATGCAAAACTGGATAATCCAACATCAATCTGAGGCCTAATCAACGATCACATGAGATGCAAGAAAATTTAGTCTAGTTGAACATTTGAAATTCAATCGACAAAAAGATTTCGACTTTTCCAATTGCAATTAAAGACTGGAAATGAAATCACCATTGTTGATGTAACTGGTTAAATTAGTGTTTTAATCAATTCTTAAGATGATGAAGTAAATTTTAAATTTAAATCATTTCCATTTTCGCCAATTTGACAGCTTAACCCACAGTAAAGGATTGAAGAAAAACAATTTCAAAACATTTAAAGTGGCTTGGAGTTTGGAGTTGAACCCAGAATTGAAGTTAATTTTGGTGATATTTAAATATCGTTGCAATTGATTTTTGTTGATCATCCTAACAATGGAAACAATAATCGAGAAGCAATTTAACCCAAAACTGGTTTCAGATGAAAATGTTTGACCAAAAAAACTGAATTTCAAGATTAATCTATTAATATTCTGGATTGAATTTTCAAGATTATGTGGGTTTGGGTTGAACAAAGCAAGTCATGTTTACCGGTTGGTCGATATGAAATTGAATTTTCAAGTTTAGATGAAAAATTTTTAGATCAATACTCACCCTAATGGATGACAGATGATCAGGATGACAAAGATGATGGTTAAAAAGTGTGAATACTTGAATAGATTGTAATTGTCTCGGCGAAGGGTTGATGTCGAGGTAATGAAGACAATCATCAAGACAAGATTCATGGCAATCCCTGTGACTCCAGCCACTGAGCCATTCGTTGGTAATTTGGTTTGATTGTAAATAAAAAGCATTCATTAGTTGTGTGTGTTGTGTGATGGGAAAAAGAAACGGGAAAAGCGCCTAAAAGTAAACAACTTTCAATTCAACTTTTCCTTTCATTTAAATTCTTGAGGCTTTTTTAATGATTCTGATCTTAATCTGTTTACTATTACACTTTATTATATCATCATGATCATTGTTGTTATTATTGTTCATTATTGTTGCTCATTTGACTTGCTTCTCATGGTCAATAGTAAAGGTCAGGTCAACTATTAAAGTCAATCTTTTTCCCTTCTTTTAGCTTTAAACGGAAGTCTTTAGTCTGCTGTTAAATGGTTACAATTAGTCGACTCTAATTAAAGTTAAATTGTTGACCTGATAGGAAGATTCATTGTTAATATTGAACTAAAGCTTGTTGCTCAATGTAGGAAGATGATTAGTGTTTGATTCACAATTAACTATTAATATTTGTCGTTATTCATTTGATCAATTTTCTGGTTTCTTTTCATTTCTTTTCATTTGTTAATATTGAAACATTTGAAACCATTTTGCTGATCAAGAGTGGTTCAAGCTGATTAACATGAAAAGTGTATTCATTGAAGATGATGATTGTTGCTATTTAGACTGCAATTGACTCGTTCAATCAATTGCAACAATCAAGTGATTGAGTTAAATTAATTTATAACGGAGTCTAAGTGCAAGCTGACAATTGAATGGTAAAGGAAGTTGAATTTACCGGTTTCTTCATTAACCCAATTTGTAATTAATATCTTGACCAACCCAAAAGTGTAAACCTTTTTTCATTAATATGCACAATTTGGTTTTGTGTTAAGGTCAAGGTTTTGTCAAAAAATAAATTCCATCACAAATGGTGTCTTAAGATGTGACCTTTTTGGTCAAGCTAAAAATTAACAATTCAAGGAAATGTATTGAACAATTGGGATTGTTTTTAAGGTAGGAAAAAGGTTAACTGTGAAAATGGTTAATATAAGGATAAAAGGTAAACTTGTAAAGGGGTTTTTACCTGATCCGGAAATTATGAGAAATGGATGTTGTCCAGGAAAAGAGGCTAAATTGATTGTTGGATAGCGATGGTTGTAGTTGATTGAAGCCATTGACGAGTTTATTATATGAGCAATTGAATGGATTAAACCAGACAGACAGATTGTATAAGCTGAGGCAATGTGAACTTGTTGACTTCGGTCAATCATTGAGACAATCAGCTTATTGATTGGTTTAGAGATTAATTTAGATGTTAATGTGGTAAACACTTTGGACACTTTTTTAAGGGTTAATTTGGGTTGAAGAGATTGTTGAGTTTGATGGGCTTCGGGTGTAGATGTTGGCAATGATCCTGTTCGGTAGTCGATTGATGGTGTGGTCAATGAACGAAGTGAGGTTAAAAGGGTTCGACACATGGGAATAAATATAATGAAACAGGAAAAATTGAGAACTGAAGCAGTTCCTCTGGATATGAAAAGTCCATGGCCAATGGTTTGGTGGGTGTAATGGTAAGCTGGGTCCAATTTGTATCTAAAATAGCTCCAGCCAAAGATGGCCAGATTTACAATTGTCCAGGCAATCTGTAATGGATAACCAGAATGTTGGTTTAAACGGTTTGTTGAAACCAGAAACAAATTTTTTTAGTTCAATATTTTTCTGGTTTTAAATTGATTTGATCCTGTTAAACATTGATCCAATAATGAAAGTGTGAGGTTAAAAATTGGATTCACTTTCATTTATGCCATTTAACTTGAATCTCAACCTAAACGGTAACCTTTTTAGGTTATTCAAGACTGACATCGGGTTATAAACTATTGTATTTGCTGAAAATGACTACTTTACCAAATAACGTTACCAGGAAAAAAAACAATTGACCAGATCTTCAAGTTTAACCTGGACTAAGCTTGTTATTCAGCTTTTCTGAGTCAATAGTGTTTTTTGGTTAATAATATACATTTCAACAAGGAAGATTTAAGTTTAAGGACAATTTAGACATTGATATAATCAGTAAGGAATGATCGGTCAAAGAAATTAAAACCAAAATACAATTTAAGTGTTAAAAGATTGAATTAATTTCCACCATTTGATGACAGCTAATAATTTTGACAGTTATGACAGTTTTATTTCAAGATGGTCAAATTTGATGATTCTGTTTGACATTGAACTTAAATTTTCAATGATCGATTCAGACTCTAAGACAAAAATTAGACTTGAATTGACTAAAGCTGAGCAAATTGTTATTGGAAGCGAGTTTGTTTAAATATTGAAGTTTCAGAATCAAAAGACTTCATTAGCAGAATTGAAACAAATTATAAAATTTAATTTCTAGTGTTGAGCTGAAATCAAATTAGTGACTTACCATGAATAGATGCTCTTTTAGGTACAACTTGATGTACCGTTGGCATTGGGTAAAAGTTGATGGTGTCAATTTAGACATCATTTTTTCGCAGTTATCCAAATGTTAATCACAGACAGTACCGACAATACAGATTGAAAGTGCACAATTAACTTACAAATGAAACCATTTGACAATTGAAATGGTTCAAATGATGGTGTTGATTGGAGTAAAAGAAACTTATACTTGAAATTGGATTGAAAGTTACAGTTGATTTGACTTACAAATCCAATGGTAATAAACTTTGATCCAAATAAATCCAAGGTTAGATTTAATTATCGATTCCATTGAGCTTTTATCACTAATCAATTGATTAATAATTTAAATGAATGGTAAATAATTCAAAGTAAAACAATAATAGAAGATATAAACTGAAGACAACTTGACAAAATGAATTAATGGAATGTTCAGTTGATTGTTGTTTGTTGAAGATGAGAATGATAATGATGATGGTGAATCATGAGAGTGAGAGAAACTGAATAAGAATTTGAAATGTGAAAGAAAAGATGAAATGAAATGATGAAGAAAGTTAACGGTTAAAGGTACGTGTTGCGATGGTGAGGCAAGAAAAAAAGTGCGCTTCTAAAGGTGCATTGAAAAGGTGAGGGGAAAGGAGAAGAGGAAAGAAAAAGGTTGAAAAGAATGAGAAAAAAAGCAAGAAATTAACATTCTTATTCATCATCCTGAATACCGTTAGGTCAGCCTACATTATCATGATCATGAAGAGACAAGGAAATTATGTAGGAGTTATGATAAAATCCTCCTAGCCAATGAACTTGTTTACCCTTGCAATTCTGTAAATCATTTTCTTCACATTTTTCTTTTCTTTTTCATTTCCAGGATCATGGTGAACATGAGGATAGACTTATTCAGTGTTAAACTGTGTTCATGATTTTGGTGAGAGTAAAAGGATTGGGAATAAGGAAGAGTTAAGATGAACAAAAGCAAACCAGTCTCAGTTATCGGTCCATTGTGATGAGAATCAGGTTTGTTTCAATTTTTTTGCTTCATTTCAATTTGTCCTCAATGAGCGACTCATGGTTAACTCAAAGATAGATAAGATTCATAACGGTAACCCTGAATATTCATTTACGTGGGTCTTCACCACATGGAATTACAGACATCATTATTGTCATCAAGATGAACCAGAAGTGATTCCGGATCAACCCTTGAACCTGCATTTCTTGGGTTTTTGGGTTTACCTCTTGACAGTCTTCAAGATTTACATTTCTGGTTAAATGTCCGCTTTGATCAAGCTAAACAAATTAACCATTAATACAAATTAACCATGTTAAACAGTTGATTGTGTACAATTTAACTGAACCTCGTTTTTTTCTGGTTAATGTAAATTGGTTGCCTTTACTCTTCCACCTTTAACAATCAATAACTTACTGGAAAATGGACTGTTCAATTGTTTACAGCATTTGTTAAATTGATCAAGGATAAAAGGTAACGATAAATTGTAATATTATTACAATAATAAGGTAATGGGGAGAAACAAAAGGTAAACAGGTAAAATTGCTTCTCTTCCTGAGGTTACACTGTGAGATTTTAATTAACAAACAATGAATAAAACAGCCAGAAAAAATACAATCGATGAACAATCACAATGCTTTCACATTTCACTGAAAATGTAAAATTGGGTTTTTTTAATCTTCTGTTTTTAACCGTTTTTTTCTGGTTACGTTTGTTTGTTTTGGGTTAATTTATTGAAACTCCTAAGAAAAGGTATTCACTTTTACCTTTTTTATTATTAATGAAAAGCTGATTACTGGTAATGATGTTGATGATTAACAGTCAATTGTTGATTCCAATCAAATTGGCACCAACAGTCGTTTCAGATTAACTGAAAACACTTGATTCCTTTCATTAACTGAATACACTTTTTTGTACAGACTAATATTTGCTCATTGTAACCAAACAGATGATGAGTTAATCTTGCGATTAACTGTTGACGAGTTTTAATGTTTTCAATTTAATTTGTCTAAGCACAATTTGTTTCATATCAACATCATTAACCTAAACAATTGGATTCATTTGATAATAACTTGACGGTTATTAGAGTATTCATTGCATATTAATTAAATCAGGTTGAATCGTTAATTTGGTGACAATGAAACAGTTTTTTAACCTAAAATTAGCTTTTTAGCCTGGTTTAGATAGAAAGCTTAGCCTAAAAGATTAACCAGATTTTGGGTTTACTTTAGGTTTCCTTGCAGTTTGATCAAGTATTAGACTGTGTTAATAACTGTGAAAATATCCATTAATTACTAGTTGATTAGTTGCTATGTGCTGAGTAGATTAGTTTAGGTTAAGATGAAAGTAAAAGTGGAAAATTAAAGGATTTGGGATTTCGCTTTTATTTGTGTTGATTATGTTAATTGATTATTGTCATGATTATAAGGTGTTTTAGGTAACAGAATATAATTGCACGTTTTAACCCAAAATTTTCAGTTTCATGTAACAAATCAGTAATGATGATGCAAAGGTTTGTACTGAAAATTGAATCTCTTTTATTATAACAATTTTCAGAGTTAACCTTTTTACATTCAAATGGTTACAATATTTGCTTAACGATAATCAATGGTTAAGCCTTAGACACAATTTCAGTTTTGCTATTGAATCAACGGCTTGATTCATTAATGATCAACAAAATTATTGGGTTCAAGTGTTTATCGATTATTTAATTTAATTTTGATTCTATTTATTGATCTGTTGTCTTATCGTCGTTTTATTACATGACTTTGAATAGGAAATGAGTTGATCAGTTCAAGATGAACCCATTATCAATATCAATCGGTTTCATTTTGCTCTTTTTCTTGATCAAGTTTACACGTTTTTAAAACAGTAATTTGTTGATTGGCAACAATCAGTTAATTTGGAGTTGATTTTTTGTTTCATGTTAAACAATGAAACATTAATGGATAACAATCAGTTAAACATCAAAATGTTGAATTACTTGTCACGATTAAAGGTTTACCTAATCATTTCATTACAAATTAGCCTTGACATGTTTAATAGTTGAACATCATTTTTATCATTTAATCAATGGCTCTTTTTAACATTCATAAAACCCACAACCTCATCTGGATTCATCTGGATTGTACTTTTCTCACTGTCAATACCAGTAATTTATAAATTCATGTGAAGCTGATATTTAAAGGTTAATTTGTATTTAATTTGACCACAAATCACGGAAGTATAAGTTGATAAATGATGATTGTTAAATGGTATTCATTATTACAGTGTGATTAGCTAATTTGGCAGTTGGTTTCATAGAGTTAACATTTTGTTGCTTGATTATGTTAAACCACAATTAGTCTCATCATTTGTTTGCCATTATTTCAGTTTTTAGGTGGAAAATTTTCAGGATATTTAAATGCTGAAAGCTCATTGCTAATTGATAAACAAAGTTAATCACCTATTGATTTCCTGACTCAACTGTTGAAGTATTCATGCCTGCCAATTTAAATTGCTATTGAAGTTGTATCTTGTGATTGTATTTGACCAAATAGGAAATGTTGATTCACTAGTGGCAACAGTTTGGATCAACCTAGGAATGCTTAATTAACAGGTTAGCCTGATGTGTTTATCAATCGTTCAAGGTTTACGATGTGAAGTCTATCGATAAATACATATTTCTAATGTGAATATCTTCGAATAATTTGCAGTGATGGAAACAGAATGTAACAGAAAATCAGTATTTTATTATTAACAGATATGGATAGAGTGGAGAAATAAATTAAATCAATAGTTTAACTGAGAAAATTAGCGATTACAAATTTAACTTATTAAAATATGACTATAATATTTAACGGCTATCATTTCTTGTGATGCCAATGGTCATGTGGATCAGCTGGTTTATGGTGTTTATAATGGTGATGGTACTCAGCGTGATGGCCATGTTTACCATGATCGCCTCCGTGATGATCTAGTGGTTAAAGGTAAAAATAAAATGTATTTTAATAAATGAACAACAATAATAGTCTGAAAAAATTTGGTAAATCAATCTTCCCAGATATCGTAATAAGTCGTATGACGATTGCTTATATATCATAAAAATATTCATGTGTCTCGTCATTGATAATCATCTGGAATTAATTGTTATCTAAATTTTCTTAGTGAATCAATTTGAAAATCTGCTGGACATCTTTTCTTGGGTTGACTTTTGTTTCTGGTCAAGATTGATTTTTTTGGTTTTGTTGACCGAGCTTTTACTAACCTTTGTCGTGATGGTGGTTCCAATGATCCTTGTGACGATGATGATCATGACTGTGCTTCTCGTCTGTAAATTGAAAAATAAATAAGTGAGATTTGGTCAAAAACATCTCAAGTGGGTAAAATGAAGGGTGACTTACGATCGCCATCGTGGCCATGTTCATCTTTATGGTTTTCATGGTGGTGTTTGTGGTGGTGGTGATCATCCTTATGACGGTGTCGGTGGTGGTCATCATGTTCCTTCTCATCGCCCCATTTCCTTATCTGGGAATAAAATAAAACCAAATATTAATAAAACTGTTGACTCGTTGATTTTTTGATAACATCTATTGCACTGATATTTCAGTGAATGATTTGTAAATAGCAACTCACCTTTTCGCCAGCTTTGTCCCAATGCCATTTCTTTTCATTGCCGTGTCCTTTATCTTCATGGTGATGATATTTTTTACCATCTTCTCGGTGGAAGTTGCCATGTTTTTTTCGGTGATACTCTTTATGGTGATGTTTATCATGCTCTTTCATATGTTTAGAGTAGCCAAACTTTTCCTCGTCCTTATCATGGGCATGATGTTTCTTGGCTCCTGATAATTTTCAACAATAATTCACAGAAATAATCAAAAATTTGAGCAATAAAACAAGAAGTAGAGCTTTTTAGCACATTAGAAGCATCATTAAGTTGTGTCCCTTATTTATTAATACTTTTAAAATATTGTTATGTATCGATAGATACTATTAGATAATAGATACTAAATGATCAGCTCTTAATAACAAGTGATCTAAAAGCTGATATCCCTGTGCTTATCACAAATCAGCGGCTTAATTAAACGAGATGAATGGTCCTAAAAATCAGTAAAGACTGAAAGCAAAGTCGGTGGTAAAAAGCGTCTCAAAACATTGATATTCATAATAAGCACTTATAAACACGTAATTTTGTTTATAAATCACTGGTTCAACTAAAAGCTTGCTGAATGAGGATTAAATTGAATTAACAGTAATCAATTCTACTTACCATTGTCCCATTTTTCATCGTGTCCTTTCCAGTGACCCCAATGGTGTCCAAAATCAGAGTCTTTAACATCATGATGCTCTTCGTGGTGTTTATCTTTTGGATGGTGTTCTGTAGCTGATGGCAAAAGATCCCATAAACGACTTACAAATGATTTGGATGGATGGCCAATTGAACCTTTGTTTTGATCATGTTGAACCTTTTCACTATTACTTGTAACATTAACTTGATGGGTTGCTGTAACACTACACAGAGTGATAAACCCCAGAGAAAACACTATTAATCGGTTTCCAATCATGACACAACCATTCAAATTAACTTCAACTGCACTGATCAACTCATGAAAGGTAAATACCATGAATATCGAATCTTCACCATTTATATAACAGTTAAATCACACCTTTTTAGGTCTTTTGGATCTTTTTTTTATTGGTCGTTTCTTTTTACCATCTTTGATGATACAAACAATCCATGCAAACTACTGCCACTCGAAGGTTAACAATTAACCCAGCAAATGGACCATTTTGGTCTCATTTCCATAGAAAGAGTCTAATTAAGAAGACCTGAGTACAATAAACCTGATAGTGCATAAATTCACTTTAATGAACCTTCATTAGCTTTTTGTTATTCAATCTTTTTTGTCAACTGTTGAACAAATTTACAGGAAAAAAATGTACCCTCGTTTAATAGTTGCGATTAAATTGCTTTACCTTTTCTCTTTATTCTTAAACCTGATGTTCATGTTAATTGTTTAAAAATTGATCATGATTTCTTTTATGCTGATGCTGTTGACTTTGCTCAGTGTTTTATTGTTTACTGAGAAGAGTTGGCCAATTTGTCAGCTAACCAGTTTTCAAAGCTTCATGAGTTCATCGTATTCCTACAGCGCAATTAGACCAGAAGTGGAATAACCCAAACTTGATCATCTCTAAGTGAAAATGGTCAGCGATCAACGTTTACAGTAAATTATTTAAATTATTTAAATTATTTAAAATCTTTACACTACATAGATGCGTAAATTAACAGTAAGTACAAGAAATGTTTGATTTTATACCAATTATTTGCTAATATTACTTGAACAGCTGTATTGAAATGCTTGAGTATCAGTAATTTATCTTTGAAGTTTCAAGAGGTATTCTCTTGATTTTCTCGTCTATCTGAAATTCTTGCCACCTCTCCATCTTTATTTATCCTCTTACATTATCTTTCTGTACGCGTAATTATCATTTTATTTCCGTTTTCCGTTCTAGCCAATGATCATGAGTAGATTGTAGAATTAAATAATTGTAATGAACCATCTTGAAAAAAGGCTGATTTCACATTTATTTGATATCGCCATGAAGAAATAAATCTCTTAATTCTTATAATTGAGTACCCTAGAAAAGAGAAAAAGAGACAAAGTTGATGAAGGTTGAGAAAAGATTGTTTTTTCAGTCAACCCTTTCTGCTTTCACTTTGGGTGACTCAAATTTTTTTATCATTTTTCTTAATTACTTTTTATATAAACTTAATCCCCTTTCATAATTTCTTAAGATAGCAGTGTGCTCATGCTACCCATTTCACTTTGCTCTTTAACAAATATTTCAAAGTATTGGTAGATAATTGTAACGGCGAGAAGAATACCGGTACCGCTTCCGATTGCTCCTAGGAAATCAGCTAATACAGAAAGTGCTCCGATACAGAGACCACCGAAGGCAGCAGCGGTTGGGATATAACGATTGAGTTCATGAATCATGGATTTCTCTCGATGTCCTCTCATAACCATTTGTTGTTCTTTAAGCTGCTTGGCAACCTGGAAAAGAGAAGAAAAAGATTAGAATAAATCCATCAAAAAAATTAGCTGATTAGATACGTGCTCAGGACTGATAATGATAGATATGTTCAAATTGGTAGCTTTAATAAGTTCACCAATTTTAACATAAGGAAGAAAATAGTCATCTACTTACATCCTTTGCACTGGACCCTGAAACTTCAATCCATGTCTTTGAGAAGAATGCACAAGATCCCAACATGAAAACAATGTAAAGAACTGCATGAATTGGGTCAGTTACGATGTGTGCAAGATCTTCAGGCGGTGAAAGATAATAGCAGAGACCACCGACTGGGTATGATCGAGCTGGTCCGCCACCACCAACGTCAGCCCAGACACCGAGCAAGTTTACGAAAAAGTTTCCGCTAAATTTAACAGCTAACATCTATGGAGAAAAGGTTTTTACAATTCAATCACAAACATTCTCAATCTACGTGTAAGCTAAATTACCTGAGAAATAACGTATAAATTGGAAACAAGTGCTGATTGCAAGATGATAGGAATGTTGGAAGTGTAAAACAGTTTGATTGGGTATGAACTGTATTGTCCTCGGTATCGAGCAGACTTGATTGGCATGTCAACACGGAAGCCTTGGAAATAGATGACAATGGCAAATACCAAGATGGTGGCCAAAAGATTCATCAAATTAGGCAAGTTTTGTCGGTAGAAAGCTTCCTTAAGTGCTCTGACTTTGTCATTTCGGGTAGCCAATAAGTGGAATAAGGCAATGATGGCGCCTTCAAACTCTGTACCTCGGCCTGTATTCACCGTAGCAGGACTGAACGCTTTCCAAACGATCGTTTCACAAATGTTAGTAGCAATGAAAAGAGAAATACCGGAACCAAGACCATAACCTTTCTGGAGCAATTCATCTAACAGCAAAACAATGAGACCGGCAACGAACAGTTGAATGATGATCAGCATACATACACCAGCACCAATGTCTGATGGATCTCCATACATTCCAGTCATTACATAGACAATGGCTTGACCCACAGTAATTACCATACCGAATACTTTAAAGGGAAAGAGATAGAGTTATTAAAAGTGAATAATGACAGTTTAGCAATTATGTTATGCTTACATTTTTGAGCACCGTTAAACAAAGCTCGATCTTTCGGTGTATCACCAACTTCGATAATTTTGGCACCAGCCAAAAGCTGCATTATAAGACCAGAGGTAACAATTGGAGATATACCCAACTCCATAAGTGTACCTCTGTTTGAAGCTAGAATAACTCTCATCCAGTAAAAAGGATCTGCTGAATCTGATGACATGATTCCAAAAAGTGGAATCTTTAAAGAGATGGTGAAAAATTGTCAAAATTAGCAATAGAGATATAATAAATTCCCACTGGATGGTTTTGAAAAGATATAACTCCGTTAACATACCTGACAACAGACTAAAAATATGAATAAGGTTATAGCTGTCCATAGTACTTTTTCTCTAAACTGAATTTTTCTTTCTGGTTTAGCAACCTCTGGAAGTATCCCACAAAAAGGTTTGATTACTTCTAAAAATTTTACTGTAAAAGAGAAGAAAAAATAATTAGTTTGATATTAATAAAACAAAATGAGTTGGCATCTTTGAGTAAAAGCCTATGCTGTAGAAAAGAGCTCTATTCATGTGGCAGTTTATCCCTCATGTGATCCAATTGCCCTAATAATAAGCTATCGCGATTAGTATCATTATAGCGTAGATATGTTTGAGAAGTAAAGCATAAGAAAAGGAAGGACGTGAGACGTGTTCAAAATGCCTGAAAACGCCATGAAGAAAAGGAAACCTGTAAACCGGTAAATGAGTCAGTCTATTTAAGAATTTACTGTTTAAACTGGAGTCAAAAAGATGCACATAAAGATCAACCATATGTCAATGGTAAAATATCAAAAGCTAGCACAATGTAGGGAATCGGTTTGATAGCAAAATAAGATTAATCAAATTAATAATATCTCAATAAATTAGAAATTAAGAGTCTGAAAAATAATTGATAAAGATGCAAGTGCAGAAAGCATAGAGAAAAGGTTCAATACTTACTTCCCATATTTGATGTCTATTAAACTCACAAATGATGATTATGATGAAAAAGAAGGAAAGAAAAAAGTTAAATTAACTAAAAAAATGTTGATGACAATGAGATAATTTCAGGTAACCTGATGAATTAACTTCCGATTAATTTAGTAATTGTTAATTTAAATGGATAAACAGATAAGTAAAAGATGAAGAGGAGCAGAAAAGTGAGGTCATCACAGAGTTGGCAAATCTTCATCACAAGCATTCACATTTGTTACACGTATTTGCTATTATTAGTTTCCTCAATTTTTTATAGATGGCGCTCGTAATTTCATCCGTTAGCGATGAGTTAAGTTCATCAATTTCAAACGTAAAAGTAAAATTTTATAATTTCTTGATAAATTGTGTGATGTAAAAGTAAATTTATTGACGATAATTAATTTCTTTGATTCACAATTGACCCTGTTCATGAGAAATTTACATAACAAGCCTTATGTTAGCTAAAATTGGTTGTGAAGGTAGAGTTTCAAGTTAAGATCAATCGTATTTATGAAATCTCAAGTGATTTAATTTTTGTAATTCACATTTTAATCAATTTCTTTTCATTTCATTTTTTCTTTTCAATTTATTGAATATTTCCAGGTTAAAACTAACCTGGTCTTTATATTATGAAGGATCCAACAGCTACTGTCAATTCCATTGATAGATTCAACAACCATCTTCGTTTTTTGAAATGACCAGCATGTCTGACTCTCTCTATATGGCATTTGATTTGCCGGTTGCGAGCAATTTCCAATAATTTATCCTTACACCTAATAATACGATGGAAACCTTTTGATAAAATAATGGAGATACCAAATCGGAGATAGTATTTGATGGTCGATTGGAACTGTACAATCCAATTAAAGATACTAACGGTGAATTTTGCAGCTTAACGTGACCTTTCTAGTTACATTTTTGGCTTTCGCAGTCAATAACTACACCTGATCCATTTATACCAGAATTTTTCTCTTAATCAATTGTTTATAAAGCTTTCCCTCATCTCCATCAGCGTCATCATTACATATCTGATAATATTTTTTGGCGGCCTCACTGTTGATATATCTTCCATGTGAAGTGACAAAGGATGAAAAGTGAGAGAAGAGCAAGTTTCCAAGTTTTCTGACTTGATAATCTTGTGACCAACATGATTATCTATTGCCAAATGTTAATTACAAACCGATTGCAGTTAACCTTGGATTGTAATTCTGGTTTAATAAAAGAGATGCACAAGGAGAAGCCACGTAAAAACTTTGAATATTTTTATTTGCCACAACTGTTACAAGTGATAAATTATTGGATAATCTTGACGTAACTTATTTTATTGTGGTTCTGGTTTAACAAAAAGATTAACCATTCTGTATTTTACTCCTGCAGCGAATTCAGTGATTGTTGGAAACATTTATGAAATATTTTACCAAGCTTATTGTCTGGCAATGAAGTGGTAATCGAACAGCTCAACAGATGAAATTGAAACACAGCCGCATTCTTGCAATGATTTAACAAACTGGTTCATTGTTGGGGAATAAATTTTCACTCCTTAGCATCAACCAAGGGTGTAATATCGATAAACTCAGTGCGATACGATAAAAAACAAAGTAACTTTATTGGATTAATTTTCTTGCTGATATCTATCTGATTTCAGATAGACTTCCATTGAACGTTTCACCCATTAAACCAAATACTTACTCGTGAATAAATTTTAACAATATTATCTTGATCTTGATTCCAATTTATTGGTAAATATTGAAGATGTTAGGTAATTAATAATGAATACATCGCTGGGGATGCCAGTTGAGTAAATCACGTTTAAAGGCTATGATTAAAATGACTATCAACATTGATTTGTCATTGGGTTACCAAAGAACTCAATGCTGAATACTCAGATATTCAATGGATCCTTGTGATTGTTGATAATGGTATGTTCTGGATTAACTTTGATTGTCTCATCAGTTTCATCGTCACTCATTATCACCATCATCATAGTCAGTATTCAAAAGCGTGACTTTTATTTCAGAGACAGAGAAGATAGACAGGCTAGAAAGTGGTGAAGATGAAAAAAAGGAGGGAGCAAAGGAAAGAGTATGATGAACATGTTTTCACATTGGGAGCCTTTACAGCTTTAGTATTAAATTGCATGAAGCTGTGCATCAGTTCACTTTACTTCCATTTGGGTCTTGGTAATCTATTTTTTTAATTAATTTACACCAAGGTGAGTTTAATTTACTCTTTCATTGTTAACATTTTGACCGATTCATAGCCTGTAAATTGACACTATTGAGCTAGCGAGTCGCTTAGAAAAATAAAAGCTTATTTTGTCCTTGTGGCAACTTTTTAAGCAACAAAAAAGTGATTGTTTAACCTTACCATTCATCATGAATCAGGTGATCGGCAAGTAAACTTCAAGGTTTTGGTAACCTCTGACATTTTCCCATTTTACCATCTTCTTGTTGGCTATTTAAAGTTAAATTTGCTTCTAACATCGTTTTCTTCTTGTTTTTTATTTTGGACTCAGGTTCATTTATTGATTTTGACAAATCTTGACAATCATGGTTGACAAGAAAGCAATACGTGTTCTCATCACTGGAGCCGCTGGTCAAATAGCCTACTCTTTGATTCCTTTTGTTGCCAAAGGGGATGTTCTTGGAGCTGATCAGCCGGTGATCCTTCATCTTCTCGACATTCCAATTATGTCTGGTGTTTTAGACGGTGTTGTGATGGAAATCTATGATTGTGCTTTCCCCTTGGTTGAAGGTATTGTAGCTACCACTGATGAGGCTACTGCTTTCAAGGATGTTGATGTTGCTTTCCTGGTTGGAGCTATGCCACGAAGGGAAGGAATGGAAAGGAAAGATCTTCTATCCGCCAATGTCAAAATATTTGCTTCTCAAGGTAAAGCTTTAGCTGCTCATTCTAATCCCAACGTAAAAGTTTTGGTTGTTGGTAACCCAGCTAACACTAATGCACTTATATGTGCACACTTTGCCAAGCCTAAAATTCCTGCAGCTAATATTACGGCCATGACTCGGTTAGATCAAAACCGAGCCATGGGCCAGCTTAGCTTAAAGCACAATGTTCCAGTTAAAAGTATTCAGAATGTCTTCATTTGGGGAAATCATAGCTCAACTCAATTCCCTGATGTTAAAAATGCAACCTCAAACGGACAAAAATTACCCTTCTCAGGCCACCAGCAAGACTTCATATCTCTCATCCAAAAACGAGGTGCTGCTGTTATTGCAGCTCGTAAATTGTCTTCTGCCATGTCTGCTGCTAAAGCCGCAGCTGATCATATGAAAGATTGGTGGTTGGGAACTTCTAACGCCGTTTCAATGGGAGTTATTTCAGATGGTAACAGTTATAATGTTCCTGAAGGTCTTATTTATTCTTTTCCAGTCACTGTTGATCCAGCTTCCAAGCAATGGAAAATTGTAGATGGTTTTGAAATCGATGAGTTTTCTCGAGAAAAATTGAATGCAACTGCCAAGGAGTTGGAGGAAGAACGCTCAGAAGCTATGGCAGCTACTCAAGGAGGCAACTTGTAGGCTTACGAATTAAAAGAGCCATTCGAACAAGACGCAACCTAGTTTACCAAGATCCTAAAATTTTACGCACTTAGTTGATTAAAACCATTTCATTAAGGAGCTTAATCCAATGAATTGATTCCAGTAACTTCGAACCAGGAAACTAAAATCCACACCAAAAATCCATTACCCTATCCTCAATGAACTCTTATTGTTGAAAAACTGAGCGTAATATTATGAAAATTATTTTATTTTCCTAATGTATCAATTAATTAATCTCATCAATAATTATAGTTGTAAACTCGGTGGAGAAAGAGGAACAACCATGTATTTAAAGAGATGGAGAAAGAAATCTCTATTCTTTTAGGCAATAAAACAAAACAAGCATAAAAACATGAAAATGAGAAATATTTCCTTGCCATTAGATGGAACTTATCACCATAATCAGAAGTATCTGAGAATGAATCCCATCGGAAGTCCTAATGTATTTGGGTATTTGTGTTTCAACTGTTCCATAACTCGAAGTATTTTTGTTCCAGCGACGATAGTCTTATTGAACCAATACGACTCCGGTTTGTTCTTTATATCATGAACCGATGTACCTTTATCGTTGGATTGATCAGTTCTCCTTGGAACACCAAATGTAGTCCAGTTGACATGAGATTGGGAATAGTCTTTGTCTTTATAAGTGACTGCTGAAAATGTGTTATTTCTTTGAGAGTTAATAAGATTCACTGGCATAGCAACAGAATCGTGGAGGATGATGATGAATATTGTCACTCTCATAAAATTGGAATCCATTTGTAGCTGAATAAACAATACAAAATAAAAAGAGAAATATGATTTTAAACGAGTTAGACAAGATCAACAATAAGCAATACTCAATTAGCACAAAAGTAATTACACTGAAGTTCCTTGTTTGTAAAGTTCTGAATAATTACCAGAGTATTGGACAAAAATTTTTCTCGAGGAAAGATTGTCGATAAGTCGAGAAGAAGGTGTTGACCAAAATGAAGTACATTTCAAACGGTCCAATTGCCACAGTTTAAATCCTGGAAAGTTACCTTCAAAGCTTGATCCTTAGCCTAATCCTTAGCAACTCGATGCAGTCTACCTGAGTCGGTCATCATTTTAACAAAGATGGTAGTCCTGAGATCCTTATTTCAAAAAACGTGGCAATTCTAGGGCAATGTCAATTTTCTCATTGGGCAGGATGAAAGACCAAAAAAGAAGCACTAGATATTCAATAATGAGTATATAGATCATAAGTAAATCGCAAATGGATCCTCTTTTCCAAAGTTTACTCAGATAATAGCCAACGGGTTTAATATCATCTTGGACAATTCTTTCGTAAACTTTTAAAGTTCTTTTAGTCATCTCTTTCCATTGATAATACGTTTTGATACGCTCATAACAAACTTCTGGAGGTAACACTTGACCTTTCTTTAAATCATCAAGAGCTCTATCGACACCTTCAACAAGACCCTCAACAGTAGGCTCGGTTAACCATATCAAGTCATTTGGTAATACTTCTGGAATACCACCAACATTAGTTGAAACAACCTGCAATCCACATGCTACAGCTTCAATTATAGCCATACAAAATGCTTCAGTTAAGGATGAATTGAGAAAAATATCACCCTGGATCAATATATCCCTTATATTTTCATGTTTGACCATACCAAACATTTGAACTCTGCTTTGAAGTAGATTTTCTTCAACCATTTGCTCTAGATTCACTTTTTTAGGTCCATCACCAATAATGAAAAAACGTGTTTGAGGATATTGTTTACATATGATTGGGATAGCTTCAATCAATAAATCGATGCCTTTCCGATAAACTAAGCGACTTGCAACAATTATAGTAACTAAAAATAAAAAATGACATAAATATGACGTAAGATATTTCGATTTAGTAAACTAAAATCGATAAAAACTAACCATAACGAGAATCTCGACTAGATGGATCCGGCTTGAAGACATTGGTATCTACAGCATTTGGTATCACATATATTTTGTTGGGATCAACGCCGGCCCTTAAAGCGGTGTTCTCCTTCCTGAATTGAAAAAAAATCAAACAATATTACAAGACTGTTCAGAGCAATAATCTAAATTTTAATTTAAACTTACCCGACATGAGAAACACAGATGACAGCATTGGCAAAGATGAGAGACATACCCAAAAGTTGATTTGTTATGATGGCAGAGACATCAGCAAAACCAAACAATGAATGCTCAGTGAAAATGGTTTTTAAACCTAACAATTTACCATGAATCAAAGATTCAATGGCCATAGCTGAAAAAGCGGAATGACAATGAACAATATCAATTTGTTCCCGAATCAGGATTGATCGTATGAGAGGCAGTGAGGCAAACAATGTGGGTAAAGTACACTGATTATAGATGACAGCAAAGGGAAGGTAATACACTTTTAATCCTCTTGACATGATACGAATACCTTTACGACAGCCATAAGAATGAGTTAATACGACTACTTTATGACCATAATTAATTAAACATTGTGACAATTGAAAAATGTGACTTTCAACACCTCCACTGTTTGGATAGAAAAAATCAGATATCATGCTATGGAAAGGGCAAAAAAGAAGGAAAAAACAAATGAGATTAACCCCAATGTAACAAAAAGAAATATATTAATGAATTATTATGACAGTTGACAAATTATATTTACCATATTCTATACATGATTAATTGAACAATTGTAACAATTCACATTCATAATATTTAAACACCGGTGAAGGTTTGGTGAAAATAGGATGAAAACACAGTGATGAAGCAAAAAGGAAATGCTCTCTCTTCTTGAGCCATCAGTAACTTACACAAGTACTAGTTTAACAAGCTAACTTTGTAAATATCATAATCAAGATAGAAAAACAATTGAAACTTAATCAGATTCACCAATCCTCTCAGAATATAATACTTATATAAAGATATCTCATAAAAAAATAGTTGTACCAAGAGTTAAAACGATGCGTATCATCAGCTGCTAAAATCTGGTGGCAAAAACCCAAAGAAAACACTTTTAGAGAAACAGAGAGCAAAGAATTGTCAACTTTTTTACTTTTAAATAACGACTTTTTGATTGGTTAATCAAATATTTGCAGTCAATCTTGAATAAAACTTGGAATATCAAAGTCTGAACATGATCTTGAATGTTTTCAATATCACAAAGTCTTTATTTGCCATTGAAGATCAACTCAACTCGTAAACATTAGACGAGACTGGACAATCTTATGCTATTATTAATCAAAGGCTCGATGTAATAAAGATTATGCTAATGATAATTTTCACAGCCATGCTCAAGATGCAATTAACTGATTGACACTTATCAAGAAGAAAAGGTAAAAGTGGGGGGCAACAAAAAGAGCAAAATACTGATAATAATGTTGAATTTAACTGTAATCAATTCTTTTAGTTTATTATACTCAGGTTATGCTACCATTATTAAGGGTTGCTAGCTGGTAATCATCAAGTATAAAGCATCTCTACCCTCAAGATCTCAATAGTTGTAATCAAAAAGACAAAGTTTCATTCCATTCAATGTTGTGTCAATTAAAAAAGGAATTAAATTTAATTCAATTGACCGGTTCAACTAAAGTTAATCTATTCCGTTCACCTTATTCATCAATTCATTGATTTTCAATTTTAAATCATGGATTTTGCTGCGCCCTTTGACAGAGAAGTCATTTTGGTTCAAAATAAAGCTGAAAAGGTTGCCTTAAAGTCATTCAAGGAAGAGATTAGAGCAACAATCGATGTGGAGCGTTTAGTTACCGAAACAAAGGTCATTCTTGATGTACCCGAAACATCGGTTCATCGGATTCTTGAAGTTGGTTTGCTTAAGGTAAGATTTCGGTAACCATCCGAGTTAATTTACAATTTGAAGAGGCAAGAAATGCCTTTTTGCTAGATTGAGTATTCATAGTCTTTTATGATGTCTATTAGATTTGAAAGTACACAATTTTACTACCTTTAGATTATCTGGTTTATAATAAACTGTTAATATTAGTTGAGCTGATTGTAAATCCTACAAGGAAACTGTGAAGACTTGAATTATCTCACCATGTGTATGCACCAGGAGAGTAATGTTTTGGTTTACTGTGAACCCTCTCATATTGTCACCCTCTCAAAATGTCCGTGGTAAACAGATTTTTGGACGAGCTTTTGATGTAAATCAATTCCGATCAGTTCTTTGTATCAGTGAAGATGGTAAGATTAACAATGGTTATAGAAATTAAAACTAATGAGGAAAATTTATCAACCCTGTAAATAGTTCCTAAATTGAAGGAAACGTTTCAAAGTTTAACATATGATCATAATGGTTTCTTTGCATTTGATCAATCTTGGATCTGTGTGACGTAAGTAAAACATGTTTATTCTTAATGTTGATCATGAAAGAAATTAATGATGAATTATCTGTTCCCTGGTTAGTGGAAGTTTGCCCTTTTTGTCTCAACGTTTAACAGGAATCATACGGTTAGACAGTCCAGTGAACTTTGGTGACAATGCAGCTGAAATACGGTTCATCATTATGGTTTTGGTTCCTATTAAAGAGGTAAAATTGAAGCAAATGTTTAATCAATTACTAATTGTATTTATTTCCATTAGAAAGGAACCAAAAATGCATTTGAAACGGGACGAACTTTTGCAACGCTATTTACATCAGCTGAGTTCCGTAATAATTTGTTACAAGCCAAAAAAGCATCCGACTTTTTAGCTGTGATTCGTCGTCGAGTAGATGATTTACTCAGTGGTGGTAATGCCCTGGATCGAGTTTATTCCGTTGAACCAAGTCTCGGGGATAAATTTAAATTTACATTTTGTAAAGGAATCGCTGAAAATATTGTTCGTCGTGTAAAGTACTATCCAAGTGATTTTGTCGATGGATTAAAGGGTCCAAATACATTTCGTAAAACACTGGCGACAATATTATTCCTCTATTTTGCTTGCATTTTGCCTTGTGTTGCCTTTGGTGTTTTAGTGGACAAGACAACGGGAGGATTAATAGGTAAACCAGGAGGAAGGTGAAAAAATATATAATCTTGATTATTGATCCTTGATCTTGTTCATGGATATTAGATGCAAGACGGGCAATTATTGGTCAAGCTATTGGTGGCTTGTTTTTTGCTCTATTTAGTGGTCAACCTTTGGTTATCATTGCCACAACAGCACCTCTTTGTTTATTTACTAAAGGTGAGTATTCAAGTTTGTTATAATCAAGAGATTTGGCCATTAATCATTCTTTTTCCAATTTTGGTCCAGTTGTATACGAGATCGCCTCTGATTTTAATGTCGACTTTTATTCGATGTTTGCTTGTGTCGGTTTGTGGAACTCTTTTTTCGTTATCCTTTATGCACTATTTGATGTGTCCGTTGTAATGAAATGGTGTACAAGAAACACGGAAGAAATATTTGCCATTTTCATCTTTTTTGCCTTCTCCGTTGATGCACTTAAAGATGTTGTCTCAAGTATGTGATGTAAAAAAGTGTTGACTGATTTGGGTAAACAATTGTATTGACTTTTGCTTTTCTGGTTTTTTGATAGATTTTAAAGAGTATTATCCTGGTTTCGGTTGTACTAAGGCCATCTTCGGTTTGGTTAATGGAACCAATCAGATCTTTTTAAGTGGAAATTCGAAAGAAATTAATGGGACAATAATTATCAACTCGACTGAAAGTTACTCCTTAATAGCTGAAGCGTTCAAATTTTGCCAACCACAATCTTGCCTTCTATTTATCCTTTTAATGCTGGGAACTCTTTGGTTAGCATTGAGTCTATACGAGTTCAATAAAACACCATTTTTGGGACCAACAAATCGTGAGATACTTTCCGATTATGCTTTACCCATAGCTGTTGTCGTATTTTCAGCAATCGGAAGTTTTCTTTTCAGTGTAAGAATAGATCTTTCGATCAAAAATGAATAATCATTTCTGAAAATGATTTGTTCAACACTTAATTTGTTTCCTATTTTGGCAAGTCAACTTATCCATTTACGTTTGCATTGCAGGCCATAGAAATAGAGAGTTTCAAGTTCAGCGATTCATTTACTTTTAAAATGGCATCGTTTGATTCATTGACTCCAGCATCGATCGCTGTTGCGGCTGGCCTTGGTTTTGCGTTATCACTTCTATTTTTTATGGATCAAAATATATCAGCTGCACTGGTAAACACACCTTATAATAATTTAAAAAAAGGATCCGGTTATCATCTAGATTTACTGATTGTTGGTATTTTAAATGCGTTTACGGCTCTCACTGGTTTGCCTTGGATGCATGGTATTCTTCCTCATTCACCTTTACATGCTCGTTCTTTGGCTGATATTGAAGAGCGAGTTGAAAATGGATGTGTTAAACAGGTTGTCGTTTACGTACGAGAAACTCGCATCACTGGAATCATTGCTCACATCTTGATTGGACTATCGTTGTATCTTATCCCTTATCCTTTGGCTTATATACCAGTTCCAGTTTTAGATGGACTTTTCTTGTATTGTGCATTTGCTTCACTCCGTGGAAATTCATTTTACGAACGTTTTCTCCTCTTGATCACTGAGCAAAATTCGTATCCACCGAATCACTACATTCGCCGATCACCTCAAAAGTATATCCATTACTTTACTGGTATTCAGATTGTCCAATTGGCCGTTTTATGTTTCTTTGGTTTCTTCAATTCTCCTTATGTTCAAATGGCTTTTCCAGTAATTATTGCACTCCTCATCCCGATCAGGTAATTATCTGGAGTAATTAGTAAATAATGAATCCAAATTAGCACTAATTGTATCACAATTGTTTCTCCTTTAAAGGCATCTATTGGTACCAAAGATAATCCCAAGGAAATATTTGCGAGCCATTGATGGTTACCATTGAAGATGTATTTTGAAAAGATGAAGATTCATTAAAGGATTGAATTTACATGGAAACAGGGAAAATTATTGTTGATCATGATTAGTAAATGTTTTACTAATCATGTATCATTATTTTATTTGTTTTTTGTTAATTTATCAATAATTTTTCCATTTCATTTACACTTTATTAAAGCAATAAACTTGTTGCATAATGATGATTATGTTTCTTTGATATTTAAGTTGAAAATAAACCTTCACAATGATGATAATTTGCCTAAAATATTTTTAGAGTTACTTCAATACTTTGTTAAGAAGAGTTAATTTTATTATGATAAATCGCTTTTTGTTTCAAATCGTAAATTGTTTGTTTTAAACATCTTTAAAGGTTGGTGATTTGATGAGTATGTAAGTTGGAACATGTGATTAATGAGAAAAAAAAGAAGAAAAGAAAAAAGAATGATGAGAATGAAGATAATTTGATGCCTGTCTGTGAATCAATTATTGTTTGCTCTCGATGAAATTTGCAAACAGTGATGACAATGATACGATAGTATAATTCATAGTTAATGAATGTGTACTTTTTGTGTTTGGATTTGAAAGGAGAGAAGAGTTAATATGTATAGAGAGACAGTAGACAAGACTCGTCATATTACACATTTTGGTATGTTGATGTGTAGCTTTTGTTAATAGATATCTTCATGTTTTTTGTTTGTAAATATATTTTTTTTAGTTTTGTCGCAATGTTTGATCTTGCATTGAGATGGGGAAAGTTCATGATATACAGGTGTATATAATTTTCTTAGTTTTGGTTTTATTAAAAAAAGAAACGAACAAGAAACTTGTTAACCTCTATCTTCTGCGGTTTTGTTTCTATCAGTTGTATCAATATTAAGTATTTTCAAAGGAGTTGTTGCAGAGGCTGCTTCAGGAAACCTTTCATAGTAGCGGTCAGATTTAAGGAATTTAACGGAAACAAGGTGACGTTCACACCACCAACCGTGAAGGGCAGCATAGGCATTGGTTGCAGACTCCAAAGAATCACATTTAAGATAAATAAAATACTCTTTCTCATCAGGTCCATCCATATCAATATGAAGAATACCATGATACTTATTTGGTGCGTATGCTGTACATTTTTCAATAATTGCATTACGTATCTGGGTTTTCCAATTTGGTGAAGCATTTTTACTGGGTATATTTCGTACTTTAAGAAATTCAGTTGGTGCCCTGGTATTTGAGTTTCTCGAACCATTGGATACACTAACTTTATTGTTGGCCGAACACTCTCCAGGAGTATTTGATGTAGAGTCGGACCCAAATGCTGATCCTTGCCATTCAATGATACCCGTTTTCATGGTAGTCGCATTCATACGAAACTCATTAAAACGATCCTTTGATGTTGAATTACCACACCACTTCCAAGTCTTAAATTCTTCGCCATTAATTTCTTCAATGATAGAATTAATGTGATATTCATTATTTTCTATGTACTCTACAGCACTGGACCATATCCTTTTCCAGCGTGCATCTTTACGCTGTTGAGGAGTTAGAAGGGTATCTCTGATATTTATTACAGGCATTGAATAAGGTTCATCCGGAGATTGTAGTAGTTCGATAGATTTTCGAACGAGATCTTGGATGGCAGCTTGCTCTTCATTTTGCATCTGTTTCTTGTGGCTTATATATTTGATGACTGTAACAACAATTGTGACGATTAAAATAATTCCAGCGGCCAACTTTCCAGTTAGCCAGAAAAAAGATCGAAGCTTGAAACCCAATGACAATGGGATGGGATAAGCTCGGTAAACATAAAACGCGGCAATAATAGAGAAAAACAGTAAAAATACTCCAACAATACTGTACGAAGTCCATTCAGATATATTGACGGGTTCATTATTATTCATATACAACGATTTATCATTTGTTGTTGTTCCATTGTCAAAGCTTTGTTCTACAGCTCTAAGTTTAGTTGTTCGGTGAAAATGTGAAGAAAGTGAAGAAGGTGAACGAGGTGAAGAAGGTAAAGAAGGTGAAGGAGATGAATAAGGAGAGTTTAAGGCACGGGTTTCACCTAGAATATATGAAAAGGAATAAACATTAATAACAGTTCTTGAACATAATACTTCAAGTGGTTCTTGTGAAATTGAACTTACCCTTCTCAATAAGAGAAATAAGCTTCTTCTCATAGACGCTCCGCGTGCTTGCGACAATGGGACCACAAACAAAACCATGATCTTTTCTTAATCTTTCAGCTAATTCCTTGTCAGTTAGTTTACTAACTTCTGATAGTTTAATGGACCGATCGCCACAGCTATTTCTCTTGGCCATATTTACTCTGATTGTTGCCAAGAAGTTGGTCTAGTTGGTTAAAAACACACAAAAATTTATAATTAATGCTGCTACTGGTAAAAAGAGAAAACTCGGACAAAAAGGCAAATACCGGGCAAGCAGGCAGATAACCGATGAAAATACAAATCCGGGGTAACGTTGTAAAAGTAACCGTCGGTTAATTTTCGCCTTCTACTCTCGGCTTAAAATCAGCCCAGCTCTTGAAACTATGACAACATTCAAGCAAAAAAGATGTTTAATTAACACAATTAACTTATTGCATCAGTAAGATTGGAGAGATTTAACATTGATTCCTGTGAAGCTTAATCAAAATCAAACATATCACTAATGAAAGTATAATTGTATTTCAACTGTTCAAAGCTGACTTGAAAATTATTTGCTTGATTGTTAACATCATGAACTGATTTACAAACTACTCAATGATATGATTTAAACCATTTTAACATCTTAAGAAGATGAAGAAACATCTCTTTTATTGTTTTTGATGTTTCGTACATGAACTTGTAAGTGAAAATATTGACAAACGGTTAAAAAATTTATATTAATTGTTCACTGAACGTTTGATTTTCAATTGTTTGATCTTAAATATTTTCAGTCTTTTTTTAAATTTCAATTTGTTTTAATTTCCTCATTTTTTAGTTTAAATGATGCAATGGTTACAAGAGCTAAGCTGGCTTCAAGTCTAGAGTAAAGTCAGCCGACGGTTATCTGTAGCCTTGCCCATAATTAATGCGTCTTAAATCTGGAAAATTATAAAAACTAAAAAAATGGATTGTATTTTTGCAATCAACATGCGAGTCTACATCAGATAAAATTGTCTGAAAAGTCCTGAGTGCAAGCCATTTCTAAAATTGTCCTTTTGATTGTCTAACAATTAATTTGTTGATCACTTGTTTGATTAATAATTTGTTTCTTTGCTAATAGATGGAGCTAAATAAACCAATAAAAATGACTGTCAAATTTGAGTTTAAAGGGGTGTACAGAAAGTTCGTGTGAGGGGAAAAAATAATTTCCCTTGCGCATTGAACACATTTTCTATTGTTATTATTGACATTACTGATTACATTTTACCCCACCCCTCACACGAACTTTCTGTACACCGTGTAAGTAATTTTGGCAATTTAATACAATAATGACATCATTCATCAATATGATGAAATTTTAAATTTTATTGCAGATATCGTCAGATTTAAGTGTGGAAGTGATTCTGTCGAAGCTTTGTCTTATTTCAAATAGACATTAAATATGGCGGATTAACCATTTTGGCAAAAATAGATGATAAAGTCTCTAACCATATGATCATAATCCAGTGACGCCGTAATCTTGGACCAGTTATTTGCAGTTAAGTGATCGTGATTTTCAGTAAAAACTGGTCTTAATTCAATAATTTCTCAGTAATTCCAGCCTGGAAAATCAGGAAACTCCATATTTGGCTATTTTCAACCTACGTTTCAACATGGATCTTCAAAGATTTACAATTATCAAGCAAAAGCAGATCTCGACTGTTTCATCGTAAAACCTTAAAGAGCTTCATTCAAATTCATCTTTTCTGTGTCTAATAGATGAAGCTCAGATTTCAAAATTGGTTATTTTAAAGCAATTTGCTGTTCGCTTGAATGAAGATCATTGTAATTCACAGTTTCATGATCAAACAATGGAATGTAATTTTTATAAATTGTACACTCAATATGCACAAGTAGCAAATTGTAGTGAAAATACAGAGGAAGATTGCTCAACTTGATGAATATCGCGATTAAATCACTTTCACAGTTAATCAATCAGTCAATTATTAAACTGTGTACAAAGGCTATTTAAGCATTTGGTAATGATGAACAATAAAGCTAATCAACAGTTGTCTCTCAATTGGTTAACAATTGTATCAATATCATGAACAGCTTATTATAGAATCACTTAGTTACAATTAAATATCAATTGAAAAAGGTTTTCTGTGTTTCTTTGTTTGCTTATAAAGATGATCTTTTTCAGTATTCCTAATCATTGAATCACTATTATACTTTACTCGACTCATTTGCCAGGTAATAGAGACACACCTTTCCAGTACAAATCCTCTTAAATCAATCGACAGTAGATTGACTTTAACATTTCTCATTGTTAATCAACTTAATCAGCAAAAACTGATTATCTTCAACTTACCCCTTCTCGACACTCCCATCATCTTCAAGTGTATCAATTGATGTAAGTTGATCATGCAATAATCATCATCAATCAATTATCTTAGTTCACCTGAAAAATCCTTGAAGATAATATTGTAATATTGAACCTTCAATCGTTTCAATAAAATTCAATTTCAAAGTAAACCTCAATTTTGAAGAAGCAAATATTGGATTAATTGATTTACAGATTTCAATCATTTCTGTCTAATGTTCAAAAATCATTTATTGTGCTCATGGAAATCATGTTTAGCCTTTTTCTGTTTACTATTTACCACAACAATCAAGGTTCTATCTGCATTCAATCATGATTTATTTACGGATTGATATAAATATTAATATTGGTTTTTAAAATCCAAAAATACATCTCAATGGCTTTGTAATGCAACCTTTTTCAATCACAATTTAAACTATGAAATTCATTGTAATCATTTCCACTTATCACTGTTAAATTGTTTTACCTTTAGGATTAGGATAAAGATAATTATTGTGAGCTGTAAAAACAGATTTACTGGATTAGCTATTTGATAATACAAATATCAAATATGGTTCATTCAGTGGAGTAATATTTCAATGGTTGAGGTAAATCTTGCAGGTTGACTCTCACAGTCTCTCACCGAGTCTCTCCTTTATATAAACTGTATTAATTTTCTTGCTATTTGATCAATCTGATTAATTAACTAACCACTTGAATTGAGGAAACATCTTTAAACATTCATTAATTAGTTTTCTAATTAATTTAATCGTTTACTTTGCTTTTGTTTCTCAAGTTGATGTATTGGTTTCTTTAAAAAGACTTCTCATCACAACATCAACATTCAACAACACATGTAATATTGTTACGCCGGTAAACTCATAAAAACAATTGTTTATGCTTTTCTGCATCAATTGTAATTACAATTTAACTTGATATTGAACTATCAACCGTTTCCAACATGATCTTCAATAACTCTATACACCAAATCAACATTAATCTCAATCAACAAGTAATAACTAAATTATAACTTGTGCTTTGTAAATTTACTGTTTCTTTATTTTCTGACTTTATCCTTTGTCTTTTTGACCAATCACAGTCAATCTATTTATTTTAGCTTTTTTTTCGTCCATAAGTCAAGTTTTCATTTCTTTGTTTCAATTCATCTTTAATTTTTATATTCATCCACTGATTTTATTAATTTATTATAACAACATGATGACTTCATGCATCTCCTTTATTAAAGTAAGATGGATCTTTGGTCTAATGGCCTTTTGGGGGCTATTTTTCAACTATGCAACTAAAGTGATACTTTCCGCTACGCTGGAAGCAATGGTTACTTCAGAGTTTCATGCAAAATCTGAATTGGCCTCATCCTCTTCCCTGTTATCACCATCATCCCTATCGCCGACTTCACCCTCAAATGGTACATTATTATCTGCTGATCCACATATCCAGCATCATCTAACAGTTCATCATAACGTTAACAAGACTATCCTGTCGAGCCGTTCATTTACTAGTCAGTTATACTCTTATCAAGTCTATGATTGGTCTTTTGAGACTCAAAATTCATTGAAAGAAGCCTTCTTCTATGGTTATATCATGACTGGTGTTATTGGTGGACGATTAGCTGAAAGGTTTAGCGTTAAACACACTGTTGGTACTACAGTATTCATCTCATCCCTTTTGTCGCTGACTATTCCCTTTATCGCATCTTATGGTCCATCTGCTGTTTTCCTAGCTCGTCTTCTCCAAGGTTTAGCCAACGGAATGATTGATCCTGGCCTGAATACAATCTTTTCCCGTTATATTCCTATTAATGAACGATCCCTTTGGGGATCGATTGTTTATTCTGGATCTTCTCTTGGTACAATGATTATGTTAATCGCAACCGGATCATTATGTCAATATCATTCACTTGGAGGCTGGAAATTGGCCTTTTATTTTCATGGTGTAATGGGTCTCATTTGGTATACTATTTGGCAAATAACAATTGCTGAAAGGCCACAGAATCATTGGTTCATCCGAGAATCTGAATTGCTAGAAATTCAAGCTGGTACTCAATTAGATGCTTCCAAAAAGGTATGCTTAATATAATCATTTTGTCATACGATTTTGCTTGCCCATTAAGGTTATGTAATGTTACGAGAATGCTAGATAATGTTGCTAACTAATGGACCACTAATTATGGCCACTAATGGTTAATATTCATTAATAATTGCTAGGATTTAGAATATGATTTGACTATCATCATCAAAAAATATTAATCAGTACTTTTCTTATCAATCACAGCTATTACCATGATAGAATCATAAGTAAATAAGATGATATCAACGTGAGATTAAAGTCAAGGTGCATGTGAGAGAAATAAGCTTCGACTTGTGCAGAACAAAAAAACACTTGGATTAATCATACGAATCGCACTAATTCCACCTAAATCCTAGTTCAGTATTAGTCTAGTGATTAAATTGGAATGTGATTGGGAAAAATAAATCAGTGAAAGTGAAGGAAAATTTGATTCAATGTTCAGGGGAAACCTTTTATTCCAAAAGGGAAAATTTTAAACCATTAAACAATTTCAATGGAAGCTAGAAATATTAATAATTTTAATTTTGCTTCACATAGTACATTATACATAATTTATTAACCAGAAAATTTTCTCAACCAAATTTAAATTATATCGAGTCTACTCTTGGTAAATTAATTTAACATAGACATAAATTTCAGCTGACGTTGATTTTTTGGAGAAGTGCGTGATTAAACTGTGAATGGGTCAAAGTATAAAAAGAGTTTATGAGAAATGATTGAAATCATTTCCATCTGTGGTTATTCACTCAGTAAATATGTAATAAAATAATTTAATGCATGGTGAATTGGTGATTATATAACTGATAAACTTGATTATTGTTGTCTGCAATTGGCAAGCATAAATTGTGCTCGAGAAACAATTGATGGACTAAACTTTTACCTTTCAAGTTGATTTTTAACTTACAATCTTACCTCAACGAAGATTGATCATGATTAATTATGATTATTGTGTGATTTTTAATACTATCTACTGATTGATCAGAACATCTAACAATATCACCATCATTTTATCACCATTTACTTGAGGCTCCTGCGATCATGATTGATTTAAAAATTGCCATTTCAATTGTTTTCCTTAGAATCCTTTTAGTTAAGCAACAATTTACGCAAAATTTGATTAATTCTCTTTATTTATTGTATTCATTACACAATTTACTAATTCCAAGTATTATTTGTCTTATTTGTTCACAGTCTCATCCGATTCCATGGAAACAAATTGTAACCAACCTTCCATTTCTTGCAATGGTTTTTGCAAGTTTCGTCTACAATTGGGCTTATCTTACAATGTTAACTCAACTTCCGAGCTATTTTCACCGAGTTTTGGGTCTAGATGTTTCTAAGGTAATTGGACAATTGGTTTAACAAAAGCATATTTCAAACAGCAATCAAAGAATCCAATTATTGCATGATTTAAGATGAAATTAACATAAGCGATTAGGAAAGGATTAGGATCTAAGGTTGAATTTTGTTTACTCTGTTAGTGTGTGAATGTTAACCAGTAATATTGTTCAATATTTGTAGACTAAATCCAGTCAAATCCACAGTTGTTTAGCTCTTTGATTGTACAAACAATCACGTTAATTTTCATCATTACAACCTTGATTGAAAACAAAAACAGGAAAACAAGAGTATTAACTGCTTTTATCTGGAAGGGAAAATTTATACGGACAAGTTTAATGATTACGATTACGATCAACGATTTAAAGATCAGTGTACACGCGAAGGTTTTGTTTTCTTAGTCGTTATTTATCTTGCTGTCTCTATTTTCAAAACACAATTAGATTCAAACTGAAATATTCCGAGGTCAATGAACAGTTATTCAATATTTACTTATTAATAATCCTTTATCTAAGGTGAACTGATGGTTAAATTGTCTCTGCAAACAGTTAATATATGATAGCAATTTGTATCTAATTGTAAACCATAATTCTTACATGATGTAAAAAACATTCATTTAAGTGTATAATTAGGAAGCCATACAGATTTAAAAGTAATTTGATGACTGCTGATTGATTATTATTGGAATCTAATAACCAATTGATCAGCAGAATTTTATTTTTAACCGAGATTTACTTTACCTGAATCAATCTGGAGCTGATATTGCAACAATAATTTATTCTTTGGTTTTTACTGTTTAATCATTGCTTATTCATTCAATCTTATTAATTAACATTTTTTGATTTCCAATTTACAGTCTGACATAATTTCAAGTCTTCCTTATATCGCTCAAAGCATAATGGGTTACATTGGTGGAATGGTTCTTGATCGTCTTCGTAAAAATGGACGTTTCTCCATCACGTTCCTTCGCAAAACATTCAATTCAATCGGTAAGAATCAGTGCTTACATAGTGATCACATGCACTATTAACTTAATTAAATTATCATGATTATAAGTTACAAACGGTTGTTTCTTTAATTGACAATCGTTAGATGGCGTTAATTTTTACCGCTCATCAAGACTTAATCATCCATTTCATTGTAAACATGTGGATATAATTGATAATAGAGTTAACTTAAAATTTATATTAATTTGGTTTTCCTTATATCACTTCTAGGTTTCATTGGTCCAGCTATATGTTTGGTAATCAACTGTTTTTCGGGACGCAATCAAACTCTTGCTGTTACTCTGATCACTATGAACTTGGGTCTTTGTGGTTTTGCTATCTCTGGATTTAAAATAACTAATGTTGACCTCAGTCCAACTTTTGCTGGAACTCTTTTAGGAATAGCAAATACAATTGGTAATGTGCCTGGTATTTTAGCTCCAATGCTGGTGTCAACTTTGGTTCATGAAGGTAATTCAATATCTGAATGGAATAGTGTATTCTTGGTTGCAGCTGGTCTTTTTGTGATTGGGACAGTTGTTTTCGTGCTATTTGGATCGGCTGATCTTCAACCCTGGGATCCAGGACACTTTAATTATCGCCCTAACAACATTAAAATCAAAAAGATTGACCCAAATGGAAAGGAAACTCGAATTGCAACTATAGAAATGAAATTCAGTGGTGATTTGAATGCTAAGATAAAACAAAATAATGTGTAGCAATGATATTTAACATTTGTTAAATATTCCTTTTATTTTTTGCGTTTTTTCATTGTAATTGACACATGAATTGAAATTATTCATCAATCATGATATCAAGCAGTAATATATTTTGTTTGTTTATCAGTTGAGTTTATAAATATTAACTGTTGGAGGCTGCTCAAGGTATCTCGCATTGTATCGTATCATATTGTATTTTGTATCAACCAAACATCCTCAAAGTCAATCAATTTACTGTGATACATCATTAACTTGAGGTATCATTGTCATTTTAAAATTAATTTTCAACGCATTTTCATGCTTAGATTAACTCACTATTGAGAAAAAAGTTCATCAATTTTACTTTATGATAACTAAACAAATCAAACTAATTATAATTGTAAATAATGTAACAATTTTTAAACAATGACAAAAAAAATTATTCAAAAATCAAAAGCTAAACAAAAAATATCAAAGATTAAAATATATAACTCATTCCCTTCCAAAACTGTTAACTTGAAACTTTATTCAAATACAGTAAATCAATTAATCAACTTTTCTCGTTGATTTACACAAACTGATTGGTAATCGTTTTCAATATCTTCAAGGAATGACATTAATCTGTAATCAAAAATTGCTCAGTAATGTTAATGTCGACTATGAAGGTTAGCTGAAATGAAGGTGGTAAAGGATATTGTCAGTTGATCAATTTTCATTTTTAAATTTGATTCGTTTTCTGAATTCTCAAAGTTAATCCAATTAGCATTAATATTAAAAAATAATGATTATGAATTAAATAGAGTGAGATGAAGAAGCAATTGACAATGCAAAGTATGCATAATGTGATAATACACTTGTCTTAAAAGTATTACTAATAGTAATATGAATCTGATGTAGCAATCAACGAGCTCATCCTTATTATTGATTGTGCAAAGAAATGGAAAGAGACGAAGATGATGATGTAGATGATGATGAAGATGATTGTGATAGTGATGATGAAAATGAATATGTAAAACACTTTGTCTTGGTCCAGGTTAAATTTAATTGTCTTAGATGATCATTTAAAGGGATTCAAAGTCACCAATGTATATAAAAAGCAAGCAACCAATTGGCCTGATTAACTTTCTTCAAACATAATCTTCTCCTGATCAACATCATTATTATCATCCTAATCATCGTCAATTTAAAAGTCCCAGTTCACATTAACAATGGATCTCAAGCTAATAATTCAAAATTGCTTCAAGTAGATCTACCAATGGTAAACTCATCTCAATACCCATTGAACTATTAACTTCAACCCAAACCAGCAACAAGCTATTTTTTCAACAAAAGTAACCTCAACAAAGTTGCTTCAAATAAATGATAATCAATTGTTGAATCTTAAAATTAGCCTTAATTACCAAATTGGTAAAAGTTTAATATTTTATCATTACTGATCAATTGGTTTGCTGGTGACTTGGATTTGGTTGGGTCAAGTCAAGATGAATAGCTTTCCTTATGGTATGTACGGTAATCGACCTCCTATGTTACCCAATTATGGTTACAGTGGTGATCCTTATATGCAAAGGCCTTTAATGCCTTGGACTTTTCCACCAAATGCTACAATCGTCGACACTGTCCCTCAAGAGATGAGATACATGGTACCAGATCATTGGTACCGATTTCCACCCATTAATCCTCTTTGGTACAGTCTTCTTGGGGTAACCATGATTGTCTTGGGTTCCATTTCAATCACTGGTAATGGAATCGTTCTTTACCTGATGACTTCAGTTAAATCTTTGCGAACTCCAACAAACATTTTAATCTGTAATCTAGCTTTCTCTGATTTCATGATGATGGCCTTTAACATGACTACAATGGCAATCAATTCATTCGCCCAGACTTGGGCCCTTGGACCTTTCATGTATGTTTCACCAATTTTTGTCTCCTCATTCCATTTGTCTATTACAACTTTAATCCATTTTTTTTATCCAAATAGAGATAAATTTGATTCTAATTGTTTTACTTCTTTGAAGGTGTGAATTTTACGGTATGTGGGGATCACTATTTGGATGTGGATCGGTTTGGTCACTTGTTTTCATAACCCGTGATCGATATAATGTGATTGTTAGAGGAATGTCTGCTGGTAGATTAACAATTAAAAAATCCTTGGCTCAAGTATTATTTATCTGGTTTTACTCGGTTGCTTGGACCATAATACCTTTTTTTGGCTGGTCACGGTATGTTCCTGAAGGTAACATGACTTCATGTACCATTGATTATCTCTCCAAAGACTTGTGGAACGCTTCCTATACCGTTGTTTACGCTGTGGCTGTTTACTTTCTTCCCTTATTCACACTGGTTTACCATTATTATTACATTGTCTGTGCCGTTGCTACCCATGAACGTACCTTACGTGAACAAGCTAAAAAGATGAATGTCGCCTCCCTTAGAGCCAATGCAGACGCAAACAAGGAATCAGCTGATATTCGTATAGCTAAAGTTGCCATGATGACTGTTGGCCTTTGGTTTATGGCTTGGACTCCATACTGTACCCTGGCTTTCCTTGGTATCTTCACTGACGGTGACTACCTAACACCCATGGTGTCCATTTGGGGTGCAGTGTTTGCCAAATCAGCTGCATGTTACAATCCAATTGTCTATGCCTTAAGTCATCCCAAATATCGTTCTGCTTTGTTCACCAGATTTCCTTCCTTGGCTTGTGGTGTTGGTGCCGTTGAACCAGTTGTCGATGATGATGCTAAATCGGAAATGTCAGTGGCCACAACCTTCTCGGATCATACATCAGCTCCTTGACCCATTCAACCATAATAAAACAATATATCGCTATCTAATACATAACACACGCATATATAATATATTTATACGTGTTTATATGTTTTAAATGTGTAAACATGTGGAAACAAAAATCAATGTTATATTTGTTAAGACTCAAAATTGTAAGTAATCCATTTATTATCATTTATTTTAAAAAGATGATTATCCTGATCAACAGTTTCACTATCATTTAGACTGCAATCATTTTGGTAGGTTACACTGTTACTATTCAGAATTTTTCTGTTCATTTTTGCCTCACCAATCAATTTACTTTTCATCTGTTTTTATCGATTTCATTTCCTATTAATAATATGTTTCATCTATCTTTAACAGCTATTAAATGATTAACAAATAGTCTTGACAAGTTAACATAATATTACTTAACCTTTATCATTTGTTTACAGTTATAGTTGCAATGTTGATGAAATTTATTGCAATGTAAAACAACTAATAAAGCTTCCAACTTAAAGTTGACTTTAAATGACATTTACCATGAATACCTGAAATTCAATAATTTCAAACAAGACTCAATTGACTTCACAATTTCAAGTTAAACGTAACAATTGATTAATAGCAATCTTCAATGGTGATCAATTCATTCTTAATCAATATGGTTTTCCAGTCATTTTTGTACAAATCTGGTTTATAACAGGTTTCAACCCATTTCACTCTCAATGCTTTGGATAAATTGAAACAGATTCAGTGATATAAATTGATAGATTAAATTTAGATTCAAAATTTGGTAAAGACTGAGCTTTGGCAATTTAATATTTCAATCAAATGCTAAATAAACATACAAGACATTTGATGTTTAGTGATGTTTATAATGAGCATTAGTAGATGAAAACCTAACAATTCAAAAGGATGTTTTATTAAAGAGCTTGTCTAAATTGAGATGAGATTAGAAACAATTTTGATTATTGGCTACTCAGTTAGTTACCTGAGTCTAAAAATCTATCAAATAGCTGTTAAGATGATCTTATTGTTACAACTTTCTTATGTCAATCTAAATCCAATTAAATATCAATCGATTTGCTTGAGATGCTTGTCCCTTTAAGTGAAAATGCTGAAAAAAGGCTTCACAATTCAATCATCCGACAAAATGAGAGTAAGTCGTAAGTTGTACAAACTACCGATTGTTAAATTATATTATATTATAATGATACTATAATGTATTGCCAATTATATGCAATTTAGAGTCTAGATTCAAACAATGACTACTTTTTTGGAGAGTAGAGCGAGGAAACAGCAAAAAGGTCAGTAACACACAACCAATCTCAATTGTCAAATTATATCGTTTCCAAGTTTTTTTGCCATTCTCATGAAAAATGTTGACTCGATGTTGAACCGATTCTCCAAAAGCCAAGATTAACTTGATTAACGGCATTAATCTCGATAAAACAAAGTTGAAAGTTTAACATCCCATCAATGAAAAAGACACTGAAAAAAATACAAGAAAAAATAAATGAAATTAATCTACTTTTAGGTTGACATTTCCGAGTTCAAGACTTTATACGATTGTATTGAAGCTTAAATTGACTCGAAAAAACTTTATTCAAAAATCATCATTATCTACCAATTGAACAATGGAATGTTGTTTCAAATTGAAAATTACATTGTTCATTTTCCAATAGAGTGTAATGAACGTTCTCAATGAAGCAGGAAGATTTTATAATTGCTATTGAATTTTTTGTAAATAGTTGATTTTGTAATGCTTGGAAAGGGGTAGAATAAACATTTGAACAAAAAACATGATAAAAAGTCTACTGATATGATTGTATAAAAAATATTGAGAAATTATCAAAAACTCTTTGCTCTCAAATGAACTTTTTTGAGATAAAGATTGGAACAAAAAAAGTTTCATTTCGATTTGTTTTGTGCCTTAAAGAAGTTTCCAAAAAGTGGACCATGTAGATTATTATCCTGTACCCATGAAGTCAAATTGAAATTGTAACGATTCTGAGACCAATCTTTGACCGCAACTGGTCCTTCATCTGATTGGAGATAAATCAAGCTAATATATCTATGGAGTCCGTGGTCCATTGGTGGTTTAGGTCCGAAGTAAGGACAGGCTACTTCACCTTGAGTCATGTTGCTACCAGGAATATTTACAACCATCCAATGAAGCACAGTGCCCTTGTCTTTTGGTGCATCCGGATCAATCATGACAACTGAATAATGTTCATACCAACCAGAATGGTAATTAAATACAACCGGTTCCTTAGCTGTTTGGTTAGGAGTTAACTCGTTACCACAGGAAACTTGTAAATCCCCTGCATATTCAATATCAACGAGAGCCAAATAGTGTTCACTAAAATCTAATGATAAATCATCGATGATTTTATTTTCACGGAATACATCTTCAATGGTTACATTGGGACGACACTCGATTGTCGGAGTGTAATCCTCTTCTTCAGCTGATGTTATCTCTCCAGATGATTGGCCAGCAGTTAAGGTAGAGTTGTCATCGGCAAAAGTGCAGCTGGATGAGCATAAGAGAGCCAAAAGCACCAGTAGCACAAAATTATGCCAATTTAACATGTCCAGTTAATTAATTTGACAATTTACAGTAAACACACAATGTATTGTTGAACAAATAAAGTACAATTACTTAAGTGATAGAATGGGAAAGAGTTGAATTAGTGTTGCTGTTGTTGCCAATACAGACGATCTAACAAAAATAAAGCCAGACACTGTTCCCTCCTTTTTAACTCAACACCGTGGCCATTATGATCATGGTTTCCACGCCTTTACTCCTTGACAAGTATATTTATTCAGGATAACGTTAAAATTGTTAACTCTTGTACCTAATTGCAAGTTTAGCGGAAAAAAATGAATAATATGTTCAACACAATAAACTATTATATAAAATAAATAATCACAATACCAACCGTTAAAAAGGCACATGTAAACCATTGTACAAAGGTAAAGTTGAAAAATAAACGGAGTTAAGACCAATGACATAACCAACCCATAAACACAATGGACACCCCGAAATAAAAATACAATAAACAATTTCAATAGTTCACTCTTCTTCAATGATCAAAATTAATTATAAATCACCAAACTAAATTGATTGAAGCAAAAAAACAAACAAAAAAACTGCTGATTTTCATTTTGATTCCGATAACCTTAAAAAAAGAGTTATTTCCATCTGGTGGCAACAGTGGACATTGTGATTAACTTGTATCCATTTAATCAGGAAGTTAATTGATTTGCTCGAGTTGTACAATTCATTTAACGTTAATTTTAATGGTAAAATAAGACAACCTATTGACTTCGACTGACATTGAATAATTCCTGTTGTTTAACTTTCCAAATTAGCCCATTTTGAACTCCAAACAACTCGCGAAAAAAAGACAAACAAAAGACAATCTAAATTTTGAAAAGCAACAAATTGCAATTATCCAATGGATGATTAACCTTGATTATTCAATAATCAAAAAAACATTGAGTGTCAAAAATTGGTCTTGTCATCTCAAAGTGTCAAAAGTGTTCCAATGTTTCAAAATGGATCAAATTAAATCAAAATATAGACTCAAAAAATGCCTGTAAATCACCCTGTTAGAGGCAAAACTGTAAAATTAAATTTACCGGTTAACCTTTTAAAATAAATTAACCCAATTTTCATTCAAATACCCAAAAATTTAACTCTAATTTGATTGATTAAAATGCTCAAATGACATATTGAAACAAATGTTATACTTAATCCAACAAAACATGTAAAACCTTTCTCAATGTAACCTTTTCTGATTTACCAGATTAGATGCTATAAATAATTCAAACACAATTAACCTCCATGAAAAGCCTAATTGTCCAGAAATGATTTAAATTGTACTCTTAAGGTTAATCAATCGATGAGCTTCTTCTTTCTTCTGATTTCATGCAAAAGCTTCATTGGATTGGTTAAATAAAATAAAAAAAAGTAATGAAATGATAATGATTGATGAAAATAAAATGTTTATTATTCCAACTGATTCAAAGTCTGTTTTAACAATTAATAATCAATTGATATCGTGCTTCATCAAATTATCAACATTATTCATGATTATCATGATAATAAATATTATCTGATAATAATTGATCCATCAGCAAGAGACAAAATAAAGATTGAACCTTTAGAGTTGGATAAGCATTGAAAAAAATAGTAAATCAATAGTTGGTCTCATGTTTCATTGAAACATTCACTGAATAATCATGATCATCTTCATGATGATCATCATAATTATCTGCCATCGTCTTCCAGAAATCATTCAATACTTAATCAACTTACCTTTTTTTCAACATTTAAATTCAAACTCGCAATTGTCTTTGAAAAGGAAAAAATTGTTTCTTCATTGATCATAACCATAACCTATTGATTAACCCAACTTTTTTTAATGATTTCATTTTCACCTGAATTTTGAGAACCTTGAAGATGATCAACCACCAAGATACTTGTTGACTTCATTTCAATATCACAATTGTTCAAGTAAACTCCTGGATTCACCATATTCAACCTTTAACCATTTGTTGTGACAATTTTACCCAAATGTTTGCTTATAATTTTATTTACCGGTTAACTTGATCATTACATTGTTACCATTTCAATAAACTGTTCAACCATTGGAAATAATTTGAGGCAATGACTTTGATTCAGGTTGAATCAAATGACCGTACAATAGGATATCATCACAACGGTAAGTCAACAATTCATTTTCATTCAACTCTCTAAATTTAATGTCAAGTCCGACTCCAATCTACAAAGGTTTGTAAAACTGTTAACATTTACATTATAAATTCAACTATTAATTTACATTACAGTTAATTTGACCTGTGTTGATTAAGATTCCTAATTTTGTTATTGTAAGCCTTTACGTTTATCTTGTATCAACTTTGATTATGGATTCACTTTTTGGGTTCAATTGAAATAGTAAAATTGGGTTCTTTGGGAAAATTTTAATCTACCATTTTTGGACTTGATTTTGTTTCAATTAATATTTTCATTTAAATTTTTCTTGTTTCAGAATCTCAAGTTAAAGATCGACCTTTCGTAAGCTTTGTCCTTCTTTCACTTTCCATTTTCCTAATTATTGCATTATTACCGTTATCACTTCTCTTCGTGGTTGAGGTAAATTTAACACAACTGCAGATATCGATTTGAACTATAAGATCAATAACAGCTTTTCTGGAAATGTTAAAAAATTAAAATTAAAAAATTTTAGACTGGTTACAAATATAAGCAATTAAAGGATAAAAAAAAGAGTAAATTTAGATAATTAAGCGACTAATGTCTTGATTGAAACAGGAAACTTATTGAAAGTTTTACAGTTTAACATTTACCATGTTGAATCTATTGATTAAAGTTGTATTGATCTTTGTGGTTAACCAGGGCAATTATGAGTGTATGAATACTGAATGAAGTATCATTAAGAAATAAACACAAACACTGAACTTGAAAGTAAAATAAAAATTAACTTCCATTATTGATCAAATGTCATCAATCAATTACAGATAATCAAAGAGTACGAAAGAGCAGTTGTATTCCGGTTAGGTCGACTTAAAAAAGGTGGTGTTGAAGGACCAGGGGTTCATGTACTCATTCCTTGTATTGATACACTGAGTAAAGTAGATTTGAGAACAATAACATTTGATGTTCCACCCCAAGAGGTATGTAAATAAATTATTAAACCAATTGTAATTCAAAACAATAGCCAACACACATTACCATAGAAAGCGTCAAATCAAAATTACTATCATCACAGCATTTAGCATTATTAAGGACCAATTTATCACGACAAGAGTTGGATCAGCAAGAGTTTCTCATTACAAGATGGTTTTAGATTGATTAAAAACATAATTAGATGTAAATCTAAGTTAATTTAGATAAATTTTAACAAAATATTTAACAAAATATGAACAAAACAATTAGTAAACAAAAAAGACTCAAAGACCAAATAGAGCAACGCTGCCATCTCTGTTATTGTAAAACAACTATTTATGTAACGTTACTTTTTGTTTGTTGACATTAGATGGTCATTAAGTTTATGCTAATTTAACTTTTTATAATTACCATCTAAGATGTCCAAAGTATCATCAATCAAGTGATTATTATGGTCAATTATACGTCTTAATTGGCTAAGTAATTGGCTAAGTTTTCTATTCAAGTGTACATTAATTTTAAAGTATTTTGCTTTTGTTTTCTACTTTCAGATTTTAACAAGTGACTCTGTAACGGTGTCTGTTGATGCTGTTGTTTATTTCCGAATATGTAATCCTATTTTCGCTGTGACAAATGTTCAAGATTATCGTCGATCAACTCAACTATTAGCTGCTACAACCTTACGGAATGTTCTTGGTGGTAAAAGTTTGTCTCAATTGCTAAGTGAACTTGATACAATCAGTCAAATATTAAAATCAAATTTGGATACAACCACAGAATCATGGGGAGTTAAAGTTGAACGAGTTGAGATGTAAGTCTATTTTTTCATTAACCCTTTGTTGCTATCCTGATATTAATATTTAAAGTTGAAGCTTTAATAAGAAAGTAAACGTAGAATTGTTTACGAATCAAATCTTGAATCGAATCGCCATTAAACAGGAAAGCCAATTTATTTTCCTATGCAGTCTTGTTTACTTTTTACCGATTATTGAGAAAATCAGTGTTTACTTTTGAGCAATTCACTTTCTCCATAACTACCAAATAGTAATTGTTTTAAGACATTATGTACAAGTAAGATTGTCATAAATTGTGAAATCAAATTAATGATCTTGTTAATGAATAAAATATTAGAATAGGACATTAATTTTTAGGATATGCTTGTTTCTCTAACCCTGAAATTGCCTTGCTTTACCAACAACATAATGACAGTATAAATAATCAATCAGCGATACTCCAACATTTAATTATCGATGGAATCGCTTTTGCATTTCATCAATCAAATCAAACAATAAAACCTACATTGATTGTAAATTCGTAAAAAAATCGATCAGTATAGCAATGAAACTGTCTCCTGAAATCAATAATTGAAAATCATCATCAGGTAAAATTGATGTTACCGTGAAAGCAAAAATCGTAAAGATTACCAATAAAATTATGTCAATTTTTTTGCTGTTATTTATTATTTTCAAACAATGTCTAATCTTTCCGTCTCTTTTTTTCCAACAGTAAAGACATTCGCTTACCGACCCAGTTACAGCGTGCAATGGCAGCGGAAGCAGAGGCAATGAGAGAGGCTCGGGCAAAGGTCATTGCATCTGAAGGTGAACAAAAGGCATCTCGAGCTTTGAGGGCAGCATCAGAAATTATGGTCGAATCGCCTGCAGCTTTGCAATTACGTTATCTTCAAACACTGAACACAATTGCGGCAGAAAAAACGTCTACCATTATTTACCCGATTCCGATTGACATGTTCAGTGCTTACATTGATTTTCAGGAAAAAGATAAAGTAACTAATCCTAAAGCCTCATCATCAACTTTACCCACTCTGAGTTCATCAACTGTAGCAACAACTGTCATTGCATCTGATGGCGAACCAAGTTCATCGAGTTAATTAAAAATGATGAAAAAGAGTTGATTTTGTGATAATTACAGACATAAAACGATAATAACAATCACTAATTTCAATATTATTTATGTTATTAAGTAATAGTGTAATATCATTTTTTAATTCAACAAGTTTGCTGCTCATCAAGATTACTGTTAATCAACAAATAAACCATTATCCAATTAACTATCCTCATTTCATTGAAAAAAGCAAAGACGATAATTTAGTGAGAAAATGAATGTTTATTTATAAATTTCACTTTAAAATAATTGATTTGGTAGATACATTGAAATAATTATGTTGGCTTGATGCATTATTTACAGAGAAAGGACGACTTCAGCTGAATCCATTTTGATGATTTATCAACCATTCTCAGGATAATTAAGATGAAATTCATTTTTGACTAGAGATCACCTCATCCATATGAATCTTTCAATCATTCAATGATTGAATCTTCATTGATTTTTTGTTTTATTTACAATAAGATATTCTTAATATAAATACGAGACAATATTATACACGGGAAAAGATGTGAAAAAGTATTCGACCATTCCAATTCTGATTTATCTTCTGAATAAACCGATGGAAATTAGCTGTTGAATATTGCTGATATGAGATGTAAAATCACCGAATATTGATGAAAATCAATTTTCACATATCCAAATTCACATGAAGAAATAAATTAAACACAGGAAAATTTCAACTGTGGTAAGCACTTGGACCTGATGTGATCCAATCCAGCTTGTCTTGTTTCCAAGTCGAGCTTCATGTTCAGGCTCGTATGTTTAGTTTTTGGACACGAATCAAATTTGAAAGGTTCACAGTTTAATGAGACAGCAAAATGTGAGGTCAACAGAGAGTTTAAAGTCACTAAAAGACGGTCATTGAACATGGTTAGGACATTGAATTGTCCAACCATTAACAGACTAAACTTAAACCATTTTAGAGTTGAAATCGAAATATTCACTGGAAAAAAATTTAAGATGAAAAGTGATGTCGATGGTGATGATACTGAAGATGAAGTAGTAAAGATGTAAATGTTTTCAGAAGTAGATGATGATGATGAGAGGGAGCAAAAGATTTATAAAGAGGAGAGAGAGTTTGAAAGGGAAGAGGAGGAAAAAATTGGCAAAGGTTAGAGAGGGAACGTGTGTGTATCTAAAGACTAAGGGAAAGCCTGAATGCAACATAAAAGTACAGTCAACTGAGAGAGAGGAATAAAAGTGTGTACCATTTTTTTGTTATTATTAACGGTCGACTATACAAAGTAAGGTATGTAAATGTACTAGGCCATATTGTACACATTAAAATGACCGTTGGTTTGATGGAAATCGGGTGAAAAGTTGATTTTTACTGGGATCAAGTAAGTCGTATTGTCTTTTGTTTTGCTGTAACTCTACTTTTATTTATGCTAGACCTCACTATTTACCTCGATTTATGAGGAGGTCTAGGAGGAGGAGGAGGAGGAGGGGTGGCATTTGGACAGAGGGTAACACTAGTATTTATTCCCATGGATTAACCTCAATGAGGATTGTGAGGAGGAAGACAATGATGAGAATGGTGAAAGGATGAAAACATGTGTGTTGTGAGTTATAAGCATCTTAGTCGTGGGTTAACTGTTAAGAGCGTCTTTAGGTTGATATTTTAGTCAAAAATTTTACCCAAGCTATTTTTGGGTTACATTAGACTTTCTGGTTCCTCTTTTTTTGGCTTCTCGTTTTCATTTTTAACCATTAACATTGCTATTTATAAATAATGTTACGAGTGTTATTTTCAATGTCCTTACAACTTTTAATTTTTACTACTTTTCCTACTTTCACCATTCTTACCAGGTATTAGTGAAAGTCTCACAATTATTAGCGTAATTTTATTATTGATTAAAATTTGTCGGTTTTCCGTTGATTTTTCAATTCTTTCAACCCAATTTGCTTTTGTTTTAACACTTCATTTTTATCTTTGATGAAAACTGGAACAATTGACAATTAATATTTTATGTCTGCTAAATATACATTGTGAAGACGATTTGAAAGGTAATAATGAGTTTAGTTTAGCTTTGAAAGTTGAGTCTTTTGGTTTGCAATTTACTGATTTTATTATTTTTTCCAGTCGATAGTTGATCAGCAAATATGAAATTAATAGTACCATAAGTTGATCAACTGTAAAGCACTGTTAAAATATTCAAAGTCAACCAACCATGAGCCCATAGATGAAGGTTAAGATGGTTAACCAGAGATAAAATTAATGTAAATGTATGGTGAGAGACGGAGAGAGAGAAAGATATTAATGTTGTAAATTAAATCAAGCTTGCAGCAAGTAATTTAGCTGACTATCAAATTGTAATACATTGTGAATCATGAAAGGGAAATTAAATAATCTTGATGTGTGTGTACATTATAACCAGGAATATGCAGATGTATTATGCTTTATTTTAATGAAAAAAGTGAATTATCTGACAACAGAGATTGGAGAGAGATGGAAATAAAATAAAACCCAAATTAAACAGCTGGTTATGCGATGATAATAAATCTTTAACATCTCGCCATATTATATCATATTATTATTATAAGTACCTTGATCATCAGCCTCGTCATCGTCATATTTTCATCTTGTTCAACATTTTTCATTTTAACCAACCAGGTAAAGTCGCAAGCCATTGAATGGTCTTTATAACAGGAAAAGTAACGCGCGTTCTTGTAGTAAAAACGTAACCATTGAAGAAGATGAATGAGATGAAAAGGAGAAGGAGAAGGATGAAGATGATGATTGAGATGAAAAGAAAGGGAAGTTGAAGGTAATCTTCTTTTCTTATTTTTAACGGTCTTTGGAAGAGAGAGAGAGAGAGAAGAGAAGAGAGAAAGTTAAAGACAAAAAAAAGTAAGAAGAGACTTGAAGAGCGGGAGGACGAAAAATGTCAGAGAAGATCAAGAGAGAAGCCAGTAAAGTTGGGAGGAAAGACCTTGTTAATAAATATTGAAGGTTGACCTGAAACGTGCAGGACGCGTAAACGCGTGTAACTCTCTTTCAGTGATAATAATAACATGTCCATACGGCACGCGAACTTTACCTTGACTCTCACTCCAGGCCTTTTCTCCTTCTCTCTCTCTTATGTCTCATCTATCCTCTTGAGTCCCTCTTTCTCCCTATCATCACCATCAATATTGGCAGCATCGTCATCATCTGTTCACCATATGAAGTTGCCTAGTATGCAATAATTTTAATCACCATTTCCATCAAGAATGTTTGCTTTCATCTTCTTCTTCCAAAGGCTTTACTCCTAATTTTTTGTCATCCCTTTATCAGTCCAATAAACCGTTGATTTTGTCATTGATTTAAATTGTGAACCAGTAAAACATTAACTGTCAATGGTCTGGGTTGAAGGCTGTCGATGTAGTCTGGTGATGGGTTGTAAGATAAGATGAAACAGTGGCCATTCATTGAAAGTGTCAGGCTTTTGAACCATTTTACCCACATTTCACATTAATTATTCACATTTTGTTTAATCGCATTTCTGTTGCATTTTAATCTGGATAATTTGTACAAGATTTAATCGTCTGCAATTAAAGAATACTGATTCATCAAAGATCAATAGAGTACATTGATTTTCATGAAATAAAAGTTGAATGCATTTCTAATGTAAAACAGGCGAAATTAAAGTTTCGCATGAAAAGAGATGAAATAATTTTAAAATGTACAATATAAAAGTGGATATAGCTTTGAATTTAAAATCAATATTAACAACTGCATACTGATCGAGCTGGTAATGTATCAGAGTCCATACAACGATAATTATAGTCACCAGTTGTACAGCAAAGATCACAAATATTGGTGATTTTTTTCTTGAGGTAACCAGGATTCACATAGACTGTTTTAGTGGTAAATTTTAGACAAAGATAACCACTAGATGAACAAATTGATCGATAACCAGAAGGATGACTGCTTGCAACGGAGAAATGTCTAAAAGCAAAATACTTTTTGGGCAAACTGGGTCTTTTAGTCGTCGAGTCGAACCAAATAAGCGACTCGCCTGATGGAAAAGAGGTAAATGCTAACCAATAATAATATCTTTGGACACAAGTGATGCCTACAAAGTTGATTATGCTTTTAGACATATCTATTGCTTCGCCTATTTCATCAAGTTGAGCCTCTCTACGTGTACTTGATATTTCAGTGATCCAGGTTGGAGATTTCCGATCTTCCGGATATATTGTAGTGTCATAGTAAACTGAACCCCAATAGCTTGGATTCAGACTCAACATGTAACCATGAGAGACGAATGTACGGCAAGCACGTCTACAGTTAATATTTTGGTCAGAGTAGTTGAGATATACTTTGGAAACTGGAAACCAAGAATTTTCGGGACAAAGAGAGATCATTGGATCGTCATATGTTTGTATTAACCGGCACAACTGATTAGCTGGCATAACACACTGATCCCAAGTGGCAAACACATTTTCAGGCTCATTTGCAATTGAAATTCGGTCAATGGTTAAATTAAATTTATCCTTAACTAACCGGGTAACATTGGTTAGGTAGTAGTAATAAGCCTTTTCGTATTCTGCCTTAAGATTGCGGGCATTGTTTTTCATGTAATAGGGTGGGGACCAGATAGAGACAATGATTGATTTATTTGGTAACTGTGAAATGAGTGAATGCATGGTGATCCAGGTACAGGTTTTTACATTTACACACTCAATTGCATAGGTATTGTCTTTGGTTGAAAAATCTGGTAAATACTCGGTCCTGAAATTGCGTATCATCAAATCATTGTAAACAAGCGATATAATTGATTCTCGTAATTTTGCTGATGTCTTATTAAAGGAGTCCAATTGTCCCAAGTAGACACCAAATCCTTCAAATGGATGACGACAAGTTAAGGACTGAGAAAAATGTGAAGTACTTATCAAGATGCAGATGATGATTAACTTGACCATAACAAGGAAAATGATGAAACGTAACATTTTGATGGCAGTTTAATGGCCAATTGTCATTAGTTATATGATTAAAATAGAAATTAGAATTGTAATTGAAAAAATAAATCAAACTAATGTGAATAAGAAGGGGATTGGAAGGTATGAAGCGGGAAAATTTTGGGTTACTCTCACTTGCAAGTTTAAGCAATTACCTATTAGTTGAATATTGCAATTAATCTTTAATTTAGATTAATAATGAATCTGGTGATACCAAGGATACTATTATTTAACTGATAATAGCATGGAAATGCTCAATCTTGCTTTCATCAATCCCGATGTTTCTCATGTTTTACCTTATTGTTCAAATAACTGTTATTGATACTGCTTCTGTGAATGAAATATGGTTTGAATTTTTAATTCTGTATAAGGTTACCCTTTGATTAACTTAAGATTCAGTTCAATTTGTTTGAGCTTATCGGTCATGAGTTATCGAGTAAAAGTCAACTGTTGATTTTAAGAACTTCAACAGTTTATGATAATTTTGTAGGCTTGGCTCTAAGTTGACAATAGATTTATTAATAACATGACTTTTTTATCACATTGAGGTGCATCAATTGATATTGACTTGGCTATTATCGTTAAATTGTTGTGATTTCATTGTTCATTATCAAGATTGTTAATGTTATATTGATAATTTACAGTGGATATATTTGGACGATATTGAAGACTAGGGAATAGGGAAGATGAAAGTGAAAAGAAAAATTTGAATTGGAAGTTTGACAAAATAAGAGTAGGTTTTTTATTCAATAAGAATTAGAGTTAAATCTCAATTTTTAGATAACAATAGTAACACAAGCCTTATTTAATTTTAAGGATGTTGACTAATTCAGTAAACAATCAAGAATAAAATACTAAATTAAGCTTGGAAAAGGGAAAATAAAAGCAAGTGAAACAAAACATAATCATAATCTCTTGATTTGCTAAGATAAACAACAAAATTTGGATATGCAGCAGCAATAAATGATGTTCATTGATTTAAATAAATCAATTAAATAAATTGTGAATGGATTATATCAAGATGATAAAATATTATGACAATCAGGCTCTTTTTGGTAAGTTAAAGGCTGAAATTTGTTGATGAGTGTGAGATTCCGTGAGTGATTAATGATAGATGGATATTCAATTACACATACAAAAAGCATATGTGCCAGTTCAACTTGAATAGTTTGAATAATTTCATTGAGATGTTTTAATTTGATTATCAAATTTATGACCAATTACTTCCACTTGATTTGTTTCTGTTTCCTTCCAAATAACGTCATCATCTGTACATCATCAAATCCGGGCTTTGATACATACACATGTAAGCATCACAGAGTAATCGTCGAGTCATTTCAGGCAGTAATTTATCATCTTTGGTGGTTAATAAAAGAGCTGTTCCTTCATCTGATAACCACCAACGTAAATTTTGAAACAGAGTTACTTCAGGAATATTATAACCATCTTGTTCACCTACATGAAAAAAAGAAAAGAGGAAAAAATTAGAATGACGAAAATAACATGCTATATTTAGCATTAAGAATTCAGCCTTGTCTGATGTTTACTGAGTTTATTATCTATGTTACATTGAATATAACCCAGATAATCATTAATTTTTCAGATTATATTGGCTGATTATAATAATCCAATAAAATGTAAATTACCGTTTCTATCAGCCATGCTATCAAAAAAACACCATGGAGCGTCGGGACCAGATCCACATTTAACGAAAGCAACATAATGGCTGGTTTCTATACAAAGAACTGCAAATAATTCCATGTAAATTCTTTGAACTTGAATATGATCTTTAAGTATACTAAATTCAGTTGGAATGTTTAGTTTGGTTGTCTTGTGTTTAGCCCTTTTCTTGTGAGCATGACTTTTATCCAGACACTTTTGACAGAAAGCAGTCGAATCAAGTCCTTCGCCAAATTGTCCAAAACATTCTTTACATTCGAATTCAGCCAGTTCACCACAAATGGAACATTGACGAGGAGAATTGTCGAGAACATCAGAAATATCTAAATAAAGACTAGGTACGATTCGAGGATACATTTTGAATTGTCGTCCGAATCTGGGCATTTGTAACAGAAGACAAGGAGGAATTTCTCGCAATTTGAAATCAGAAGCCAAGAATGATTGATCAAAAAGTTGCTGAACCGTGGGTAGAACCAGTTTTTCATCCTTATCAACAAACAATTGATAAAAATACGATTCCAGTCCTGAAGACAATTTAAGGTATGGATCAGCTTTTAAGATTTGATTCAATAATAAATTTAAAAATTCTTCAGGATCTTTTTCCTCAGACGTTAAGCCACGAACCGAAGTCAACTTTTCAAGCAAGGTTCTCAAATGCATGACTCGATCAGCTGAAACATAAAGATTGGCTCTTAATGGATTAACAATTTCTTCCTTTAATACTTTCTGTACTTCAGAGTATTCAGCAATATCGCTTGATGATTGAGGTCGATGAAGAAGAGATTCAAATATTGTTGTATAGGAAAACATGGCAAACAAGGTTGCATCTAAATAACATGAATTATGATGACCCTGGATTCCACGAGCTTTACCACAAAGATATTTCAGATCATCATGGGTTGATAAAGGAGGAATATCACAAGTTATTCTTGAAGCATCATATTGTTTACTTCGATCAGAAATCGTATTGTTTCTGTTAGATGACGAGGATGAATTTTCATTACCAATATTGTTAGTAATAACAGCAGCCACAAGTGAAGATGATAATGCTGATGAAGGTGGCGGGTCACCGGTAAAATCCTCTGCCCTTAACAAACCGATGACTGGTACCAAAGATGCATGGTAAACAGGAGCATCAAATAACTGGTAATCGTTGTAGATACCAGTTCCAGAGCCAACTGGGTTATCAAAATGGACACCAGCCATCCAATCTGGTCCAACATCTGGTAATTTACCCAACCATTTGATGTATCCAAATTCAGGTCCATTGTCAGATAACCAAACAATTCGATTACCAATCGTCAATAATGGTGGAGAACACTTTTCCAGGGCACAAACCTCATCAACAGATAAGGGTCTTATGGTTTGGGTCTCATTTTTGATTGCTGGTTGCTTAACAATATTCATCACAATGTTTGTCAGTGAATTTTTACCTCAATGACTTTAGTAAAACATTTATGGTTACGAAAATGGTTATAAACATGAGTATTTAGTTAGGAGAACATTTTTTAAACAAATTAAGAAAACATGAAAACAGAAAAGATTCAAATTGTCCTTGAAGAGAGAATTAACTATCAAAACAAACTAAAGAGTAGGTAACAAGAGTGAGATGACAGTGATCTCTCCCTTAAGTTTCTGTAACCAAAGTCTGCTAGATGTCAGTTTGATCAAATACTGAGTAAAATGAGAGCGAAATTTGAGTTTATTGAATACTCAACGAGTGCAGTTATGGTCCTTGATACTTATTACATTATTAGATTCATACATTTGAGTAATTAACTAATAGTGAACAATAAGGGAAATAATTACAGTGGACTCCACTGAGTGCAGTACCAGATACTGTCAGTAACTGGAAATAGCTTATGTGCTCAAAACATAAAATTTTTGTGTAAAAATTGAAGATAAACGGAAAGGGTTCAAATGGAATTTTTTCACAGCCTGAAATCTACAATTAAATATCCGGAAAATAATCAGAGCTCAATTATAATCAGGTTGCTGCGGGTAGGGGAAAAAATGCAGAATCCGTATTTTGTTACATTGTGTTTGAGGCATAAACTTTTTGGTTATCCAAGTAGAAGGTTTATTGTTGGATTAGGAGTATATGTAAAACTGTCTTTCGAGTAAATAGTTTAGTGAAAAATCTGGCCTCTCAACTGTACAAAAAGAGACCAGAGACAATTCGTGTAAATTAGTAGTTGGGTCTTTTTAATTTTCAGAACAAACATTTTTTAATAAAGAATGTAATGAAAATAAAATTTTAACATAGATCAGAAATACAGAATAACAGAAACGTAATATGCATCGTAAGTCTATTGTGATTTATAAGAAGGTTACACATTCAAATATTGAGAAAGTTCAGGGTTTTGTATGCAAATTATAAAAGTGAGAAGAGAATCACATTGAGAAATGTATTCGTACATGAAATACTGATCACCTGTAAGCAACACTAATGAAATAAAGACTTTTGATATAATTGAATATCATTAATGGTCCACTATAAAACCTGAATCACCTTTCCCACAGGTTGTTAAAGTAACACTTCTTAAGCTTCTAGATCGTTCAAATAACGATGGGTCAGTGTAAATTGGTTCGCTCGGGTCATCGAAATCAGAGCAACCACCGTTTTTGGTCAATGGGGTAACATATAAATTTGAACAAGGCTGTGATCCATTTAGATTACTTGATTGATTTAGCTATAATAGAAAAATTGAAATAAAAGTTTCCGTTATCATATCGCTTTTAAGTAACCACAAAGGAAACTTACGGAGATTCTTTTGCCTTGTTTGTAGACAAAAAACGCAGCAATCAGCATGGCGATGATTATCGAGACAAGTATAGTTATCACTGTGATTAAGGCATAATAGCCTGAAGAGGCAACGCATATTTTAGGAGGTTCAACCATCACCAAAGGTTTTGATTCAGGGGAAGGAATATCGGCTTTCGACAAGTAAACTTGCAATAACTCGTGAACCTCTTCTTCGTCATCACTTGTAGCATTATAAGGATCATTCTCGGCAGTTACTTCATCACCTTCCTGAAGATAGTTGGTAGTCATGTTGACTTTATCTGAATCGGGTAAACCTCTTCGACGTCTTCGTTTTCCCCATGATGGGAACGAGCCAGGTCCTCGACCACGATCAGAACAAATTACAGGTTCACATGGTCCTCGGCAAGTTCTTACAGTTGCTTGGAAAACCAGGAAATTAGAATCAGGCAATTTGAATGCATAAAATTCAGCCTCTAATGCTCCATCAGGTGTTTTATGAAGTTCAGGGAAGACATAAAGATCAACTGGGCAACTAAAAATTTGATCAAAGATGAGAATTGTAATTGTTAAATGACATTTAAACCGTTAAGAGTTGCATTTCATTATTAATAGATTAAACGAATCACTTACCCACGAGAGTCAATCAAATGAACCTGTTTTCCTGTGTATGGATCTTTGGCGATAACATTTGTTGCAAATATATCGCTATTGAAGTAATCGTAACGATCTAAAAGGAAAAATAAATTTCATTTGTAAATTAAGTGTTTTTGAAATGGACAAGAAAATTGGACTTACATTGTCCTCGTGCTTCTAAACGAAAGGTCAACAAATCGCCAACAACTATTGTATTAGTAGGTGTTCCACGGTACAGAATACGAAGAACAACATTGGAAGTTAAAATATTTTGAGCTGGAAGATGTTCGATTTGCGTTGGATATCGTCTATTAAATGAAAAAGCAATCCTTAGTTAGTGAGTTAATTGGAAATATATGAGTAAATAAAATCAATTACCCATCAGTTTTAGTATCTAAATAATTTGAAGTGACGACTGCTTCGCCTGGACCAGAGAAGTAGCATGTCAAATTGTATTTCTTATCTCTACTGGTTTGAACGTAATCATTAAACTGTACGACGACAATGTTTGTCATGGCATCTCCATATTGTTGAGTTCCACATCGAGGGAATCCATTAGCTCGTGATATACGAAGCACAGATACTTGACCTCCATTACCATCATAGAAACAAGAATCGTAAAATCCGTAAGTATAGATTCTACCGAAGAAACCTTCAGGAGTTTTCAATGTGAATTCCATTCCTTCTGGTGTGCATGTTTGAGCAACTTCAAGACACTCTGCTGGAAAACCAAGTCCAGAGGAACCGAAGCCATCTCGTTCGTAATAGTCAAATTGAGTTGCTTGCTCAAAGTAGGCTGGATTGTCCAATTTAAACTGCTTTGAATCATATTGCGAAAGTTCACAGTTGTCAGAAGCAAAGAAACCGCGATAATTAAATGATGCACAAAGATAATCTCTAGATTCAACACATTGGCGCTCACAATCCTCAAGTCTATCAGCTCTCACGACTTTGAAAATGTATGTACTTCGAAGTCGAGTACCAAAACCGATACGGTTGAACCGATTTCCAAGTCCATTACCTGGTGGACCAATTAAAGGAGCATTAGGTCCACCTGGAGCTGATCCAGGAGGGAATTTACACCGGTCTTGATAGAATGGAGGAGGACCAAAGGGAGCTGGTGGTGGAGGTGGAGGAGGAGGTTGAACAAGGCTATTTGGATGAATTCCGTTGGGAAGACCAGACGGAGGAGGAACTGGTAAACCAATTGAGTGATATGGTATTACATGACTTGGAGGTATTGGAGGAGCCATTATACCTGGAGGAGCTGACAAGGAATTAGAAGAAGATGAGGAAGAAGACGAGGAAGATGATGGTGATTGTCCAGAGCCAGGAGATGAATTTCCATTGTGAGATGCTGATGGTGGACTACCAGGCGGACCAAGCGAGCCAGGATGACTTGGAGGAAAATTGTAAGGTGAACCAAAGCCTGGTGTTCCAGGAGGCAAAGGAGGATAATTTCGATGGGCTGTATAATTGAAAGAATCGACCGAAGGTTTAACAAGTTTCTAAGTCAAAAACAGAGGATAATCAAATTGATTAAATGTAGATTTTTCTTACCAAAAGTATTGTATGGATTTAGTGGAAACTGTGTTTGTTTAAGTTGGAAATTATGTTGAGCAGGTCCAAACGCAAAGTTTGGATGATTCCTTTCAAAACCGTAACCACCGCGATGATGATCTCCACCTCTCCAAACTGGTGCTTGATGCCAACCGGATGAGCTAGCCGCTGACATTGGAGGAATACCCATAGGTCTTGGTGGACCATGAATTGAACCAGGAAGATGAGGTGAACCAGAGTGATCAGGTGAAAAACCAGGATGACCTGGAGCAGGGAAATTAATTCCATAAGGTGATAATTGAGTTTGTACCAAAGGATGTTGACCAGGAATAGCTGGGAAAGCTTGATTATCTTCGATTGTACGATCTTTAAAGTTTATGAATAAAGCAAAAGATAAGTTTCACTGAATAATTAAAGTAAATAACATAACATGACCATTCAATCAAACTAATTGCTATTCTAGCTGGTTAATCCTAACCAACCATTAACTAAACGGGTGACTTTGCTTGAAAAATTAATGTACGATTAGAATAAGTTTGCTGCATAAAAAGGAACTTACGCCATAAGAATTTGTAGTAATCATAAGATGGATCATCGACTAAATTAGATTGCCATAAATCACTCATTTCACCAGAGCTGAATCGACAAGATTTGGTTGATGATGAATATTCAACTGATTTACAATTACGTGAATAACGGCGAGTACACTCTTCAAGACAATTATAAAAACTGTAAGCAGTTATTTCAACTTCATGAGGACCATCTAATCGTTTACGTCGATAACATTCTAATGTAGCATTTGTCATTGCGGCATCTGATAATAATGCAAATAAAAATAGATTTCGACAGCAATTAGTTTAAATGATAGGATCGGCAAAGAAATCAGTAGTGAGAAAAAGACCGATTACTTACCCCTTTCTGCATCTATACATAAGACTCTATAATAATGACCGGGAGATTGTTTCATAGGACGACGGCCAACTTGATTGGCTGATCGAATATCACCATTTAGCTCTGCCTGTAGTGTTGGATCTTCATCATAAAGAATACAAGTTTTACCCTGATCATCATAATTGAATGATCGACACAGGAAACCTTTATCTTCCAAACTACGTTTGCATAAATTAAAACATTCGTTGAGATCATTAGCAGTCAATAAATCTCTTTCAAATGGTCCTTCCAATTCCTTGTTTGGCTCAATGATGAACACAGTTGACGAACAAATTTCTGAACCTGATTTAGAAATAGTTAATTCATTGTTAATGGTAATTGTTAAAAGGAAAAGTTAAAGAAAAATTGAAATTACCTTTTAAACACATATTTTCCATATAATCTGAATTTGAATCAACAGTAAATGCTCTAAAATTAGAGGAACGAGTTTCCCGACTGAGTCGACATTTAGAGTTAGCTCGATCGTACGAGGCTGATTTGCAAGGAAAATCAGTTTCATCCAAACACCTATCAGAGCATTCAGTTCTGTTAGCTGTGAATACTTCTTTATCTTTGGTCCCTTCAAATCTAAAACCAGGAATACGCTCGAATGTGTATAAACGGTTTGAACAATCACTAGCCAATTTTGGAGCTGAATAATAAGATCATAATGTGAATTAGTTCTTGTTGCATTTTACTAGCCATTTTCATCTGAAAGACTTACAATTAAGGCAAACTTCATTGAAATGCCAGGCATTTTCTTGTTTAACCAATGTTTCCCCTCCATCTGGATTAGCTCGGTCACCATATAAGATACATTGAGATTCTTCATATTCAGCTGATAATCTACTAGCTCCAGGTAACCCAGGCTAAATGATAATGAATAACAAAAATCATGAGTCAATTAAACTGACATTACATTTGTAACATGTGATAAACATACAGCAACGTGATTTATTCCTTGAGGATGAAGTTGATCATTTGTATGAAAAGGTGAGGATCGTCGAGCTCCAGGAGCAAAATCAAAGGATAAACAATTTTCAATTGTAGAAACTTTATCCTCTTGACATCTACGGACACACTCTTCAAGCACTTTAATTGGAGATTCACTTCGAGTAATCTGGTTAATAAATAAATCAAGAAAACAGCAAATCAATAATTGAAATTACCAGAAAGGCTTGATAAAAAATATTTACCAATTCTCTCTCTCCTTTGTTACCAAAATTGGTATTTGATGATCCACTCAAACGATGATCCGATATTTTTTCAAAAACCAATTTACCCTGACCATTATTACAACTAGTTGCTGTTGGAAATTAGATTCAATAATTGAAAACGATTAACAAATTATAAAATTAATCAAAAGATCGTTAGATTTCTAGACAATAGATAATTAAATCCTAAAAGACACACACTTATTGGTCAATGGAATTGTCTTTGCAAACGCTTTAAGCTACATCTAACGAGTTATAAGATTAATACAGATTAATAAATTTCATTTTCATTTTTTATCAGAAATCATCCAATTATTTGAATTCACGGTCATCGTATAAATATTAGCATAAAAAACCTCTAATTTATTGTTAACCTGAGCTTGATTATGGTTATATTGGACAAAACAAAGCTTGAAATGGACAAAAGTAAACCTTGAAATGAAAAAAAGCAAAGTAATTAAAGACTGGACGGAAGTGTCCCATTTATAGATACTACAATTAGCTAAATAATATTATTAGAATGGACCATTTAATATTCTATAACCATTGAGTCCGACCATTGTTTAAAGCTTTTTTTGTTAGCTTTGCATTATTAGAAAAGGTCAAACCAAAACAATAACTTCTTTTGTCAATTGTAACTAATCAATCTTTAGCCTTGGTCATTTCCCTCATAGTCGGCCAATGCTAGATTCAACTAGATTTTAACCTTAAATTGAATTTCCAGAATCATAGATTTAAATTGTAAAGACCAAATTATATCCATTTTTGATCGAGATGATAACTTATAAGCACTGATCTCAGAAGCTATTGAAGTTGAATCTAATTTCATGGACTTACCTTCAGATAATATACGAAGAGCAGCGAGAAAAGAAACCAATGGAACCATAATTAACAAATTGTTCATGATCGATGACTGATTTTATATAATGAGTATTAATCACACAATCAGTTGGACTTGCATAACATGTTACCAAGACCAATTTGAAGTATTTATCACAAGTGGTACCAGGAAAACGGTTAAACCTTAAACAGATGAAGAGATGATTTGACCAACTAATCAAGTCTAAAGATGTTAAAACACTAAACTAAATTAAAAACTAAATTAAGTTTACGATATTGAGATGAAATTATAAAGATCAACACTTTAGGTGGGCAACAACGTAAACATCAACATAGGATGGATAAGAGGTGAGAACTGGACTTTACAGGAGAAATGTTGAATAGACAATTAATTTGTGGATACAATTTGATCTTTGGACAAACTGGTGATGAAAGGATGGGAGGATGATTATGATGATCAGGGAGAAAGAGGATGAGACGGGATGAAAAATTATGAAAATGTTGGCTCCATAAGCCTAACAACGGCAAAATGCGTTATGCATAAGTAACTCACCTTTCATTTTGCCTATCATCTGATTCTCGTTCACCGCTTTATTATCATCCATGTCATCCTCTCCTTTCCCATCATCACTCTCATCCCATGTCCATTGTTGATCCTGATAATGAACAATAAACTCGGATAAAATTGTGATGCTGAAGGAAATAAAGAGTACAAGACAAACCCAAAACCTTTTTTCACCACAATTTTAATACACAAGATTGAACCTTTATTATGATTGTGATTGAATCTTTTTTTTATTGTGCTTTTTTGCTGTTGATCTTTCATTTATTTTTTACCATTTTGGTGATTTAATAGTAAACATGACAATTTACATCCGTATAATTATAATCATGTTACCTTCGAGATGTTCACTAATTGTTCAATAATCCTTTTCACTCCATTGTTTGACTATCAGCCAGTTTGTTGTACTTGTTGTCGGGGTCATAATTTGTTTTTTGCCCTTTTCCGGAACAAAAATGAATAATTTTGAATATCCATTTGATTTAATTTAATCTAAACCCTTTACAATGGCTAGTTGTTAAATTTCAAGCTATTCATTGAAGATTAATTCACTACTTTTTGCATCTACACTTCAACTATACATCTTGTTCTGGTATCAAATCAATGTACATTTAACTGCGTATTGGTGTCTTTGCGCCCGTTAAACTGTTGCTAAATTAATCTACAGACTTCATTTGAATGGACATTAAACTCACCGTACAATGACATTGATTCACAGGTTAATTGTGTTCAACGCCATCGTAATCAGGTTAACGCTTCTGATTCTCGCTTTTTAAAGGTTAACTGTAAATTCATTACCTTTTCCTCTCTTATAATGATCATTATATGAAATAGATTCTCAACACTTTTAACTTTGAAAAGCTTGGCATTGTGTTGGACATAAATAACCAATGGTCCTTAAAAATTGTAATTAGTTTCAATCATCAAACTAAAACACTAATCTGAACGGAAAAATTAAGAGTCGGAATTGCAAATTGATCAAATTTGTCATTTTCAACGGTCTTTCATGTTTAATTATGACAGAAATGAATCTTAAAATGGTCAATTATTTAATAAGCAATCCGAAGTTGATGGATTCCTAAAATCCTAAACTGCTTATTCGCCAATACTAATTGGAAACGAGTCAGCTCGAGCAATCTTTGATTCGAGAGGAAGAAAAATTAAATACCTTTTTCTTATTACTCCGTTCGAGTCATTCGTAAAGTTATTGCTCGTATAAAATTGTCAGTTATAAGACACATTTATCACATTATTGCACAAATTGACACAAATAGGTAAAAGTTAATTTCTTTCAAATTACGGCAGCGATAGATACGGATGATTGAGCCAATTTGTAGGGAAACAGAAACGAAGTCCATTCGTGTGATTTAAAGATTTCTCTGGTCCTCACTTCTCGAGAAAATCGGGCTCGAAGTTGAAATTTCGATCGCTTTTTGTGCAACTACAGGAGCAGATTTTTTGAGTAAACTCATTATTACTGATGTAAATTTAAATAACCAACAAGAAAATGTACTTATTTTGAAAAATAAAACTTACATTTTTCTGTAAATTAGATTAGTTCGATTTTCTTTTAAACCGATCGCAATCTCTTAGCGTCTGAGTCAGCAGCCTGAAACTTATTATCTGCCCATAAAAATAGTTGATTCATAACATGGATTGAAAAATTTTAGCAAATTAACAACAGTTCTCTTGATTTTGGCCATTAGCGTTGAAACTTTGAACCTCGATATTTCGAGAATGGCATCACTTAAAATCATCATAATTGTGCCAATTCAATCCTTTATTAATTAGAAACTCAATTCAATTCAATAAATTTAAGTTAGAGCATTATGGCCGTAATATTTGGCTTTTAAATGTACAAGAAACAACTTATTCAACAAAACAAACTCACATAAACCCATATCTTGGTGAATAAACCATTTTTCTGGTTAAACTTGCAAATGAATTGCCAAAAAGGGCTTCAAAAAGCTCGAACATTTGAGTAGAGAGTTGAAACTTGGCTGATCTGTAGGGACATGAAAACTGACTCTATTGGTACTATTAAATAATTTGTCCGATATACAGTTTTCGAGAAAATCGAAGTCAAATGTGAAACTTTGATCGCCTTTTGTTCAGCAACGGAGACAGATTTTTTTACGAAACTTTATTCTCCTGATGTTAATTTTGATGAAGAATTAGAAAACGATATTATTTTGAGAAATAACATTTTCGATTTTTGTAAAAATGATCAAGTTCGATTTTCATTCAAACCGATCGCAATCTGTGGCCACAAAAGTTAGAGAGCTGAAACTTTTTATTTGTTAATAAAAATTGTTTACTCATATCATGGATTCAATACTTTCAACAATTTAACAGTAGTTCTCTTGATTTTGGCCATTGGCCTTAAAACTTTGAACCTCGATATTTCGAGAATGGTGACATCTACAGTCGTCATTCTTTCGCCAAATATTAGATTTTATCATGGGCTATAGCAGCATATGACTCAAAACCGAATAAAATCTGAACTGATTCGTTCAATAATGAATATTCTAAAGCATAAGATTTTTGTTTAGCAACTTGATAAACAAAGTCTGAAATCTGACAACAGAAGTAATTCAATGATATAACTTTTCTTGTAGGATCTTGAATGATTTTATATTTCAATGTATTATAGCCCATAACAAAATCTATTGTTTGACCAAGAATGACGATTGTAGATGCCACCATTGTCGAAATATCGAGACTGAAAGTTTTTAGGTCAATGGCCAAAAATTAAGAGACCTGTTGATGAATCGAAAAAAAATTCATGCATTGATGTGTACCAACAATATTTACACATTCAGAATAAGTTTCAGCTCTCTAACTTTTGCGGTCAGAGAATGTGATCGGTTTGAATGAAAATCGAACTTGATCTGTTTTACACAAACAGAAAATGTTATTTCTCAAAATAAGATCGATTTCCGATTCTTTATCAAAATTAACATCAGGAGAATAAAGTTTCGTAAAAAAATCTGTCTCCGTTGCTGAACAAAAGGCGATCAAAGTTTAACATTTTGACTTCGATTTTCTCGAAAACTGTATATCGGACAAATTATTTAATAGTACCAATAGAGTCAGTTTTCATGTCCCTATAGATCAGCCAAGTTTCAACTCTCTACTCAAATGTTCAAGCTTTTTGAAGCCCTTTTTGGCATTTCATGTGCAAGTTTAACCAGAAAAGTGGTTTATTCACCAAGATATGGGTTTATATGAGTTTGTTTTGTTAAATAAGTTGTTTCTTGTGCATTTAAAAGCCGAATATCATGACCAGAATGCTCTAATTTAAATTTATTGAATTGAATTGAGTTTCTAATTAATAAAGGATTGAATTGGCACAATAATGATGATTGTAAGTGATGCCATTCTCGAAATATCGAGGTTCAAAGTTTCAACGCTAATGGCCAAAATCAAGAGAACTGTTGTTAACTTGCTAAAATTTTTCAATCCTTGTTTTGAATCAACTATTTTTATGGGCTGATAATAAGTTTCAGGTCGCTAACTCAGACGGTCAGAGAATGCGATTGGTTTAAAAGAAAATCGAACTAATCTATTTCACAGAAAAACTAAAGTTTTATTTCTCAAAATGAATACATTTTCTGGTTGGCCATTAAAATTTACATCAGTCAAAATGAGTTTACTCAAAAAATCTGTTTCAGTGATTGTAAAAAGAGCGATCGAAATTTCAACTTCGAACGCGAATTTCTCGAGAAGTGACGACCAGAGAAATCTTCGAATCACACGAATGGACTCCGTTTCTGTTTCTCTACAAACCAATCGAGTTTCAATTCGAAAGAAATCAACTTTTACCCATTTTTGGCCCATTCGTGTATTAATGTGATAATTGTGTTGATTGTGTACTTTTAGCAACAATTTTCATTTAATAAGATCAAAAGATGGCAGTAAGAAAGACAAATCTAGGATAGTAATGAGTTCTTTTGATTGTGTCTAATTGCTTGAAATTAAAGCCGCTAAATTTTCATTAATTTTTGTACTTGTGCTTGGAGATTCAATCAACCTAAAAATGAACGAAGATCGAGTGAAGATCAACACTTGAAGTATTGGTGTCTGTTGAAGTGTTGGACATTGGTCTTTAGTTGATAGCCAACATTAAGATTTTGAAGTACTTTTCACTTAAAAGCCATTTCGAATAAATTTAATTGCAATAAATAGAGCTTCTGGTACTAGAAGTCTAGATTTTAGCTCTAATACCTTTTTGTCTGGTTAGTATAAAATAACCAATAACCAATAGTCCATCCAGCTATCGATCGACACCTAGCTCATTGAAATTAGTCGTAGAGTCTAATGTCACATAAAATTTAGAGATCTAAACTTGAAATCAGCTACGAAGCTAAAGTCTAATTGCACTCAAGACTTTTGTCTAGACTTGCCATTGTTGGTTCACTTTTACAATTAACTCATTAATTTGAATAGCTTTTTACTTTTATCCATCTACTTACGGAATGAATAAACTGAAAGACAGAATCTATCTTTAACTTGGTTAGAACAAGAAAATCGTTGATTTTTATTTGATAACTTGATATTTCGGCTTGTTATGGACTAATCAAAACAGTCAATAGACGCATAAATTGAATGAAATCATATTCAACCTAAATTCCATGTAAACTGTTAATAATAATGGTGTATGAAACTGATACAGTCTCTTTTTTGAAGTCAACACACAGTTGTATTCATTTTGAATATTTATTCATTTTTTGTCCAATAAATCGCTTATTATTTCCTTTCATTGAATTCCAAAAGTGATTCTAATTCCTGCCCTTCACGCTCTATTTGAACACAATCTTGAACACAATCTATTTAATTACACGTCCGTTGTTTTGAGTGACAAAAACTGTATTTACCTTTGGTGTCATGTTCATTCAGTACATTACTGATTCCCAATAAACGAGACTCATTCAACAAATGTCAATAGTTGCAACTCCTAATATAAATAATTTATTGTGAATCTAATAATTCAAGTTAAATTTCCTTGAATTAAAGCCTTGACTAAAAGCAGATAAAATTGTTAGTCTTACTGTTTGATTTTATATTTCTTGAGCTATTAAATTTTATCAATTTATTGAGTTTTAATGTCAATTATAATAACTATAATAATGATTAATTATTTATTTCAAGTATTTACCTCGTTTTAAATTAAACAACAAACCACTAAACAGCCAACCAATCATGATTAATGTTTGTCTCTGTTACCATAGATAAAAAGCAGACTCAAAGAGTAACCGCTTCCTTTTGCCATACTGCTCTTCTTGCTCACATGCCTTTTTTACCTTTATATCAGTTTAACATTTTGTATTGCTATTTAAAGTGTGGAACAATCAGCCTTTAAATGCTCTTAATTCTTGGAATACGTTTGTAATTTTTTATAGCTCATGAAGGTGTAATTAATCTCTAAACTACCGATACTCAACAGTGAAAAAGTAAACTAATCACTTTTCTCTCCCATGCTTCCATTGTGTTTTTCCACTTTTCCCTTTGCTATGTCTTTCCTTTTATTTTGCTTTCTTGATTCTCTTATTGTTGAATGAACAATGTCTTACATCATCAACTAACCCGGTTCTGTTAATGAGACTTCGTAATCTGATCCATCCTTGGACCCTGAAGGCAAGGTATTAAATAATGATGACGCTGATGCTGGTCCCATAAATGCAAATGCTCAATAGTAAAAAGACACATCACTGCTCTAAAATTAGTTGATGATCAAGTTAATTTACTTGAGGAAACCAGTAATAACTTTGAAACTATTTCCTCAAAACCAGTTACATCCTTCTTTCTCATTTGACCGTCTTCACTCATATTTGGCTGTACATTTTTGTTTCAAGAGCTCTCAAATCTAATATCTAGTTACTTCCTTAGTTTCTACTTATACTCAGTACTTATTTCTACTATTCGGATCACCATGTCACAAAATGAGGTAAATTTACTTTTCACCATTTTTCAGCTTTTATCAATCTTTATCAAGTTTACATCCTTTTGTCCCTTTTTAATCACAGAGTGTCTACATCGTTTCTTATGCTAGAACCCCGATCGGATCATTCAAAGGATCTTTGAGCTCACTTCCAGCCACCAAGCTTCAATCTATTGCTATCAAGGAAGCCGTAAATCGAGCAGGTATGTAAAAGCATGTCTATCTGATAAATTTCTGATTAATAAGCCAATATTTCTAACTTATTCTCTGTCCTGTTCATCAAGGTATTTCTGTTGATGATGTTGATGAAGTTATTCTAGGTCAAGTTTTACAAGCTGGATGTGGTCAAACTCCTGGCCGACAAGCTGCTCTTGGAGCAGGATTGTCGCAAAAAGTGCCTTGTTCGGTTGTAAATAAAGTTTGTGCCTCTGGAATGAAAGCAATTGCCTTTGCATCTCAAAGTTTAGCTCTTGGAGATGCTGATGTCATAGTGGCTGGGGGTATGGAAAGCATGTCCAATGCTCCTTTCATCCTACCTCGTGGTGAAATACCATATGGAGGATTATCCTTAATAGATGTTTGCGTCAATGATGGATTAACAGATTCCTTCAATAGTTGTCATATGGGTCAATGTGCTGAACAACTCGCATCCAAATATGAGATAACTCGAGTGCAGCAGGATGAATATGCTAAAACAAGTTACACTCGGTGCATTAAATCAGCCTCTAATGGTATCTTTGCCAAAGAAATTGTTAGTGTTAGTATACCCGGTAAAAGAGGAAAACCACCCACACTGGTTGAAAAAGATGAAGAACCAGATAAGGTTGATTTTGATAAAATTCCCGCTTTAAATCCAGTTTTTATCAAGAACTCAGGAACTATCACAGCTGCTAATGCTAGCACATTGAATGATGGAGCTGCCGCACTCGTTCTGATGTCTTCTGAAGCTGTTGCGAAATACGGAGTTAAGCCGTTGGCAAAAATTGTTTCATATGCTGATGCCGCTGTCGCTCCTGTAGATTTTGGTATTGCTCCTGCTTATGCTATGCCTAAGGTATTTTTCAAATTTCAAGATAATCCGATTACTCTCTTATTTCATTAACCTTCCAATCTGTTGAGTCCGTTAGCTCATTCCCCTAAGCTGAACGATAATTAACGATTGGAATAGTAAAGAGAGATAACCTATCATTAGAATCTTTAACCTTTTTCATGATTCTAACGTGACTTTCTAACATTTTCTTTATCATAGGCATTGCAAAAAGCTGGAATAAGTAAAGACCAGGTTGCTCAATTTGAAATTAACGAAGCATTCAGTGCTGTTGCCCTGGCTAATCTTAAGGAATTGGGTCTTGATAGCAGTAAAGTCAATATCAATGGAGGCGCTGTTGGTTTGGGACATCCTTTAGGGTAATTTGCTTGATCTAATTCTTGAATTTAATGCCATTATCTAATGTTTGTTTGGTAATTTTTTCTTATTTGTTTTCATTCGATTGTATAGTATGTCGGGTGCACGAATCGTTGGTACCTTAGCCATTAACCTTGGTCCCAATGAATATGGATTAGCTGGAGTTTGTAATGGAGGCGGCGGCGCATCAGCTATGCTTATCCAGAAGCTTTGATGAATCTTAATCAAAAGAATCGAACAATCAAATTTAATTTAAAAGCCTAGGACTTTTCGTAAACGATCACATGCGATATTATTCTTATATGTTTGAAATGATTAGTTATCAATAGTTATTTATAGTTTGTTATAAATATAGTTTATTTTGTTTCTTTTTCATTGACCATAATTTATGTCATTAATACTGATACTGTTATGTCCGTAAAAATGTTTTTTCATTATTTATCATTACTATGTTTATAGCATTTATGCATCAAATGTACATACAAGGTATAAATCAACAAGTTGAGTTAATACATGAAACTGATATAAAAGTAGACATAAGTTTAGCCGGCTTTTGAAAGCGTACAGATTAATCGTATTCCCTGAATGAACTATTTTCCTAAGACTTGGTTGTTAGTCTAAAGAGATTCGTACAGCGTTTAAATAACTTTATTTTCGGCGTTTATAAAGACTGTATCTCAATTAAAAAATAACGTGAAGTCGATAAGAATAGTTTTAATACGAAACAAATTTTATTAAGCAAAGTTCAAGTTCAATAAATGATTAGTTGGTGACACTGTTGGTGACTGATACAGTTTAGATCGTTATTACTACTATATTAAGCGAAACGTCGACCACCAAACAATTTAGCTTTGATCGCTGAGGTCATTAGTATTACAGTAGAACCAAGATTTGGATATCGCCGATCCAAAGTCTTAGGTCAACTTAGATCATTAAAAAATCAAGCTTTTCCAATGTTGACTCTTGTTCAAAACAATTTACAGCGATATGTAATATTAAATGTATGATAAAATTTAAACAGAAATAATAACAAGCAGATAATTTATCAAAAAATTGACTGAGTAGTTATTGGAAAATGTACAAATTCAACAATACTCATTAATATGCAATCATTTAATTTATTTACAATAGATTAGTATTTTATATTTTGTTAAATTAACTATCAAATTAAATTCCATTTACAAAAAAAACAATTTTTGAAAATACGTTAGATCGAAATAATAATCAAATTAACAGAGAAGAACATAACCAGTATTCAGAATAAATTTTGTGCTTAATCAAAAATTATTGGGGAAGGAATAACTTCGACAAGTGCATTTTGCATGTAATTGCTGTCATCACTTATACTCTCGATATTCATATCCTCAGTACTCATATTACTTGTGTTTGTACACTCAATTCGCATACTATGTATGCTAGAGTTGCTAGTTGGGATGGTCAAAGCATCGGCACCATTAATCAGTTTCATACCGATTTCAGCTTCAAATCTACCAAGAGTTCGATAACTAGGCAAAGAAAATATTGATTTAAGAGTCTTATAAACCACTCTATTGTTTCGACATGTATTTGCAAGGGACGCACTTAACCTTTTAACCTCGTAACTGTGACGGAAACCATGTGTTACACGTTGCTGATTTTGTATAGCACAGTCAAAAAGAACCCAGGCTTCATTTGAAACATATTGTGCTAATTTATGTCGATTTTTGTAGATTAGAGATGATGGCGGATCTAATTTGAGTTTTCTGATTTTATTCTCTAGACTAAGTATTTTTTTCTTTAACTGAACAATTTCTCTCTCACTATACACTTGGCATGCTTTTGATCGTTGATTGGCGGCCAATAATGGAATATTCGGGTTCCGAGGAGCTGGCAATAAATTATTCGTGTTTTGAGGAGCTGGTAGTAAAGTATTCGTGTCTTGAGGATCTGGTAATAAATTATTCGTGTCCGGAGTTTCAGGTTCAATGATTTGAGGAATAGCATTACAAAAAAGCCGCTTTCGTCTGTTTCCAGAAATATGATACATAAACGGAGCGAAATGAGCATCACAGACAAATTTTTTGTTTAAATCTTCTATGGTTGAACCTTTAGGCAATTGTGACGCGACAGCTTCAAACCAGGCTGTGCGTCTATTGATGTCATCAGGAATTTTGAACAAAGTATGTTCAGATGATCCACTTTTATTTGGACAGGATCTCACCAAACATTGCTTTGGCACTGTTAATAAAAAAAGGAAAATAAATATTAAAAAGTAGCATAAAACAATTGCAAGGCATAAAAAAACGGCGTGAGAGATTGACAACATTAATGAGTTTGAATTAGGAATAGCTTACTTTTTAGCTTGTTAATAATAATAATTCGTGGATCAAGGGTCAAATTATTTTGCAAATTTTGATTAACAATCAATATAGACAACGGTATGTGGATAATATGGTGTCGAAAAGCAAAGACTTTTTTTGCAATGACAATATTGTCAATCTTAAATATACAGTCAATTTTGGGTTTAGAAAGGTTGGTGATAATTCATTTTAAATTACAATTACGGAAGGATTTAATAAACAGGGGCATAAGGTCAAAAAATAATTGTTTGAAGAACAAAAATATACAATAATTTTAAATTCATAACATGCATTAATGTTTAAATCATATTTACATTGATGTCCATTCTGTTCATATCGTATGACATAAGACTTGTGCACATCGATTTCCTTTTCGATAGATCGAAAGGTTGTGACTCTTGAGCAGCTCAAGCTGAGCTTGTTAAAAGTAAACAAATCCATGAGTTGGTTTTTTAAATTATTGACAATAATTTTGTTTTAAAATCAAAACCTTTTTAGTTTTTGTTCCATTATAATAATTATTTAATTTAAATATTAGTGAACTCATCATTAAACTATACAACTCACTTCACTCACAGATTAAGTAATCTTTATTTTCCTCCAGTTTTCTAAAATCGTTAGCAACACTTTAAACTGAAAACGTGTTTAGTAGCAAACAACTCACATAAGTAGTTTTAAGTTTGTTTCGGTTTTCTTTTTGTGTCTATGAAATGAGCGAATTTCGTCAACTTGGATTGAGTGATTGGTTAGTGAAAAGACTCGCTTCTCTTAGTATAAAAAAGCCCTCTGCTATTCAGAAGGCGGTTATACCAGTGTTGTTAAAGGAACGTCGTAATATATTTGGTTGCTCGCAGACAGGAACAGGTAAAACATTGGCGTATGTTTTACCCATTCTGGAACGCTTGGTAGTAGATCCTAGGCCATATTTCGCTCTTATATTAGCCCCTACTCGTGAATTAGCTCATCAAATTCATGATGTCATCACTGTTCTTGCTGGACCAAAAAGTAAAACTGCAAATGCTTTGGTCACAAGTCTACTCATCATTGGCGGGGGAAACTACGGAGTAGAAAATGCTAGTGAAGATGTTCAAGGTAAGTTAAAACTTCGCTCTCAAACTTTCATTATACTTCTTGTATATTTAATACTTATTTCTTATTCACCACAGGTTTATGGCTAGGTAAACCCAACATTATCGTAGCTACTCCTGGAAGGTTTCTGGATCAAATAATAAACCGCAATTATCTAGATGTATGTGGCTCCAAGCGAAGTTTTAAATTTGAAATACTTGTTATGGATGAAGGAGATCAGCTGATTACACCGGGATTTTGCACGCAACTAAAGGATCTTTTGAACTGGATTGATTGTAAAGAAGTTGGAAATAAACGACGACAAACTGTTGTGCTCAGTGCATCATTGACACCAGCATTAGAGGCACTTAAACAAGTTCTGGCCGAGAAAGATGAAAGCAATCAACCAATTGTCATCGATCTGTTACCTACAATCGATAGCATCAAAAAAGAATTATCAACTAATCCTTACCTTGATCAAAGGTATTTCTTGTGTCCTTCAAACGTCAAAGCTGCCTTTTTGGTTGAAGCGCTATTAGATTTGGATTTCAAACAGTTAATCATCTTCTGTGGAACTAAAAGAGAGGCAAAATTGATTCATAAAATTTTGATAACATTAGGTTTCGCTGGTAAAGATTTCAACCTAAATCCAGTTTTATTGAATTCAGATCTGAAACAAGCATTAAGGTTCGCTGCTATCGATAAATTTAAATCTTTGAAATCTAGAATCTTAGTGACAACAGATTTGGCTAGTCGTGGACTTGATCTACCTCTTGTCGACCTTATTATAAACTACAACTGTCCAAAATCAGCTATAAGTTATGTTCATCGAGTTGGTAGAACCTGTCGTAAACCACATTTAAATTCATCAATAAGTTTACCTGTACCTGAACTGATGGAAGAAACTTTGCCAACAAAAACAACAGAAGAAACCTCTTCAACAAGTGAATCTAACTTGGATCCTGAAAAATTCCTGACACCCCGACCTACTAAAAGTCAACATAAGTATCTTGGCAAAGCGATTACCCTGGTCAGTCAATATGACATCAAATTGTTGAAAAACATAGAATCATTCATTGGTATTCGAATGGAGCAAGAAGAGGCAATAGATGAAGAACATTGTAATGAAATTCTTAAACAAGTGACATATGCAGTTAAAGACGCTGAAATTGCCATCGAAAAAGAAATGAATGAATTAGCCGAAGTTAAAGGAGTTGACCTCGAAAGTAAACAAAAGAAGAGAAAAAGTGAGATGAATAAGCAAATTGGAAAGGTAAAAAAATGAAATCAATGATCGCTTAATTGAGTAAATTTAGTATTCCATCGATAATACTAATATTTTTTTGACCAATGTCTTATAATGTTATTGAAATAAAGTAACCTATGATTTGTAACCTCTAAAAGTTATTTTGACCAATCTATATACAATTCGATGTTTTGGTATGCAATCAAAAAAAAATTTTAAACCAATAAATATTAGGTCACAAATATTAGGAGCAAAAAATTTAGAGCATTTTAATAGTGGCAAAAAGTTAAATGACTGTTTTTTGTGCGGTGACGATATAGATGGAATTGGAAACAGTTGAGTTTGCCACACCATTTTCTATCCTTATCCCTCCGAACATGATAATTTCGGAGTCTCCAACAACTAGGCTGTACAAATGAAGCTGCTGAGGGCCTGGTATTGAATTTTCTTGTTGCAGCCAAGAGACTTTTTTATGACTAATAATCTGTGAGATGTCCAGGTTATATAAAAACAGGGCGTCATGCATGTTAGGTGAGAAGTGTGACTTTTGAGTAGACAGTTTGATAGGTTTTATTCCTCTGCCTTGGATATTATTGGACGAATCATTGACGGTTCGACGGTTGTTATTGGCTGCCTTGATTGTCTCATTGTTCATGTCTAATACTCCAGAACTCATAATTTTACGCCTTTCTAATTGCGAAGGTTGAGGTTGAAGGCGATAACGAGGTTTGTTGATGGATCCGCAGGGTTTGCCTCGATGTCGTTCTAAAATTTTTTTGAAAAAGTTTGCATCATTTAAGGAAGGCGGATTTTTCGCATTGACATTGCGACTTAGACAAACTAATAAGTCATCAACCTGAGAAATAAAAAATAATGGAACATTAGATACTAAAATGTCATTGAAAATGTTTAAATCACATACCTTGCACACTGGATTAGTACCGATGATAGGTTGCTCTGTTGATTCATTATTAACAACTTCTACTTGATGCCAAGTCCATGGCTCATTTCTCAAATCTAAAATCCAAAAGTCGGATAAGGGTTTCTTTGGACCAGCAGATCCTCCGAGAATGACTAAATGATCGTTAATTATAAATTGAGAGTGACCATATCTGGAAGGAGGCTTAATACCAATCGTTTCGACTTTACGCCAATTGTGACTCAAAATATTGAAAACATAAATGTCGTTACTAGGTAGATAATTATATGGAGCATTCTCCATAGATTGCAATCCCCCAAATACAATCATTTCATTGCCATAAATGCAAGCATTGTGTCCAGCCAATGGTGGACAGTCAGACATTGCTTCTATAAGAGACCATTTCTCAGTTTTAGTATTAAATTCATGCACATGGTTAAATAATTTCCAAGAGTCGTGAATTCTATTGGACGATGAGTGTGTCCAGCCACCAAATAAGATTAATTTATCTTTAAAAGCCACAAGAGAACAACATGCTTTTGGAGGAGGATAGTTTCCAGATGCCAATGGTCTTATCCATTGACGTTGAGATAGATCAAATGTCCAAAGATCATTGAAAGTTGTCTTCCCGCTATTACATCCACCAAAGATGTACATAAGATTCGAATGAAGGCAGCAACTATGAGAATATCTGGCTGAGATATGAGGAACATCTAAAGGATAATAGCGATACCATTCAATGTTAGATGAACGTAAACATGTTTTGAACTTCCTAGCTCTGGTTTCCAGAGTCGCTGAATAGAAAAAATTAAAGAATAGAAGGAAAATAAGGTCAAGAATGGAAAGATAGCTGACGATAAAAATATTTTGATCAAGATCAAGAGTGGAAAACTACTTACAAATAACGCAATCATACCAATATTTACACACTAATTTACAAACGAGTAGATCATTGTAATGAGGAAGATGGCTCAAAATGTATTTAAAAACTTCGGGTGGAATGTTATTTATGTAATGGACATTTATGTTGGCCTCGTCATCTCTTGTTAAATCCAGGTGTGACATTATTTGGAAAAACGCGTCAATTTGATGAAATTGTAGAGCCTAATAAAAAGTACAATATTGATGCGAGCAAAATAAGATCAACAAGCTTTACTACAGGTTAGATTTGATACATAGCTCTTAAGTTTATCATATAAAAGAGAAAACAAGAAATTTTAGACTGTAATTACACTTACCTTACACTCTCAAAACAAGAGCTAAATATAATTAACGAAAAATTGAGTCTAAATGGTGATTGTTCAACTTTGAAATCAAACTCTGTTGCACTAGAAAAATTGAAACTTGCCAGAAAATGCCAGTAAAAGTCAGTAAAAGTGACTGTAAATAGCTTATTCTCACTATTTTCACTATGAAGTTGTTCCTAAAGACAAAGTCTTGATAAAGTCGATCCACTGCAATCAACTAGACGAATATCAATCAGAGTTATATTTAAACCATAACAAACCTAATTAAGTGGTGTCAAAGTGAATACATCATTCAGAACAAATTAAAATGGATACATTTAAAGATTAAAAATGTAAACAAAAATGTTTTCCAAAATTGAGGGGTCTTATAATGATTTAGATTTGGTAGCTAAATAAACAATTCAAAGTCATATTGGATCAATATTTAATAAATTAAAAAGTCAGAAATAATTTACACATAATATTAGTTGCATTATTAAAAATAAAAAAGGCTCAATTTAAAATTTGATTTCAATCCAAACTAAAATAGAGAAAGAATGTGCAACAAAATGCATTTTTAATTTATTTTTAAACTTAATTTACAATTGTGAATGACCAATGAAATAAATCTGAGTGTGTACGGTTCTTTGGCTATTTCTTTGTTCCATGAGTATCATATGATTGCATGATTGTATGAGATCACTTTTTAGTTTTCTTACTAGCAGTCCAAGGGTTGATTTTAGACGAGATCCTGGAAAAGAAAAATTGCTATTAGTGATTAACTTTTTGTATTTAAACGAGACAAAGATACAGCTGAATAATTCAAAATATTATCTAATGAAATTTGTTCTTATTCACCAACTTGTAATGAACAAACAAGATCGAAACTAACAAATCACTTATCATTCGTCAGATTTTGTTAACTGCTTATCATTCATTTTTTAAAAAAATCTTACGTTTTATATTTGGCCATAAAGGTGTTGATGTCAAATTTTCTTTTGCAACCTTCATAATTCATGTATCGTATTTTTCCAAAGATCGCTCTTTCACCCCATCCTTGGTCATGTATACCCCCAACGGACCAGAGACAGCCTACGAAACCATTTGGATCGCGACCATCTAATTCAAATTTGTCATTTAAATAGATAGCGATTTCCAGTGCTTCTTCCGGAGATTTACTCCATTCTAGTATCTTTTTAGCCCAATACATTCTCATGTAACCATGAAGTTTAGCATCGCGAACCAATTGCATCTGACAAGCATTCCACAGAGGATCATGAGTTTTACCGTCTTCAAACTCTTTTTTAGTGTACACATAAGGACGTTTATCTTTTCGATGATCATTAAGAGTTTTTTGAGCCCATTCCGGAGCACCTTTTAGTGAATCATAGTTAGGGTTATAAAAGCAGAAGTTGTCAGCCAATTCACGTCTGACAACTGCTTCTTCTACCCAGGCCTCTACCGATTCTTTGTATTGCTTTTTATACTTTTGAACAACTATAAAAATGTAAAAGATGAAATTAGAACTCGATGTGAATGAAATGTTCGATTTTTAGATTTACCTAAAACAGCTCGCTGTGGGGCTATTTGTCCGAAGTGAAAGTATGGAGATAAGTTAGATTGAACATCTTGACTTGGATCATTTCTCTTGTCATTGTACCAGCGAATTTTTTTCTCGACAAAATCAGATAACATTTTAATTCCAGCTCGATAACCAGGCTTGATCCAGTTAACATCTGGGACTGATCGATCACATTCTAAAGATTTTTCAGCCCTAACCCAGTCTACTTTTTCGTATTTGACATCAGATGAGTAAGGATGAAGCACCACTGGGGGAAAGTGAGTGAGAAATTCAGGCAACTTGTTATTGATTTTTGGTCTGATAGTTCGCGCAGCATATTCTAGTTTTTCTGATGCAACCCAGCACGGTACAATGTTGTGTGCATCAACCTGGCATAAAGGAACATCTTCAGGAAGTTTTTTACAAACTTCATTAACCCATCTCATAGGAACTTTGAGTGGAGCAAAGTCACAGACAACTCCACCAATATTGTTATCAGAAACAAATTTAGGCAAAACTTTAGGAGGCGCGCCTAAGAGTAAATGAAAATGAATGTTCCTTGACAATAAATCCTTTTCAACTTCTTCCAATCCTCCTAAAAGGAAGTGAAATCCTCTTATACTTGCATCTGAAGAAAAATCAAAGATAAAAAGATGTTTAGAAACTGATTTTGCAAAACATTGTGAACATCTTACCGAGAAATACCGGGACAAGACAATAACAAACATGCAGAGGTACTTTAAACTTTAAAGCTAGTCTTTGAGCATATAATAAGGCCCAATTGTCTTCAACTCGACCATCACGAGACATCCAGTACAGGATAGCACCACAGTCCTCGGATGCTACCTTACAATCACTTAACATTCGAACTCTTTTTTTGTTAAACTTGAAATCTTCAATCGATTTACCAACAGCGGCACGAGCTTTATTTATTTCTTGAAACAATCGTTCACTTGGATCTGCGGTTTGCTCACTCTTTACTTCATCAAGGCTAGCTGAAGTCGTACCAGCTTCTTCTGAAGAATCTTCCGAATCAGTTTTATCTTTCTTTTTGGGAGGTGTTGGAGAAAGTTGACGTTTTTTGGGTCCCATAACGAAAACTTGATGGAAAGTGGATAAACTAGATAGAGATCCGTAATGAGTAATCAGTGAGGGCAAAAGCAATCTGCAAGAGCTAGAGATATGACGAATTGTACCGTTAAAAATCAGCTTGGAGCTTAATAAAGTAAATTGTAGATTAGAAAACTAAAAAAACATAGAGAATAAAATGTTTAAAGAATAAAATGTTTAAACATGAATTAAAATATCAAATCCTGAAAACATCGAAGTAAAAAAATTCAAATGCAAGTAAAAAGGTAAGCCCTATTCGTACAAAAAAATATCTGATAAGATTCTAATCCTTGGATATGTAGTAGACTTTTATTTGGCTTAAGAGTACGGCGCGTCTGTTTAAACTCTATGGAATAGTGTCAAAAACTTGATTATTTAGGTTAAGATTTTAGACTTTGTGGATTTGTAGGGACTAATTACCACATTTATGCACAAAAATTGACAGAAATGGGCAAAAAACGGGTAAAAATTAATTTCTTTGAAATTTAGACTCTGTTGGTTTGTAGGCACATGAGAACTGGGTTCATTTGTGCAGTTTAAAGATTCCTCTGAGGAAATCGAGGTCAAAGTTGAACTTCGATTGCCTTTTGTTCATTTATGAAAGGCAATCGAAGCAAAAAATTAAGCACTTTTCAATTTATTGACCGTTCTTTTGATTTAGTCATTGGCATAAAAAATATTCAGACCAGTTTTGAACCCTCAATCATTTCAAAATCTTAATGCTCTAACCTACTCTCTATCCACTAGACTGTCCTAAACTATGTTAAATTAATGTTTAGCTCATCGTTGTTCTTGTTAGCCTTTTTAAATCAAGCTTAGTGTTTGTATTACACAAGAGATGGCGTTGAAATTCGCATTTGTACAAATAGGCAAAAAGCCTATTCGTACAAGTTTTTTGTACGAATAGGCCTTTCCAGTAAAAACATGCTTCGATACTATCGATAACATATTTATTCAAGGTATCGGGTTTGTAAGCTTAACAAATCCCAATCAAGGATGAAAACCAAAAGAATAGGTAAAATTGCCTATGATTTTTTTGAATAAAATTTTCTAATGTATTTTCATACGCTGATTCCATGCATCTAACTCATTTCAACTCAACAGACTTATAATTTTTTAGATATCGCAGAAAATAACTAAAATATTAAAGAAAAGATAGAGTTCAAGTATAAGTTTGATCCGACCTAGAATAAAAGGGAACCTAATTATTTTTATATGCTTAATCTTGGCCTATCATAAGAATCAGATATTTTGATGCGCTGGATAGATCGCATGCATTTCGACATTCGTTTCTGTTCAAAATACTTAACCTAGTCTTGATCCAAGTTAAGATGAGAATTTTTAGGTGTATTTTTTAATGGTATTTCATATATATACATTCTGCCTAGATATTTTTGAGTAAATCATGGTTCTATTCCAGTTTATTCTAGTTTCATATTTGAAAACTCTGTTATTTTATAAATATTTCATTACAGTATGTATCGAATGAAGCCGATTAATTGAAGAGTGAACCAGAAAAGTGAAATATTTTACTGGGAAGACTCAAAATACTATCAATACTTATATTGCATTAACTTTGAAAAAACTCCTTTATTGAACTAATTTATATTAACATAAATATATATGAGGAAATGATGTATTTATAGGGTTTTATGGATTCATTGGGTTTATTAACTATCGAAGAAACAAATTGATGGAACTTATCAGACATTATTTCCAAATCGAATGTTAGGTTGAATGATAGAGATGTTTGCTTAACACTCATTTTTTATACATCTGTAACAAAAATAGATTTTAATTGCCTTTCGTTAAGTGCTTTTTTGTGTTCATGTTTTCTGTATATTTTCAATGTTTATTCAAGTTTGCTTTGATGTATATGCGCTTATTATAAAAGGCTAAAAATGAAAATAAAGAGGGAGACTCATTGAAAAGAGTTTCAATTGGTGGAGATACCGATGGTAAAGAGGTCCTCTCAAAAAAGTTCATGAAATTCAACTCAATTCAGTCAAATGATGATATCAAAAGACCAATCGTCTCAGTGAATATAGTCCCTGATCAAAATACTAGTCGCATGGATTCACTAAAAAGAGTGCCAGTACCATTAAGCTCGCTTTATTAACCTTAATGCTGCTATATATCATGTCAGGATATAATGCCATTTGAAAAATATCCTGAACATGTCAATATTTGCAAGTATAATGTTATCAGTTGCAACAGGGGCTCTAGCAAAGAAGGTTATCAAGAAATTCATTTAGGGTATTGCATGGATGAACGCAATTCGATTCATGCAGAGCTAGAAGATAAAAAACAGTCGTTAACCAGAGCAGCTATCGCCAAAGAAGTGCAAAAACAAATGATAGAAGATCTACAGGAAAAATTGAGGGAGGAGGAAATTGAACTACAGCAAAGAAGCTCAAATGAAACAATAGCCACTATAAGCAATCCTGTGCGTAGTTTAAGATCGACACAGGGAAAATATACAAAATTTACAATCAGGTATTTAGATCAAACTTTTCAAATTGAAAATCTTGCTCCCGATGCTCCGGGCTCTGTCCTACGTTTCTGAGATAAAGAGATTAGTTGGAGGAAAAGTTGGTACTATTTTACGAACCTATCACACTAGTATCAGTGATGAGAAGCTTTTAAGACAACACCAATTTTGCTATAAGC